TTTGTAGTTTTACATATTTCCAAATTAATTTTTTGTTTCAAAATTTGATATAGTTTCTAAAGTAAGTGGGATTCTCGCTTTTATAAAAAAAAAAGAATTACTTTTTCAAATTGTACAGGATTTCTTGTTTTTTTAAGGAAGGAGGAATGTAATAGGGCTGCATTTTAGTAAACGTTCTCAGTTTTTATTGCCCTTTTCGCTTATTTTCCGTACCTTATTTGATAGAGTTAATTTGATTGGTGCTTTCGGTTTAATTCTATATTTTTCATTGGTCGACTTGATTGAAATCATTCGATTAGTTTAGAACTTGTTATGAGTAATTTTGACCAATCAATCTTATAGTTAAGCATTGTCATGACTACCAAAAGTGTATAAATACCGGGTGAATTTCTATATATCTTGTCTTGGGAACTGGCCGACAGGTCAGTTCACTTCAAAGCTTTAGAGCTTTGGCACTCTTTCAAAACTTAATAGTTTTGACTCTCTTTGAAATCTATATGATTTGAGAATTTAGGCTAAACTTATTAATAAATACTTAGAAATTCTTTTTAAATAAATAACTCGTTGTTGGTAGATTCTGCTTAAATATATAGTCTTATTCATACTTTTGGTAAATAAATTGTATGATTGTCGTTTAAATAAGTCTATGATTATCGTTTGAATAAATCTCGTATGTTAAATTTATAAAGTCTTGTGTTATACTTTCTTAATAAGAGTAAATTAAAGGTAGCGTCCTACACCACCATCCTAGCCACTGGTTGACAATTAAGAGTTCAGAGAACCTGGGTAAAGTGCCGTTTAAAGATATATTTGTGATCACGTGTCGTCCGTATAGTAATTTGGCCATTTATATTTTAAGTCTGTCCAGAGCGCCACTGAGTGTTGGGCTCGAATCAGCTTGAACCACTGATAATAAACCGGCACTATTACAGTCTGTAAATCCTCATTAAATTTTTCAATGTCAAAATTTTTAAAAGATCTATAATTAATCCAGTTTGGTTTTTTACTTTTAGTTTCATCTTTTAGCTGAAATGCAATCAGATTGTGTACATCACTCAGTCCACAATTAAAATTACATATTTTCCCAAAGAAGAATTGCTATTAGTTAAAATCACATCCAGCAGTGATGGTATACCATTTTTAGTAAAGCAGGTAGCCTTCTTAATTAGACTCGATAAGTTAAAGACATCAATAATATCGTTTAAAGGAGCACATTTGGTTGGATCAAGTAAATCAAAATTTAAATCACCTAGTAAGACATATTCATCATACTTAGAACTACATTTGTCTAGAGTTGTCATGCAGTTTTGTTCGAAAGTTTCATTTGACATAGATGGAGGTTTATATGCACCCATTAAAAGCCATTTCTTTTTATTTAAGATTACCTCTATGAATAAAGTTTCATTTGACATAGATGGAGGTTTATATGCACCCATTAAAAGCCATTTCTTTTTATTTAAGATTACCTCTATGAATATGGATTCTATATCTGTAAATTCGAGATTTGATTTTCTATCTCCAGCTATATCTGACCTTAAGTACACTGCAATCCCACCACCTTTGTCATTTCTGTCTGCTCGCCATAAGTGATATCCGTTAACCTGCCATTGGGCATCTGGGAAAGAACCATCTGTACTGTATTGAAAACTCAATATAAACATTCTATTCTAAGATTTATTTACAAGAGTATTCACAGAGGTGTTGCTACATTGCATGTGTAATCTAAACTGTCTATCAAAGAGGGCTCAGAGAGAGAGTTCTCAGAGTGTGCATATTTAATCAAGTAGGCGGAGCTAATCTCTAAATACTAACAACACTACATCTCCGCCTTGCTTAGGTTTAAAGTTTACTGGTCAGTCCTTATGAAGGACATTAATTATTTGTCTGACAGTAATGTTATTGTCCCAGATATCCATTGATTCACAGGTGTTTATTTCACGCTGGCGCTGCCACTATAAGTTAATGATTATATCCAGTAATGATAGTCTCTTGATTGCTATCACATTTAATCTCAGTTTATGTTCTAGAGGCAATAAGTCTAGAAAGTTACTGACTGTCCGTAGTCCAATAAATTAACTTAATGTCTAAACTGTGTTGAGTAAATTTTCAATGTTTACAGAATACAAACAGGTTTTATCAGCATGAAATAAAACAAATTGTATCATAGTTCGGAGACCTTTCTGTTGAAAATGTGTCAGGGTTAAATCGTATACATATACATGCACCGTGCGTTAACTGGAGTGCGGGTATTAGTTACCCGCACTCCAGAGCATGCCCATTGATTGGCTCATTTTTGCTGGGGTTTACATATTGTGACGGTACAAAAGAGAAAGAACACCAAAACACTCGGTAATCTGATTAATACTCGGGGGGCTACGCCCCCTCGTACAAATCAGATAACCTCGTGTTTCGGTGCTCTTTCTATTACTTAGAATAAAGATTGAAGATAGAATCTGAATGATACACAATTAGTTTAAGTATCAAAATGCCAATTGAATGTTTCATTTATACTTGTATTCCATTTTCCTCTGGAGATTTAAGCACATAGTAAAGAATTGTATGATTATCAGCAGTTATATTAAATCCCTGTTTTGAATGTTTGTGCACACCGACAGTTAAAATAATCGAACTCATTTGTTTGAATGAATGTTCCTTTTAAGTTGAAGCTAACTTTTAGTGGATTATTATGCCACTGTTTAACACTGTTTACACATTTTCTTTCTTCTAATAGTCATATATATACATGTGGTTTTCACTCATTTAGCTAACTTTTAGTGGATTATTATGCCACTGTTTAACACTATTTACACATATAATCCTTAAATATGTAGTCGGGTGTTTTCTGTGCCTTTCAGATCTTCGCAAAAGAAGTAAACTCATTTGATGTAGGTAAAGTTTTCAAACATTGTGCTTTCATCAGATTGTGATTCTATGCTCGTTTCGTTGTAAATTGGTTCTGTATTGCTGTGTTCACCCTCGATATTTAAAGGAGAATTTCCATTTAGACTTTGGGTCTGAGAGTTGCCGACACGTTTAAAAATGTGATGAATTTCTAGTGATTTGTTTGTCTTCTCGCTCTGCCGTTATCATTGATCCTTTTTTCTTGTTACTTCATACGGTTTAGGATCGTATGGAGTTGTGAGTTTGTTTTGTTTGGTTTGCTTTACTAACACACTGTCGCCTATTTTTAACTTCAGTTTTTGAGTGTTTCTTCGTTTATCAGCGTATGCTTTCATTTTTTGTTTTGATTTTCTGTCATTTTCTCTGGCCTTTATGTCATTTTTAGATTTCTTTTGTTTTTGAACCATGGGAATTTGATGTTAATAGGCCTTCCGTAGAACAATTGTGCAGGAGTTTCGGCGTTGTCCATGTGGTGTAGATCTATAATTCCTTAAAAATGCATACATGTCTTGTTTCCAGTTTGTATGGTGCACATGATAAGCTCGTATTGACTTGCCTATGGTTTTCATGAATCGCTCACATTCAGCATTTGCTTGTGGCCATAATGGGGTTATTTTCCTATGTTTGAAGCCCATGTGTTTTGCAAAACTTTTAAATAGGTGAAAGTTCATAGGACTGCCGTTGTCTGACTTGAGAATTTCAGGAATTCCGGTTTCTGAGAATATTTTGTCCAGCACAGGGATCACTGTATTTCCTGTTATGGAATTTAAGACTTCTACGAAAGGAAAACGTGAATATTCGTCAATTAGTACAAGCAGATATTTTCCATCTGGAAATGGGCCACAAAAATCCAAACTAATCATTTGAAATGGGTATTTTGGCATATCACTCATGTTTAAAGGTTCATGCTGTTTTGAATTTGTTGCTGCTAAGCACGGAATGCAGCTTTTGCACATATTTTCAACTTGTTGATCCATGCCTGGGAAGTACACTTTCTCTCTTAAAAGTTGTTTGATTTTAACAATTCCCTGATGACCTTCATGAGCTAATGATATCGCTTTATCTTGCAACTGCCTAGGAATAACAATTCTTGATTCATGCAGTAAGATTTCACCTCCCTGGAGATTTACTACCGATAATTCATTCTTACAGCGAGAGAACGTATCAAATACTTTATTTTTATTGGTGCTGCTCCAACAACCCGTCTTTATGGATTTAATGGCCATTTGGAGGTCATTGTCCGTAGAAGTTGCCTGAATAATTTTATTCATGTTCATTGCAACAGGTACATCATGATATGCAAGAAAACTTACATATTCTTCAGCTATGCTTGATTTACTGCCTTGTCCTGTGTCTGGATGTCTGCTTAGATAATCTGACATGTTTGACTCTCCAGGTTTGTGCACGATCTTGAAGTCATATGATAACAGGCGCATTCTCCAACGTTCCAGTCTTGCAGATCCAAGTTTTGATTTAGGATTATTGTAGATATTCTCAAGGAATTTTGCATCAGTTATGACTGTGAATTTATGTCCAAATAAGTATATGTGCCAATGTTCTAATGACCAAACTAATGCTAAGTTTTCTTTCTCTTGTTGACTTAAGATCTTCGTTCAACATCTGTCAGTGATCTGCTTGCATAACACACAACTTTACCTTCTTGGAGCATAATTGAAGCCACTCCGACTGGAGATGCATCTGTAATTATTTGTGTTTCCTTATTAGGATCAAAGTAAGTCATTACAGTGTCACTGCTCAGAATGGATTTAAGTTTGATGAATGCTTCTTCTTGCTCATTTTGCCATACCCATTTTGCATTCTTTTTGATTAGACGACGTATTGGCTCGGCTATAGTGCTGTAGTTCGGTATGAAACGTGATACATAGTTTGTCATAGCAAGGAAGCTTCTTACTTCAGCCACTGTTTTTGGAGGCTTTGTGTGTTTGATTGTTTGCACTTTTCTGGGGTCGGCTGACATTCCATCTTTACTAAATATATACCCGAAGAACTCGAGTCTCTGCTTGTTAAACTCACATTTATTTTTGTTCATGGTGATATTTTTCTGCTGGAGTCGTTTTAACACTGCTTCAAGTCTTCGGTCATGCTCTGCTTGATCCTTTGCCCATATTATTATGTCGTCCGAGATGTTCCTTACACCGTCGAGAACCTTCTAGTGCCGTGCATAAAGCATTTTGAAATATTTCAGCTGCACTATTAATGCCGAAACTAAGGCGTTTGTATCTCCTTAATCCAACATGTGTGGTGAATGTCGTAATGTTACGGGATTCTTCTGATAGTTCCAACTGATGATATCCATGGTTTAGATCTAGTTTGGAGAAGACCCTGGCACCACTTAAGTCCACAATCATATCATCTATCGTCAGAATTACATGTCTTGTGCGCTTTATGGCTTGATTAGGCAGCCTCATGTCGACACAGATCCTTATTTGGTTATTGTTACTTTTCGGCTTTGGTGTAACAACAATTGGTGATACCCAATCTGTGGGACCCTCGACTTTCTCAATTATATCCAAGTCTTCAAGCCTCTGGAGCTCTTTCTCTACTTGTTTTCTTAAATGAAATGGTATGCGTCTGTGTGGCTTAGTAACAGGTTGAACATTGCTATCTATGTATAGTTTGACTTTAGTTCCCTTCATTTCCCCCATGCCTGTAAACACTGATTGGTACTTCTTGCAGAGTTCATCCACATTGCTATGTGTGACTGCGTTTATTACTGGAATGATGTCAAGGTCAACGGATGTTTGATATGATAGAAGATTTCCACTATTGCCTTTCGTCACATATACTGGAGCTGATGTTATTTTGCTTTTAGATTCGATTTGTGCCTGAAATTTGCCTAATAATGTCACTTTACTAGAGCCATATGCATATACCTTGGTATGAGCTTTCTTCAGACGAACTTTATTATGTAGTTTTGAGTAAGTTCTTTCATCTATCACATTTATTGATGATCCGGTGTCTACAAGTGCTTTGATTTTGCAGCCATTGATATAGACTTTTAAATTTGGTCTCTGCAATTGCATGGAATTTACAGTAAGTCCATATATTTTGTTTTGCATCATCCTCTCTGTCTTTGTCACTATCACTTTCACTTTGTGAAGTATCATTAAGTTTGTTTGTGAAATTATTGTCCCGTTTCTTTGACAAGCATACTGCTTCAAAATGATTTTTCTTCGAGCAAAATGTACATGTTTTTCCACTTGCTGGGCATTTTCCTGATTTGTGTGGATATTCATAGCCACAGTATCTGCATATTGATTCCTTAATGATGTGTCTGCGTCTTTCTTTTTGCGCCTTTTGATTTTGTCTTTGTCGTGATTTCATAGCATTAACGACGTCATATTTTGCTTGACCTTCAATTTCAGATGCTTGTTGATCTGATAGTTCTAGTGTCCTTGCTTCTTTGATGAGACTGTCTAATGTCAGGTCATCGCGTAGTGCTTTGCGACGCAGTCGAGTTGAGGTGCAGCCCTGAATGATTTGTGACTTAATTTCTTTGTCTGTTTCCGAAAATTCACAGTTTATACTTAAGTGTCTTAAACGTTTGTGAAAACTATCAATGTTTTCATTAGATTCCTGTTTTGCCTGTCTAAATTTATATATCTCAAATTCTGTGTTTTTCTTGGGGGCAAAGTACTCTGTTAGCTTTATCTTTGCTGTTTCGTAGTCATCCCCTGTATTCTTCAGTACGTCGAAGATGTCATTTACCTCTTCCCCTGCATAGTGTAGAAATAAGGCTCTCTGACGTTTTTTGTCTTTAATGTCCATGCCAATCATTAAGTTTTCGAATCGACCTGTCCATTTCCTCCATCTTGTGTCAACACCAGGTTCACTTACACCAAATGCTGGAAAAACTGGCAATCCTTGTGCCATACTGTCACTGTATCAGTATTATTGATAGAGCTAAGTTGTAACAAAGTCCAGGAAAAGTGTTTTAAACTTTAAATTCCAAAAGGTGTAAATTTCCGGTGTTCACTTATTTAATTTAATCAAACAAATATCATGTTATCCAATTATTTCTTTTTAAATCCTCGTCGCCATTGTACTGTATTGAAAACTCAATATAAACATTCTATTCTAAGATTTATTTACAAGAGTATTCACAGAGGTGTTGCTACATTGCATGTGTAATCTAAACTGTCTATCAAAGAGGGCTCAGAGAGAGAGAGTTCTCAGAGTGTGCATATTTAATCAAGTAGGCGGAGCTAATCTCTAAATACTAACAACACTACACCATCTAGTTTTGTTTCTGCAATAAATAGAATATCAACAATATTTTTAATAAGAATTTCTTTAAAAAAGTCGAATTTGTTCCTTAAACTATTAATATTTATATATGCACATGTGAATTTATTTGGACTTTCTTTTTTAATATTTATAAGTTCATCAAAAATAGCTGGAATGTCATTGTCTTCACAATCCGATTGAATTGAAGAGTCTATACTGATGTTCGGTTCGAAATATGAGTCACTAAAATGAAACGTGTTACAATTTCTGCATAACCAGGGTTCGTCGTCGTTACTTAGTTTGACGTATTCACTTGCTGAGATAGTAGCACATTTGATGTGCCACCATAAGTAGCATGCCTCGCAGTACACTGCACGGTGGTTTGAAGCTACAGGCCTACAGGGAAATTTAATGGGCCCTGGGTTAAGGGCAATGTCTCCAGAAAGCTGAATTATCAATATTTTTTACACAAAAACGAAAGTCAATTGGTATTGCTAGATTTCTCCTTGTATACTGGGTGTGGTAGAGTAGTTGATGTAGAGCATTTGTTTGAAATCCCTGAAAAGTCCAGTTACATATGAGTTGTTCAGCTCCAGTACAGGAATAATCTAATTTTATTTTGTTAATAGCGAATTGATTTTCAAATCTGGAGCTAGTAGACTCCTCCCATACAGGACTGAGAAAACTTTGAATTCTGAGGTTGAATAAGCTGGTCTTTCCTTGACTTACAAGTGCTGTTTGTTGTACATTTTGGATTTAACATTACATTGCATTTTGTTTAGGTTAGTGTTTGTTAGTAGTAAGCATTAACAAAATTTAGTTGGGCGAAAGGCACCGGCCATGATCTGTCAGATTACATTGTAATTGGAGTCTACAATGTAAGAAACTTTTGACCCATTTAATTAAGTGCTTGACCTTTTATGCTATAGTAATGCATTTTGAATACAAGTAAAAGAAATGCAGAACAAAATTAATGTTTATTTTAAGTATCTGTGGTATCTGATACCAGGGTCTTTCAAATAGAATAAAATATTGAAAGACCCTGCTGATCCGTATCAGTAACTCATTAATCATTAATAAAATATTTTATAAAAAAAAACAACAAATGTCAGCATTTTCATTGTCAGATAAGTTATAAGTAATTCCTTGTCTTTATTAATTAAGCAAAAAAGTGTTTATTATTAATATAATAATAGTTTATAAATGATTTCACAATTAACAGTCAATAAGAAGTTACTGTCAACTGCAACTATCCTTTCATGGATTAGACTGAATATTTTCTCCGTGTTAAGAGTATCTTGTTATTAGAAGCTTGGTTTACAGGGGGCAATACACAGTTTTCAAGGCTTCTCGGCAAACAACTGACCGCGCCACAATCAAAACCTCACACACAAGTCTGTAATCACACACCTGAAATAAATGCATTTCATATTTAACATATACATATGTATCTCACAGCAAACAATTAAAAATACATGTCCACCTTCTAGTTTTCTGGCACATAGCCCTGTGTTTTTCATTGTTTTGGTCGCGAAAATCAACGACAAAAATAGCGGATTACCCCTATTCGCAAAATACAACAATATATTAACGTCAAAAGATTAAATCACAAGCTATAGTGATTCTTCCTTCTTAAACAATGCACAATCTGAAAATAACATCCGAACGGGGAGTCATGCACCTACTTTTTTCACTATTTTAAGTCTTCTGCATACCCTTTAAATTGAAGAGCTGATTCACCGCCTAGCTCCGAAAACCACATGTTCGCATCCGACAGGTGCTCTCTCAAAAAAGCAAGGGTTAACACCACTAAATTCAATTTTACTAAATAACTGAAACGCAATACTAGTCATTGAAACTTGAAATATAGTAACTATAAACATTTAGAACCTCAAATATCCACTTCAATTTCAAAACTGTCTCTTATTTGTAAATTCCCTGGCCAATTCGAAACTAAACGGCCGAAACTGTGTACTGCCTCCACATGCGTCTGTCAATCAAGATCTAATATTATGAATAACTTTTGCAAACTTTTGAGAGTTTAATGGTTATGTTGTTATTTTATTTATTCAAAAATTGTTAAATGTTTGTTTTGAATCAACTAAGTGTAAAATTATTTGAATAAATAACTCCTAAGCTTAATAACGAGAAACTTTACAAGTAGTCATTTTCGGATGGTGTCATACAACCGGATATAGGTATGTGGGGGGCAGCACGAAATACACAAATATTGCCCAAATATACACAAATATTGTCCAAATATACTAGAAAAAATGTCCAAATATACTAAAAATAAATGTTTTATAACAAAAAGTGCTGTTTTTATTTTGAATTATCCCGGTGTTACCTAAATTCGGCGATATAAGAACAAATGTCAATGGCATTTTCAATTAAATACAGTAATCTATAATTATACTTGAGATAATTTAACTGCAACTAATTTAAAGTTACTTAAAGTTGATTTCTAACATTGTAATCGTTCAGCGGTTGCCAAATATAAACAAATATGGCTGATGTAAAATCTTACTACGATCTGAAAACGTCACCTAAATTCGGCGATTCTGATTGGTTGCAGTAAATTTTTAATTTTGGCGGGATTGTAATGTAGTATGTTGACCTAGATCGGCAGTAAAAATAGTAAGATAACACAAGGCGACTGTCAAATTATTTTAAGTAACAATATCAATCAAATAAAGGGAAGTATAGATAAACTTGAAATTGCATCAGGTAAAACACACAATTTTCTCCATGTCATATACAATTTTTAATGTTTACCAGCCGTATCTCAATCTTTAGCGCAGAAAATCACTGAGTTGTAAAAATAGACCGTGGGTCATAAACATGATTGACCTTCACCTCTGAAATCTCGCGTAAATGACGAAAAACAAAACATCGTCGAATTTAGGAGAACGCCGAATTTGGGTCACGGTAGGATACAATATAAACGTTCACTAAGATAAAATCAAACATACCCAAATATACACTTTCCTATCACCAAAATACAGAATCTACCCAAATACAGTATACTCCATTAAAGCTATATTAAATTAAAAAAAATAATACAATGGACACTTGTATGAAATTTGAACAAAGTTATACACCCCCCCCCCCCCCAAAAAAAAATGTTGACAGCTATCATATCTTTATCATATATTGCTAGTATATTCATTAATGAACCTAAATAAGCCAATGTCACAAGATTATTTTCTTACAACATATGAACTGCCCATTTCAACGGAATGAATGAAAGTTATAGCTGCCTCAGAGTCATACTATTTTATAATTATTAATTCATTTTCTCATTATGATCTGTATTTTATACAAACAAAAATGAATATTGCTATATTTGGGTATACATGGGCAATATTTTGGTATTTCGTGCCGCCGGTCTGTGGCAGGTTTCGTGCGCTTACTGTAAAGGATTTCGGATAACAACTAGACTTTTCGAGTATGCGCTTCTATATATCTTTTATTTTCACACATCAGCATAAACAAAGCAATTCTCTGAAACAAATGATAAAGTAATAAACTAATACATTCATTTCTGATATAAACTTAACAAATAAATAATAGAATAGAATAATTAAATAATTATTTCCTATGACGAAGAATCTTAATAAACAGAAGTACAGTTAAAATCCATAAAATAAATAATCGTAAAAATTGATTTAAATTAATAAATACTTCATTAGAAAATACTTTTTATCCGTAAACAAATAAATAAATAAATCAAATAATTTAAGCAGCTATCATACCGACTATAATGTCTTTCACATCGAAACCTTTAAAATACAGTTTCAGCTTTAACGTTTAACGCCGCTACATATAACGGAAGTTACCTTTTAAATTCATAACAAACAATTACGTCAAAATGACGCGCTAAACTATTCAGCGCACAACGTTAAATAAATTGGCGCCAAACAACGTTTAACGTAAGAAATATATTTTTATTAGAATCGGTAATAAACGATTCTTACACTTACTATAGTCACTGTGGCTTACGGTCTTCAGGGTACACGTTTATATATTGTGACATGATGTGAACGCGGCTGAAGACAGACCCGTAGTGAAAGCCCGACATTAAAAGTGCCAGGAATCTGACACACCAGACTTCCCGAAAACTGTCAGATCGATGGATATAATTGACATATTTTTTAAGCTTAAGTCAGTCCCCAATGCTTTGAATGCTTTCTGTAAAATCATTTTGGCAGAAAATCGCCAGGCGACCTCTTCATTTATCAATTTCATGACCACGCAAGGTATCAGACTTAAAGCTGCCTGGTTCCACAAGATACTCAAAGTCGCTGATGCTGTAAAAATTATTAAAGCAGGCGCGTTAGTGTTTATTTGTGACCTAGGCATAACAGAGGCCTATAAAAATACCTTCCCAATCTAATTTTTTTTTTTAAATCGTGCAGTTTTCCCAAAATTTGGGAACATTTTACAACAGCATTTTTACTTCCCAAATTAGCAATTTTAGGGATAATTTTTCCCAAAATCAAAGGCTTTTGCCAATTAAGTAAGAAAAACCACTGACTAGGAAGCAATGAAGCCAAACATTCGGATTGTTAAAATGTCTCTGTGAATATGATAAGGATTTTTTTTCATTTACCAATAGAATAAAATTTGCATTTTTAGAAGCTACTACATTTCCTAGAGATAATTTCCATACTCCCATACACATTTTGTTTTTAGGTTAGGTCTACCTTGAATTTTCTGATGTGTTAATAAGAAAATTTACCAATACGTTTGCCTCCATGATCTAAAATTCATTAAGGGAATCAAAACAAGTGACGAAAAAGGAGTCACAACAAGAGCTGTCACAGGAGACAGCCAAGCTCGACTAATAAAATACTGGACGCAGTAAGGAGGACAAAAACTATGAAAGAAAAACAAATTATGTATAATTATGTATTAAGTTGTAGTAAAAAAATATCATTTGTTAACATAAATTCCAAGATCAAGGGGAATAATTCTAGAAAAAGTCATGCTAGAGTTATGAATCTTTCACACATTATGTGTGTAATGATAAGAAATATATACATGTATTTGAAGTTTGAAGTAGATACCTAAAAAAGAAAAGAAGTTATAATATTTCTTAAAGTTCAATGAAAGATAAATCTGTAAATATTGCTTCAAGAGTTACGAACATTGTCACTTAAAATGTAATTGATGATAAGGAATAAGTATTTTAAGTTTTAGGTAGATACCTTTAAAACTAAAAAAGTTATAGTAAAAAATAACATTTTTCTAGTAAAAAAATCTAAGTTTATGGGGAGATAATTCTTGCAATATTAGTGCTAGAGTTATGAACCTTGCCACATAAGATGTGGATGATGATAAGTTACATATATTTGAAGTATGAAGTTGATCCCTTTAGAAATAAATAAGTAACAGTAAAAAATAGTATTTTTTAAGGAAAATTCTATGTTCAAGGGGAGATAAATCTGAAAATATTGGTGCTAGAGTTATGAACCTTGTCACATAAGATGGGGATGATGATAAGGTACATTTATTTGAAGTATGAGGTTGATCCCGTAAGAAATAAAGAAGTAACAGTAAAAAATAGTATTTTTTGAGAGTTCAAGGGGAGATAAATCTGAAAATATTGGTGCTAGAGTTATGGACCTTGTCACATAAGATATGGTTGATGATAAGGAACATATATTTGAAGTTTGAAGTTGATACTTTAAGAAATGACAAAGTGATAGTGATAAATATTTTACTGCACCAAAACTTTAATCTGGACGCGGACGCCGACGCCGACTTATTACAATGTATTGAGTTATGACTCTTTATAACCAAATTTTCTGTGAAATTATTGGTTTTAGCTGGATAACTTTTGAAAATTTTTATTGATCGTATTTTTATTTGGCATGAAAATGTATATTAGTAACCATTTGCCTCGTATACTTCCAGGTTGAAATTACATTTTGAAAAATCCTGTAATTAAGTGTGCATAAGGTCAAAAACAGAATTTAATGACCATGGAAGTGGATAATCAATTACTGAAATGTTTTATGTCTATATCTATAATTAATAATCTTAAGTGTTCAGGTACAGAATCAGTTATACTACTAGCCCACACTTAATACAAGCAAAATACTTTAGCAAAATAGTATTAGATTAATTATCTAAACCAATTAGTGATAGGATCATTTGTATTTAACATAGATAGTGGTAAAAATATGGTCCCATGTTAAATAATCAAAATCAATGATTGTGTTTCAGGTATGCAGTGAGTGGCCTTGTAAGCAAATCATTGCATGTACTGGCTGGATATGAGATATAGCTGTGATAGAAACAATATCAGACCAGTTAGATCTGACAGTTAACATGTTTATACAGAAATTAATGAAATCACTGCTTCCAGCAGCAGGTAAATGGCTGATCATTTGTACCAGAACTTTAAATTCCATTTCTAAATTCAGATAATAAAACAGGTAAAGATTAAAGATTTTAAACCAATTTTCCATTTGTAAATTGTTCTATAGTTCATTTAGAAATTGATTGGAGTTATATCTGAATAAATTACTTGAAAAATGTGAAATATAAACTTTAAATTAATACATGAAGCGATTAAGGATATGAGTTTTTGTTGTTTATCTCATATATAAGTAATAAATAAGAACAATACAATTAACTTGTAGCATAGATGTATGTATATTTGCAGACCAGTACTTTCTTAGTCTGTCACAATGCAGAAAGGGTTTGAGTTCTCTCAGTGAATTAAGAAACCAGTTTCAACAATTACCAGGCGGCTCAGTAGACCTGACAAAGGATGAGAAATCCGGAATAGCAACTGTTGTCATCAGTAACCCAGGAAGAAAGAATGCTTTTACTGGTTTGTGAATAATTCAAGTGCTTTTCATAAAGTTGACCCGATATATAATTTTACTTATGTTGTAGTTTATTCAAGAGAATCAGTTCATTTTTATCTTGTCTGTTTCATAGAAAATGTTGAGCTATTAATATCGCTGTGTTGTCATTGTCGTCTTAATGTACTCAATTACTCTAACAATTGCTAAGGTATCAATATGAATACCTGCTCATGACATTGAGAGGCAGTTGTAAGACAAGGGGCATTATTCTGAAAACTATATTTTTGGAGTAATGCCCCTTTTTAACTTAATGATTTCAAAACTATAAAAGGTACTAGTATCAACATGAAACTTGGATCACTTGATTATCATGACAATATACAATTGTGAGACAAGGGGCATCGTCCTGAAAGCAATAATGTTAAGGAGTTAAGTCCCTTTTAAACTTAGAATATTTATGAAATTGGTTATTGGTAGTAATTGCTCTTAACAGATTAAAAGTTCAGTTTACAAATTTTTGATTTATGAATAAATAGTAAAAAAACAACATATATAAACTTGTTATCCACTAGCACTGATTGCATAAACATAAATTATGAAAATAATAGATATAAAATTTTAATCATATATACCTGTATAAACTATATACTTTGTATACTTAGGAATGTATTTAATGTATTTTAAAGGAAAAATGATGGCAGATTTTTATGATTGTGTAACAGACTTGGAAAAGTGGGAAGATGGAAAATGTGTTATACTTGCTGGTGCAGACGGGGCTTTCTGTTCAGGGGGAGATCTACAGACAGTTCAAGCTAATCTACAAAATGGAGGTGGCATGTGTGAATTAATGCAGAATGCAACATCAAGACTGTTTAACTTACCTCTTGTTAGTGTTGCTGCTATAGATGGACATGCTCTTGGTGGGGGAGCTGAACTTGCCACAGCCTGTGATTTTAGAATTATGAAACCAAAAGCAAAAATAGGTTTTGTTCAAGTGAAACTGAATATAGCGCCAGGATGGGGTGGATGCACAAGACTTGTTAAGTTGCTTGGTAGAACAAAAGCTTTAAGACTTTTATCTTCTGGAATGGTAATGGATTCAGAGACTGCCTATAGAATAGGTTTTGTTAATGATATAATAGAGGAGGATGGAGATATTGTAGAACTAGGTAAACAGTGGTTGCTAGGGAACTGTATAGGTAATGCTGCTGCTACTAGGGTATTAAAACAAATGGTGATTGCTGGATCTCAGTTAGGAGAGGAGGAATCATTAAAGCATGAGAGACAATTGTTCTGTAAAGTATGGGGAGGTGAATCCCATAGGGAGGCACTGAGTATGAATAAAAAACATAATTAATTATGATTGTTGGTTTTATAACCATTATTTTATTTATGATGAAGGTCAAGCATTGACCGAAACTAGTTGACACTAATAAAATAATGTAAACCTGTCCTAGTGTTGACATGTATTATTCTTGTCTTAAAGTTACATTAGTTGATTACTATTTTTAATTTTTATTTGTTACAACTTTGAATATAATTTTTTAGTATTACAGTTATTTCTCTGGTCAAATAAATTGTTTGAACTCAAAAGTGCTTTTTTATTTCATAATTTTATGAAAGAAAAATGAAAAATTGTCATTCCTTTTTTTTGGAGGTTATTCTCATACAGAAACTGTGTCTTTTCTGTCTTGTACTTAATATCAGCGATGGAATAAGAATGTAAGATAATGTTCATTGTTGATAGAAATCATGGCATTCCAATTTAGCCTTCTCAAGTTCTGCATTTATTTTTAGCTCACCTGTCACAAAGTGACAGGGTGAGCTTTTGTGATCGCTTTTCGTCCGGCGTCCGTCCGGCGTCCGTCCGTAAACTTTTACTTTAAATGACATCTCCTCATAAACCACTAAGCCAATTTCTTCCAAACTTCACAGGAATGTTCCTTTGGTGGTCACCTTTAAAAAGTGTTCAAAGAATTTAATTCCATGCAGAACTCTGGTTGCCATGGCAACTGAAAGAAAAAACTTGAAATATCTACTTTTAAAAAACCATAAGAGCTAGAGCTTAGATATTTGGCATGAAACATCTTCTAGTGAGTGTCTACCAAGTTTGTTCAAATAAAAGCCCTGGGGTCAAAATTGGCCCCGCCCCGGGGGGTCATTGATTTTCCCTATATGCATATAGTAAAAACTTAAAAAATCTTCTTTTAAAGAACCCAAAGAGCTAGAGCTAAGATATTTAGCATGAAATATGTTATAATAGGTGTCTACCAAGTTTGTTCAAATAAAAGCCCTGGGGTCAAAATTGGCCCCGCCCCGGGGGGTCATTGATTTTCCCTATATGCATATAGTAAAAACTTAAAAAATCTTCTTTTAAAGAACTCAAAGAGCTATGGCTAAGATGTTGAGCATCAAACATGTTCTAATAGGTGTCTACCAAGTTTGTTCAAATAAAAGCCCTGGGGTCAAAATTGGCCCCGCCCCAGGGGGGTCATTGATTTTCCCTATATGCATATAGTAAAAACTTAAAAAATCTTCTTTTAAAGAACCAAAAGAGTTAGAGCTAAGATATTTAGCATGAAACATGTTCTAATAAGTGTCTACCAAGTTTGTTCAAATAAAAGCCCTGGGGTCAAAATTGGCCCCGCCCCGGGGGGTCATTGATTTTCCCTATATGCATATAGTAAAAACTTAAAAAATCTTCTTTTAAAGAACTCAAAGAGCTATGGCTAAGATATTTAGCATCAAACATGTTCTAATAGGTGTCTACCAAGTTTGTTCAAATAAAAGCCCTGGGGTCAAAATTGGCACCGCCCCGGGGGTCATTGATTTTCCTTATATGTGTATAGCAAAAACTTAAAAAATCTTCTTTGAAAAAACCCAAATAGCTAGAGTTAAGATATTAAGCATGAAACATCTTTTAGTGAGTGTCTACAAAGTTTGTTCAAATAAAAGCCCTGGGGTCAAAATTGGCCCCGCCCCGGGGGGTCATTGATTTTCCCTATATGCATATAGTAAAAACTTAAAAAATCTTCTTTTAAAGAACTCAAAGAGCTATGGCTAAGATATTGAGCATCAAACATGTTCTAATAGGTGTCTACCAAGTTTGTTCAAATAAAAGCCCTGGGGTCAAAATTGGCCCCGCCCCAGGGGGTCATTGATTTTCCCTATATGCATATAGTAAAAACTTAAAAAATCTTCTTTTAAAGAACCAAAAGAGTTAGAGCTAAGATATTTAGCATGAAACATGTTCTAATAAGTGTCTACCAAGTTTGTTCAAATAAAAGCCCTGGGGTCAAAATTGGCCCCGCCCCGGGGGGTCATTGATTTTCCCTATATGCATATAGTAAAAACTTAAAAAATCTTCTTTAAAGAACTCAAAGAGCTATGGCTAAGATATTTAGCATCAAACATGTTCTAATAGATGTCTACCAAGTTTGTTCAAATAAAAGCCCTGGGGTCAAAATTGGCACCGGCCCGGGGGTCATTGATTTTCCTTATATGTGTATAGCAAAAACTTAAAAAATCTTCTTTGAAAAAACCCAAATAGCTAGAGTTAAGATATTAAGCATGAAACATCTTTTAGTGAGTGTCTACAAAGTTTGTTCAAATAAAAGCCCTGGGGTCAAAATTGGCCCCGCCCCGGGGGGTCATTGATTTTCTTTATATGTGTATAGCAAAAACTTAAAATCTTCTTTGAAAAAACCCAAATAGCTAGAGTTTAGATATTAAGCATGAAACATCTTCTAGTAAGTGTCTACAAAGTTTGTTCAAATAAAAGCCCTGGCCCGGTCCCAGGGGTGTCATTGTTTTTAACTATATGTGTATAGTAAAAACTTTAAAAAAATCTTCTTTTAAAAAGCCCAATGAGCTAGAGCTTAGATGTTTAGCATGAAACATCTTCTTATGGGTGTTTACCAAGTTTGTGCAAATAAAGCCCTTTGGTTAAATTGGCCCTGCAACGTTGGGGGGGAGGGGCCTATATATACAGGTGAGCGACCTCAGGGCCATCATGGCCCTCTTGTTTGTTTATCTATTTAGACTGTCATTTGTAAGTAATAAAGTAGAGAAGCTTTGGCAGATTAAATGGGCATGCAGACTAGCCTGGCTTTAATGGTGTATAGCCTTTTCTTGCATATCAGACAGGATTATCTACCGTTTACACCGGTGCTGGAAAACTCTTACACCCCTATATGTAAGATAAGTCGCGTGCTTTAAATGACGTCATTGACGCGCGCCTTTTATGACGTCATTTTACCTTAATGAATGAAGTTGTATTTTCATATGCTACTATAAGAAAAAAGTGTTAATATATATATATGTTTTCATAATTTCTGTTCCGAAAATATTTGACATGTAATATGCAAACAAAAGAATCAAACACCGGCTGTTGGTACAGACGGGCATATCTAGCCCTCGGGTAACTGTTTAGCGGAGACTCGGCTGAGCCTCGTTACCGCTGTAAACAGTTAACCTCGAGCTAGATATTCCGGTCTGTATCGGCAGCCGGTGTAAGATTCTTATAATCTCCCTTTGTTTTTAAAATATTAATGAAATTTTACATGTTATTCATTGGTTTGATTTTTTTAGTCATCTAGTGTTCACCACCCAGAGCGGGTTATGTACAGTACTGGAAGAAGAAGAATTGCCAACCAAAGACATGTTCTTTATAGACAAGTAAATTTCATAGACAAACTCTTAAAAAAGAGTTTGGGACTAAGTGGGCATTTGTAAACTGGATGTTATAGCCTCGCTTTATTGCAACATTAACAAAGGAAATGAGAAACTTTCAGTTCACCATTTATTCATTTTGAGTACAGACAAGTGTTTTCTTTCAATCCTGATTAGAGAAAAAGAGACCAAACAAAATATTTTGTGCATTAAATCAGAGAAAAAATTACTGCAAGAACTTGTTCTCTGATTTCCAGCTACATTAAATATATACTATATACATAGAGTAGTGGAAGCAGGATTATTATTTATCTTAAATAATTGAATCACCCAACAACTGTGATAATAGCAGGGTTGGTGATGGGTCCTCAAAAAATTACAGACAGTAACACAGAAATCAAAATCACTAGTGTTTTTCAATTCTTTTCTCAGAATATAAAAGTATCATATAAAATTGAGCATAACACACATGTATACCATGCCAGGAGAGTTCATGAATGTGCGTTGTTAACTCTGCCTGTTACATTGTAAATAAAATTAGCTGTGTCTGGAAGTGAGGTCAAATAAAGTTGAACACTTGGTCTTTATTAAATGAAATTTTAAAAATTAAGAACCCATGATCACTGACTTTAACTTGATTACAGTTGAAAGTTAAAAAATTCCACTTAATATCACATTAACATTACAAAGTCCTTACTCTTTTGTTGGCGAATTATTATACTGAAAGGTTTATTATAAAGGATTCTAAACATTATAATGATCAGAATTGCAAAATGCTTTCCATAGGTTTAATCTAAGCAGGAAGACAACAATAAATGTTGATATATTTGTTGATATACATTCTTATAGAAATTCATTGCATTTAAATTGATGATGTATTATTTCTCATATTTTGTCAAAATTGGATAATGAGTACATAAATCAGTATTGCTTGTCACATTAGTTTACCAGAACAAACATTAAGCCCTTTATTAATAATACATACCATTTTTAGCTCTACTTTTTAAAAGAAACTAGAACTATCACTAAATGTGATTAATACCCCCACAAGACTGCTTTGGAAATGAGGATGTTACTAGTAACAGAATACCTTGTAAAAGAATTGAAATATAGGGTAATGGTTGTGGGCAAATAAAGATAGTTGTGGTTCTTGTATGTTGCATTTCCTTTCAATGTGGTTGGCCATTGATGAAGTTTTATTGAATTACTCTGTAATAAGTCCAGAAAGACAAGGAAAAGGAACAAAGGGCAATAAATACTGAAGATGGAGTTATAGTTCTTGTGCACTGCACTTCCTCTTATTGTGCTTGACCATTGTATGAAGTTGTTTTGAATTCCAACCAGTACCTTTTAAGTTATGCTCCGGACAAGGAAAAGTATCAAAGGGCAGTAACTCTGTAATTAGTCAAGATGGAGTAATGGTTCTTGTGCACTGCACTTCCTCTCAATGTGCTTGACCATTGTATGAAGTTGTTTTGAATTCCAACCAGTAGTTTTCATGTCATGCTCTGGACAAGGAATAGTAACAAAGGGCAGTAACTCTGTAATAAGTCAAGATGGAATTTTGGTTCTTGAGCACTGCACTTCCTCTCAATGTGCTTGACCATTGTATGAAGTTATAATGAATTTTCACAATAAGTCTTTAAGTTATGGTTCAGACAAAAGAATGCAATGGAAAAGTAACAAAGGGCAATAACTCTGTAATTTCTTTAGATAGAGTTATCGTTCTTGTGCACTGCACTTTCCCACATTGTGTTTGACGATTGTATGAAGTTGTTTTTAATTCCAATTAGTAGTTTTCAAGTTATGCCCCGGACAAGGAAAAAAATAAAAAGGCAATAACACTGTAATAAGTCAAGATATAGTTAAAGTTCTGTGCACTGAACTTCCTCTCAATGTGTTTGACCATTGTTTGAAGTTATAATGAATTCCAACAATTAATCTTAATGTTATGGTCCGGACAAAAGAAAGCAATGGAAAAGTAACAAAGGGCAATAACTCTGTTATTACTTTAGATAGAGTTATGGCTCTTGTGTACTGCACTTCCCCTTATTGTGTTTAACAGTTGTATGAAATTGTTTTCAATTCCAACCAGGAGTATTCAAGTTATGCCCCGGACAAGGAAAAGTAACAAAGGGAAATTACTCTGTAATTAGTGAAGATAGAGTTATGGTTCTTGTGCACTGCACTTCCTCTCAATGTGCTTGACCATTGTATGTAAATGAATTGAATTCCAACCATTAGTCTTCAAGTTATGCTCCGGACATGGAAAATGCAACGGACGTCTGGACTGACCGACCGACCACCAGGTGACTCCTATATACCCCCCCAAACTTCGTTTTGGGGGGTATAAAAAGTGGAGGTATTGTCATGATCCACTCATCAGTCAGCATTGGCATTGAAACACTTTAACCTCAGAATACTTGTTCATTATAAAAATTGGAATGCATATTTTTTTTTTAATTTTTTATATTTTCATAATTTTCTTGAATACCATCATAGATATTAACTTCAAACTTTAAATACCGAGACAAAAAATTCTGCAAAAAAGTTAATCAGAATTATGTATTTATATATAGTTCTATACAAAAATGTTTTCCTTTTATTTCTGGAAAGTTTAAAATTTCAAAGAGAGACTTGAATGCTTTTTTTTACGGAATGTATACAAATTTTGTGGTGTATAGTCTTTATTCTGTTTAAATGATCCAGTTCTCATAATGTTTGACTACAAATCCAGTCACAGGAATTGCAAGGACAACTCCCAAAATAGTATTTCTGATTAGCTTCAGGCTCTATTTACATTCTTTATGTACACATCTTAACAACCAGTTTACGCTAGTTGCAGGATATCCTTCTTGAGGAATTTGAAATAAGGGCATAAACAAGACAATGTAAGGAGCTATTTTACAATGGTTTTGATTAAGATTCATTCATTGGAAAGGGAAGCTGTTTATACCTATTTTTAACATTACAACAACAAATGTTCCATTGCTAACACAATTTATTTTTACATCAACAAAACATTGGTGTTCATACATTACTTAAATTAATTCTATATATATCATCATTAACAGTTGTTACAGAAAAACTCTGTTTTATGCCCCTCATTTACGGACTAAATATAATATACATTTATTAAAATTCAAATTAAAGTTATTAAGCCAGTCCCCAATATAGACCTTAAAACAAACAGAAGCATACAAACTGTATATATAACCAACATCTGACTATATTACATCATTTAATCATTAATTTCCTTTACCCAATTAAAATTAATTCCAACCTCCATACGAATCGGACATTGAAGATAGAATATGAACTTTGTAGGGAACACAATGCTCTCAAGTAAAAGAATTGAAAAGAAAAGAACTAGCAGGTGACTTTTGGACAAAGCATTTGTACCTTTATACAAGAAATTGTAACAAAGCAAATGTTACTGAATAAGCTATATTGACATTTAAGTATGTACATCAAATATTGTAGTAACTTGATGTCAATGTGTAAGATTTATAAATGAAAGTCTTCTTATTCTTGAATGATTAAAACCCCACATTAAATCAAAATATGAGAAACGACAACACACATAGACAACAAAAAAACAACTTGAAATAATGTAACAAAGTCTTGATGTACAATATACAAAATTAAGAGCATAAATATACAGATAAAAGTAAAATAATCCCTATCACAGTTAACTTGTGGCAAATAAAATCGCTAAATAAACTACCACAACACACAACATACATATAGTACCATATTACATTGTACTAGTATGATAAAATTCCTACAATGACTCCAAGGTATTTAATGTTTTAACAATATCATTCTAGCTACTAAGACCCACCTCTAATCAGTTTTTTTTATCTATACGATAAATATTTACCTATAATGACAAACATGAAAGTATCAAAGTTTTGATGTCTACATATCAAAGTATTAGAGCGAAATGGTTGTAACTTCTTTACCCAGGCCTCAGAACCTATAACCTAGGTCCAAGATTATAAACAATTTTTCTCCGCTCAAACTCAAATCTTAGGAATTTGATTGCACAGAATGTATCTTGACAAATGAAATTCCTCAGATTTGAGACAGAACGCAGAAAAAAAGTGTTATAACCTCTAGGCCAGGTTATACCTAATTACTAAAATTTAAAGGTTTCTCATATTCAAATGTTTTTAATGTACAAATATCATTTAACATGAATTTCACTTAGGATTTATTTTGATATATTTATGTACCGGGTATATTTGTTGAAGCAGTACATACCTTAAAATGTTAATCTCAAAAATTAAAATGTTACATAATAATGTTAATATATAGATACATTTTTTGTTAATAAGGTTAATATATATTTGATATACATATTATAATATAGTAATATTTTAAGAGGTTCAAGATATTCTGCTATACTGAAACCATTTTAAAATAGATATTCTGTTATACTGGAACCATCATTGACTGTTTCAACATATTATACACTAAAATAGTTATTTTTTTTATCCCATTATATATTGAGGTAGCCACTTGTTTCTGATAAAAGGTTAGGAATATATCTTTTATAAGATAGAAAATCAAAAGAATAATCTAACAGTTCAATGTGATTTCAATATCAATATTGATACTTACAAATTATTCAATAATTATAACAGCAATTTGAAAACTTCTCATAATTTAGGTATCAAGTAGGCTAAAGATGATTAAACAAATGTTTGATGAAAACAAATCATTCTGCAGCTCTTACACAGTTAAAGCGAAAACCATTTACTGCAAATAAATATCCTATTCACAACAATAATTGGTACAGTTCAATGATTTTAATTGCATAGACATGTATATTTTGTAAGTACTGACTCAATTATGCTACATGTATAACAACAGGCATGTCTGCTAATCGTTGATATTAATCATGTTGGTAAAAATGTGGGTATGAATGTCAGTCAAAATATGGGTATGAATGTCAGTCAAAATGACAATGTAGGTCAACATTTGGGTATTAATGTCAGTCAAAATGTGGGTATTAATGTCAGTCAAAATGTGAATGTAGATCAACATTTGGGTATTAATGTCAGTCAAAATATGGGTATGAATGTCAGTCAAAATGATAATGTAGGTCAACATTTGGATATAAATGTCAGTCAAAATGTGTGTATGAATGCCAGTGGGTAAACATGTGGATATTAATGTCAGTCAAAATGTGGAAATGAAGGTCAGTCAAAATGAGACTGTGGGTCAACATGTGGGTATGAATGTCAGTCAAAATGTGGGTCAATATGTGGATATCAATATTAGTCAAAATGGGGTTATATAAATGCAAGTCTTAACAAGAATATGAATATTAGCCTAAATGCAGATATGAAGAAGATGACTTAATCCCTTTATACAGAATGTTTGTTAAAAAGACACAACATAGTGACCAAAAATAAATTGATTACTCAGCAGGAAAAATAATATGAAAATTTCATCCCTTTTGTTCCTGTATCACCTTAAATTTTCATTTTTATATTTCCACATAAAAAAGGGTCTGTATATTGAAATAGTTTTAATGCATTTGCTTGGCATTAGAGTTCAATTTTACCAATAATTCAGAAACAGTGTGTCATCAAAAATCCATTTTGAACTACATTGCATATAAATGTTTTTCCTTAGTTCAAAATCAGAGGTCATTGAAATCATGATTAAATTTCATTCTAATTATTTCATACAAATCATGCTTTACCAGAGATAAACCAAAGGGTGCTTACATGTATCTGGAAAAAAAACTCACACCAACTTCTTTATATAACATCTAGTTGAAACAAATCAGAATCAATCTGAACAATTTGAGGATCTCACTACTGTAAGGAACGTAACAATATTCATTCTAATATACCTATTGTTAATTGAACCACTACTTTCCTTCTAACAAATTAAGGGGTGAATGTAAAAACATGGCCATTACCTTCTTTTAATTCTCTAACAAAATGTCATGGTATTCAGAAATGACATAATTTGAAAACATACCCTAAATCGATAGATAAATGAATATATATTTTGAGCCACGTCACAACAAAACCAACATAGTGCGTTTGCGACCAGCATGGATCCAGACCAGCCTGGGCAATCCATGCAGTCTGATCAGGATCCATGCTGTTCGCTTACCAACCCTATTACAAGTAGAGAAACTGATAGCGAACAGCATGGATCCTAATCAGACTGCACAGATGCGCAGGCTTGTCTGGATCCATGCTGGTCGTAAACACACTATGTTGGTTTTGTCGTGACATGGCTCATTTAGATGTTAAGCTAATTTGATTACAATACAAGTGTAAGAATCTAACTAGGTGAGACAACAAGCTTAGTTGTAACTAGAGAATTACAATAAATACATTCTAAAACATTATAACGGAATATTGCACAGCAGAACACCCACAGAGAGAACACACATCTTATCAACAATATATTATGGTTTTTATATTATACCACCAAATGTGGGCTATAATCATATCTACATAAAATGTATATATTTCAGAATCAATTTCAGAATCAATTTCAGAACACTTTAATTCTTAGTTAAATAAAGGATGTACCACACTATATGTTAATATTTGTTTGTTTGTTTGTGTCATTTTACGCCTTTTTCCAACAGTATTTCAGTCATATAGGCGGGTAGTTTCCTAACCATCGTTCCTGGAGAGTTACACCAGTACTTGACGACCTTCCTCCGCGCTAAACTACCAAAGCATCTCCCGGTTAATATGAAACACAATTAAATTCTGTGTGAATTGAAACACTATCCAACAATGTTCTAAATCACAAATATGACTGCTTTTAAACTTAAAATGCTCAGAACATTATTACAGCAATTTTGAGTTCAGTGGTTTCACACCAGTCGTAAATGTCACATGAAATAAATATCATTAAAATCTTAAATACTCAAACTGTTTTGTCTAGAATAATGTATTTTGACAAATATTAATTATTACAGCAGACTTTAATGATATATTTTTCTGTTTATTGTCAAGATTTATGATAAAGATTTTGTCCAAATGGATGGTTTCAAAATTATCCTAAATATAATACTGATTTTTTATGAACTTTTTAAAAAAAAATTTTCTTAATAAAAGTAATATTTTCTCATAAGATAAAACAGAATAATGTTGTCAAGTTAAAGTCAGGTGACTATTAAGTTAGATGACTGGTTCCTTGCATCTGTATAGACTGGTTCCTTGCATCTGTGTAAGATATAGGGAATACACATTCAGTAGAGTGATTTCATGCCCTCCTCTTCAAACTGGGCCCAGGCATCATTCAATTCTATAAAGATAGCTCTAGCCAATGGAAGATGTGGTGAATCGGAAAGCTAAAATACAAATTATATATACTATTAATAAATGTACAAGCCACACAAATATTTAGAAATTATTGAATGCAAATGGATGCCTTAATCAGTGCATAACATAATAAAATTACTGGACGTGACGTCCTAACAGAACATGCGTTAAAGCTGAGTAACACGTTGATGTTAAACAACAAAGCTATGAACAATGTTTATTTTTTCAATAAAAAGATCCAAACAGTGATCTATTGTTAAGACATGCTTTGGTTAGACACAAAATATCCAGGAAGCCAGCTCTAAAACTTTTTATTTGCAAAACTGCATTCTGTGCTTAATTTGGATAAAGTTAACATGTTTTTTTTTCTAAGGGTTTCTTCACTTTTATCCATTTTTTAAAAAAATCCCCCACTTAACAGCAATGGCTACAGAAACTAGAAATGTGTCCATAGGACACGGGTGTCCCCACTGCGCCACTGTTCTGTCAATCTTATGACTCTTGGTCAAATATTTTTTGAAAACTAAAAATCTTTTACTAAGTAAAGGGCAAGAACTTTACAAATACTGAATAAATCCACAAGCAAACCCAAAGGTGCATAAGTACACATGCTGACCAACATTCTTGTAAACTTTCAGGCCTACAAGTGAAATACTTTTTGAGCTATGCATGAACAAGTTGAAAATTGCAAATTTATACTACTGTAAGTCAAGGGCAATAAGGAACAAGGAACAAATAACAACATAATGAAATGGTTTTTACTAAGTCAAGGGAAATAACTCTACAAATACTAGATAAATCCACAAGCGCAACCCCAGGTGCAAAACTAAATATGCTGAGCAACCTTCCCGTAGGTCAAATCCATTTTGAATTACATGCGACACAAGTTGAAAATTGCAAAAAAAGTCAAGGGCAATAACTCTAAAAATACTAAATAAATTCAGACGAAAATAAGCGGTGCACAACTACACATGCTGATCAATATTCCTGTAAAGTTTCATGACTCTATGTCAAATACTTTTTGAGTTACATGCGACACAAGTTGAAAATTGCAAAATTTTACTAAGTCAAGGGCAATAACTCTAAAAATACTAAATAAATCCAGACGAAAAATACCAGGTGCACAACTTCACATGCTGATCAACATTCCTGTAAAAGTTTTCATGACTCTAGGTCATATACTTTTTGAGTTACGTGAGACACAATTTGAAAATTGCAAAATTTTACTAAGTCAAGGGCAATAACTCTAAAAATACTAAAAATATCCAGACGAAATACCCAGGTGCCACAACTTCACATGCTGATCAACATTCCTGTCAAGTTTCATGACTTATCAATACTTTTTGAGTTACATGAACACAAGTTGAAAATTGCAATTTTACTAATCAAGCAATAAACTCTAAAATACTAAAAATATCCAAGACGAAAATACCCAGGTGCACAACACACATGCGATCAAACATTCCTTAAAGTTCCCCCTTGACTCTGGTCAAAAACTTTTTGATTTAACGTGCGACACAAAGAAACAACGGACAACAGGGAAAATCTAAAGCCCCCCATTAAAGTGGGGACCAAAAAAAACACCAAAATGTTTATGTAATACTGATAAAAATTTTCAAAAGAAAAGTTAAGAAAATGCTTTCTTAAAAAAACAAATTTTTTGCAATTTCATTGGAATTAAGCTTTTATTATTTCCACCTTTTCCCAGATTTTATAATATAAAACTTCTGCTTCTTTTGTAAATAACCACGATTGTAAGTTATTATTTTTAGCCTTAATTTGGTCAGAAGGCAAGTCTGTGCAGGTTCGGCCTGTATATTATAAACATAGACCTGTCAATGTCATTACTAGAGATCATTACCTTATCAGGATGTACAGAGAGTACAGCCTTTCTGTAGACTTTCTTCACCTGATCTGGTGTGACAAGATCATGCATACCACATTGTTTCCATCTTTTTTCATCCTCCCATAATACAGTATGTAGAGAACACAGTAATGCTCGAATGTTACGTTCCTTTCCTTGTGTCCACTCCATTACCTGTTTACATACAGAGAAATAATTATTAGTAAATATTAGCATTTAAATGTGTATCTAATTCTAGCATATAATGGGGCAAGTTAGAAGAAACTTTCCAAAATATGACAAATATACTAAGCCTAAGCCCCTGCTGTGACTTTTGACCTTTGAGCTAGGAACACAATCTTCTTTTGTGATCATGTGTACCAATTTATTTTTCAACCAATCATGCATACAATAAGTAAAGACACACAAATACATAGATATGGGTTACACAATTTTATGGAAGGGGGCATAAAAACTTGAATATTGAAACATTACCCTCAGTAAAAATACAAAAGAAAGAATCATCTGAAAATTTTTACAAAATTTTTTAATGGGAATTTTTTCCCGCCAATTTTTTTTTCATATCACCCCAAAACTTTTTTGGGCCCTTTACTTTTTTGGGAAAATAGTCCCCCTGCAACAAAAATCAATGTTGCTTTACTTGCATGGGTTTTTGGTCCTGCATTTTGTCCTATTAAAAATATACAAAAATTTCTTTAACTATACAGAATTCTGTCAAGGAATATAAATTTTTCCAAAAAAGGGTGCCCGCTTTTCCTTATCTAAATCTTTCTTAATATGTCACCAAAAAATTTAAATTTTTTTATGTTTTAAATTTTAAAAAAAGTTTAAAAAAATAAACAAAACCCAATTTAACGGGGGAGCTCCATGAAATTTTGGCACAGGAAAGTATAAACTAGAAATGTGTCCATAGGACACGGATGCCCCCACAGGCCACTGTTCTGTCAATCTTATCAATCTTATGACTCTAGGTCAAATATTTTTTGGACTACATGTGCCACAAGTTGAAAACTAAAAATCAACAAAGGGCCATAATTCTGTTAAATTTGGTTGCAGCAAAAATACCTTCCTTTACTACCATCTACACATTAAGGTTGTTCATCCCTTGAAGTTTAAGCAAAATCTGCCATCCGGTTTAAGAGGAGTTGTGTTCACAAAATTTCTACATAGTATATAGTGAAAAAATCAACAAAGGGCCATAATTCTGTTAAATTTGGTCGCAGCAAAAATTCCTTCCTTTACTACCATCTACACATTAAGGTTGTTCATACCTGGAAGTTTAAGCAAAATCTGCCATCCGGTTTAAGAGGAGTTGCGTTCACAAAATTTCTACATAGTATATAGTGAAAAAATCAACAAAGGGCCATAATTCTGTTAAATTTGGTCGCAGCAAAAATTCCTTCCTTTACTACCATCTACACATTAAGGTTGTTCATCCCTGGAAAGTTATGCAAAATCTGCCATCCGGTTTAAGAGGAGTTGCGTTCACAAAATTTCTACATAGTATATAGTGAAAAAATCAACAAAGGGTCATAATTCTCTTAAATTTGGTCGCAGCAAAAATTCCTTCCTTTACTACCATCTACACATTAAGGTTGTTCATCCCTGGAAGTTTAAGCAAAATCTGCCTTCCGGTTTAAGAGGAGTTGCGTTCACAAAATTTCTACATAGTATATAGTGAAAAAATCAACAAAGGGCCATAATTCTGTTAAATTTGGTCGCAGCAAAAATTCCTTCCTTTACAACCATCTACACATTAAGGTTGTTCATCCCTGGAAGTTTAAGCAAAATCTGCCATCCGGTTTAAGAGGAGTTGCGTTCACAAGATTTCGGGACGTACGGACAGACGGACGGACAGACGTACGGACACTCGGACGGAAAAGTGCAACGCTATATGCTCTGTGGGGGCATAAACAAGAGGGCCATGATGGCCCTGAGGTCGCTCACCTGTATAAAGCACCCCCCCCCCCCCCCCCCCCCCCCGCACCCAAAAGAAGATGTTTCATGCTAAACATCTAAGCTCTAGCTCATTGGGCTTTTTAAAAGAAGATTTTTTTAAAGTTTTTACTATACACATATAGTTAAAAACAATGACACCCCTGGGGCAGGGCCAGTTTTGACCCCAGGGCTTTTATTTGAACAAACTTTGTAGACACTTACTAGAAGATGTTTCATGCTTAATATCTAAACTCTAGCTATTTGGGTTTTTTCAAAGAAGATTTTAAGTTTTTGCTATACACATATAAGGAAAATCAATGACCCCCTGGGCGGGTCCAATTTTGACCCCAGCGCTTTTATTTGAACAAACTTTGTAGACACTCACTAGAAGATGTTTCATGCTTAATATCTAAACTCTAGCTATTTGGGTTTTTTCAAAGAAGATTTTTTAAGTTTTTGCTATACACATATAAGGAAAATCAATGACCCCCGGGGCGGGGCCAATTTTGACCCCAGGGCTTTTATTTGAACAAACTTGGTAGACACCTATTAGAACATGTTTGATGCTAAATTTCTTAGCTCTAGCTCTTTGAGTTCTTTAAAAGAAGATTTTTTAAGTTTTAACTATATGCATATAGGGAAAATCAATGACCCCCTGGGGCTGGGCCAATTTTGACCCCAGGGCTTTTATTTGAACAAACTTGGTAGACACCCATAAGAAGATGTTTCATGCTAATTATCTAAGCTCTAGCTCATTGGGCTTTTTAAAAGAAGATTTTTTTAAGTTTTTACTATACACATATAGTTAAAAACAATGACACCCCTGGGGCAGGGCCAGTTTTGACCCCAGGGCTTTTATTTGAAGAAACTGTGTAGACACTTACTAGAAGATGTTTCATGCTTAATATCTAAACTCTAGCTAATAGGGTTTTTTCAAAGAAGATTTTAAGTTTTTGCTATACACATATAAGTAAAATCAATGACCCCCGGGGCGGGGCCAATTTTGACCCCAGGTCTTTTATTTGAACAAACTTTGTAGACACTCACTAGAAGATGTTTCATGCTTAATATCTAAACTCTAGCTATTTGGTTTTTTTCATAGAAGATTTTTGAAGTTTTTGCTATACACATATAAGGAAAATCAATGACCCCTGGGGCGGGGCCAATTTTGACCCCAGGGCATTTATTTGAACAAACTTGGTAGACACCCATTAGAACATGTTTCATGCTAAATATCTTAGCTCTAGCTCTTTGAGTTCTTTAAAAGAAGATTTTTTAAGTTTTTACTATATGCATATAGGGAAAATCAATGACCCCCTGGGGCGGGGCCAATTTTGACCCCAGGGATTTTATTTGAACAAACTTGGTAGAAACTCATTAGAAGATGTTTCATGCTAAATATCTTAGCTCTAGCTCTTTGGGTTCTTTAAAAGAAGATTTTTTTAGTTTTTACTATATGCATATAGGGAAAATCAATGACCCCCTGGGGCGGGGCCAATTTTGACCCCAGGGCTTTTATTTGAACAAACTTGGTAGACACTCACTAGAAGATGCTTCATGCCAAATATCTAAGCTCTAGCTCTTTGGGTTTTATAAAGGAGAATTTTAAAGTTTTTTCTTTCGGTTGCCATGGCAACCAGAGTTCTGCATGGAATTAAATTCTTTGAACAATTTTTAAAGGTGACCACCAAAGGAACATTCCTGTGAAGTTTGGATGAAATTGGCTTAGTGGTTTATGAGGAGATGTCATCTAAAGTAAAAGTTTACGGACGGACGGACGGACGCCGGACGAAAAGCGATCACAAAAGCTCACCCTGTCACTTTGTGACAGGTGAGCTAAAAATGAACAAAGGGCAAAAACTCCAAAATTAGGCAAGGCAAAGTTATGTTTTTTTTGCACTGCACTTCTCTTCAATGAGCTCTATCTATCTATAAAGTTTCGTGATGATATCTCTTATAGTTTCAGAGTTATATCCCATGTAAAATTCAAAGTGTAAAAATGAACAAAGGGCAAAAAATCCAAAATAAGACAAAGGTGTGTTTAGGTTCTTTAGCATTGCAGTTCTATCCAATGAGATCTATCTACCTACAAAGTTTCATGTTGATATCTCTTATAGTTTTAGAGTTAATGTCCCATACAAAAGTCAAAAAGTAAAAATAAACAAAGGGCAATAACTTCAAAATAAGGCAAGGCAGAGTTATGATTCTTGTGCACTGCACTTCTACCCAATGAGACCTATCTACCTACAAAGTTTCATGTTGATATCTCTTATAATTTAAGAGTAATGTCCCGGACAAAGTTCTAAGAGTCAAAATGAACAAAGGGCAAAAACTCCAAAATTAACCAAGACAGAGTTACGGTTCTTGTGCACTGCAAACCTACTCAATGAGATCTATCTATCTGCAAAGTTTCATGTTGATAACTCTTATAATTTTAGAGTTATGTCCCGGACAAAGTTCAAAGTGTACAAATAAACAAAGGGCAATAATTCAAGTATTAGGCAAGACAGAGTTATGTTTCTTGTGCACTGCACCCTACTCAATGAAATCTATCTACCTACAAAGTTTCATGTTGACATCTCTTGTAGTTTTAGAGTTATGTCCCGGACAAAGTTCAAAGTGTAAAAATAAACAAAGGGCAATAATTCAAAAATTAGGCAAGGCAGAGTTACGGTTCTTGTGCACTGCACACCTACTCAATGAGATCTATCTACCTACAAAGTTTCATGTTGATACCTCTTATAGTTTTAGAATTATGTCCCGGACAAAGTTCAAAGTGTAAAAATAAACAAAGGGCAATAATTCAAAAATTAGGCAAGGCAGAGTTACGGTTCTTGTGCACTGCACACCTACTCAATGATATCTAACTACCTACAAAGTTTCATGTTGATGCCTCTTGTTGTTTCAAAGTTATGTCCCCGACAAGAAAAGCGGACGGACGGACGGACAAGGTGGCGACTATATGCTCCCCTGAAATTTTTGGGGAGCATAAAAAAAAACTTTGAAACCTAAACATAATTGTTTTTTAATGTTCATCAAAAAACACTAACACTTACCATGAACTTTCTTTGAACCTGTGTCTCTAAATACACTCCCTTGATTGTAGTTTGGCCTCTTTGACTGCTGGTTGCTAGGAGCAGCTGTACTTGGGCTTGCTCTCCCACCTCCTGCTGGCTGGTTTGGTATTGGCTGCTGCATACCACCTATATAAACCAACGTTCAATTATCATATCCTTGTATATTTATCATAGTACAATGAAAACAAACTGGTCATAACTTAGTAACAAGGGTGCCAAAGTCACAAAATACGCCCATTTACGAAAGCTTTAGATGGAGATGGGGGCATTATGGATAAGTGTTATCTAGCAAGCAAGTTTTTATTCTTGGCACTGTGTTGTTAAATGAACCTTAAAACAAATCAGTAGGGAAGATATGCACAGGATGTGTGACCTTGACCTTGGTCGCAGGGACCTGAATTTTATGCAAGGCACTCAGCCTCACAATGATTAACATTTGTGCCAAATTATATTGAAATCCCTCTATGCATGTAGATTTTTGCTCCAGACAAGTGTTTTCCTATGAGCTCTAACTGTGACCTTCACCTTTGACCTAGAGACTTGGTTCATGTGCAGGGCACTACGTCTCATGGTGGTGAACAATTCTATAAAGTAACATTAAAATTCCTCCATGCATGTAGAAAATATGCTCCGGACAACATCTGGATATTTAATCATCTCCAGTGACCTTGACCTTGCAAATATTAACCTAAATTAAATGTGTCACACCTGTAGTCATGATAGTTACCATTTGTGCTACAATCCATCAATAAATGATGACTAAATGGTCCCTATACACATTTTCAATTTTTTATCTTAACTTTGACCTCTATGTGTAACCTTGACTTTGGTCGCAGGGATCTGAATTTTGCGTGCGACACTCAGCCTCACAATGGTGAACATTTGTGCCAAGTTATGTAGAAGTTTTGCTCCGGACAAGCGTTTTTCAATGAGCTCTAAGTGTGACCTTGACCTTTGACCTGGAGACCTGGATCATGCATGGAGCAATACATATCATAGTGGTGAACATTTCCATAAAGTATTATAAAAATTCTTCCATACATGTAGGAGATATGCTCCAGACAAAATCTGGATATTCCATCATCTTTAGTGACCTTCACCTTGTATATATTGACCTAAATTATATGTATCACAGCCATAGTCTTGATAATGACTATTTGTGTTACAATCCCTCAATAAATGATGACTAAATGGTCCATATACACATCTTCGTATTTTTATCTGAACTTTGACCTCTATGTGTGACCTTGACCTTGGCCGCAAGGACCTGAATCTTGCGCGTGACACTCCGCCTCACAATGGTGAACACTTGTGCCAAGTTATATTGAAATCTCTCTAAACATGTGGAAGTTTTGCTCCGGACAAGCATTTTTGAATGAGCTCTAAGTGTGACCTTGACCTTTGACCTAGAGACCTGGTTCATGTGCGCGACACTGCTCCTCATAGTGGTGAACATTTCTATGAAGTTTCATTAAATCCCTCCATACATGTAGGAGATATGCTCCGGACAAAATTGGACGCCGCCCGCCCGCCCGCCCGCCAGGGGCGTTCCCATAATACGTCCCATTTTTCAAACGGGCGTATAAAAAGAAACACATTAAAATATGTGAATCGTTATGGCTATCTATGTAAATCCTTTTCCTAATCCTAAATTTATATTCTTAAATTCAATAACAGGAAATAAAGTTTGAGGTAATGAATACTTAAATAAAGTTGAAATATACATACCCTTATATCCTGATCCCATGGGTGATATACTGGGCTGTTGTTGTGGGGGTTGGTTTTGTTTCTGCTGTGACATACTGCATGCTGGCTTCCCAAAAGCACCTGTAACCATCATTTATAACTAGGTTATTTATAACTCAATCTAGTCAAATACTTATAGTATAACATAATGGCACTTGAATTTTTTTTCCAATTTAATAAACAGAAATAGAACATTAAAGCTGCATTCCTCCAGATAAGCCGAAATATTTCAAGAAAACAAATATTGAGAAAAATGCACTAAAATTTCAAGAAAGATTCAAGTTAAATGTGCGATTAATGACTGATTTTGCAATAAATATCCAATATTTCTTCTGCATTACTTACTAACATGTTAATGACTATTTTTGCAAATTTTGACCTCTTTTTGCAGTTAGCCTTGATTGTAAGCATTATTTTCAATGTGCAAATTAGCATCTTTGTACGCATTACAATTTTTTACTTTTAAACACATTTTCAAAATGTTCATGAAAATCTGTAGAATCTGGATGCATGCTGCTTTAAAAAAATAGTTAGCCCTATACTATTCTCAAGTATTGATTTTTCTAAGGTTCACAGTGGGGGATAATTCAAGATAGAGTTCTGGGTCAACTGGACATAATGATATATTAGTTTCAAGTGGTTGAAAGCACACAAATATCATGCAAAACCTTAACCAGGAATTTTCCATGTTAGAACATGTTATAAGAATTAAAACAATTCTATTTAACATTCATGTGAGAATTCTATGAAGATAAAAAAAATGCTCTCTTACCAAACTCTGCAAATGGATCAGCAGGTTTTCCAGAAGTTCCTGTTCCAGCAAGATTTGATCCTTGACCTATACCACCCTTTGTTTGGAATGATCCGCTGTTAGCCCTTGGAATGTTGCCTCCCATCTGCAACCCTTGGAATGTTCCACTATTGTTTCTAGGGATGCTTGCACCTCCCATTTGTTGGAATGTACCACTACCACTATAAGGTATATTGCCACCAGCCCCAAGATTAGAAGATGAATTATTTCTTGATATATTTGGACTAGAATTAGTTGACACAAAAGAGTTCCAATCGCCCATTAGATCTCCTGAGCCTGACTCTGCTGCAGGTTTTGAACTAAATGAGCTTGATTTACCAATACCCATGGCATCATTATTTTCTGATCCTGTCATTCCATTGGAAACTCCAAAAGGATCAAATGCATGAAATTCATTGTTGGGTGCTGTTACAGTCACAGGTGGTGCATCTTGTGATTTTGTATTACTGGAAAATGCTTGGAATGGATCAAATATATCACTTTTGGTATTTCCACCTATTAAATCAAAGTCAGCAGAACTTGAACCAGCTGTTCCAGAAAGTATATCAAGATTTGATGCAGGTTTTTCTATATGCATGAGGTCTATATCATTGGCTAAACTGTCTCCATTATTTGAATTAAAGAAGTCTACTTCTGGCTCAGATTTATTTCCAGGCATATCCTGGAAATTTGCTTCAAATGGTTTAAAATCTTTGTTTTGTTCGCTAGATTGCACATTGCCAATATCACTTTTTCCATTTACCCCACTCACTCTGTGTTGTGTTAAAGATGCAAAGTCATCCTCATCATCACTGGTGTTGTCTAGGAGATTACTCTCATCTTCTGTTGGCATTCTTACTTCTTTGGGTTGTTCACTAACTTGTTTGTCCCAATCTAATGTTTCAAAAAAGTTAGCAGTAGGAACTTCTTGTTTTGGTTTCTGAGTAGACTGGTTATCTTTATTATCACTGGTGGAATTGACTGGTTGCTTATTTGTTTCACTCGGAACATGACTTGGACTCTCATTAGAACTGACACTAGAAGATCGAGCCAGTCTGGCTTTACCTCTGTCTGATATACCTGCACATACAATAAACAGATATAAAGTAAACATGTAACCCATAGATTTAACTAAAATCTTAAAAAAATGCAGTCGAAATATCAAAATATATCAATGCCTGATTAGTTTATATAGAATTTATTGTAGTTTGAATGTGTAGGGAGCTATTAGTTTATTACACATTAACTATTCCTTTAGGTTGCCTTGTCATGCCATTCTGCATACAGTAAAATTCTTTGAACAATTATGAAAGGATTCATCAACTGAACATTCCTAAGAAGTTTCAAAGAAACAAGGAAAGAAGTTGACAAGATATTTGATAGTAAAGCAGGGATAGCTGAATGAACCTATATGGGGTAGTAAGTGATTTGAGCATCTTGTGATCTGGTGAGCTAAAAACAAGTTAATATTTTATCATACCAAATATACCCATGGTCTCCTGCAGTTCCTCTTTGTTTGAGAACAATATTCTAGGTGAAAGTTTCTGTACATCAAATTTAGCCCATGGAAAATTCTGTTCTGGTGGTCGGTCTTTAGGTGATACGGTGGTATTTAACATGACAGTAAACCTTTCTGGGTACTTGTCTGGTGTATCTAGTTGGTCTAAATCGTATCTACAAAACATATCTTCATAAATACCAAAACATTTCTATCTAAACACCAACAATATTTTATAGGAGTTTAACATGTTATTTTGGATCAATGAAAAATTCTATACAAATGGTTTGTTTAATCATGATTTCATACCGGTATGTCGAATGGTGATTTTATTGTTTTTTGTTTGTAATAATATAAGACGTCTGTTTCAAAGTCTAACATAATACTTACTGGTCAGGAACCATCAACCGAACATTTTTTGAACATTTTTCCGTACAGATTTCATAATTTTTAACCTAGAGACCTACAAATTTTAGACAGTTCAGCTAGGTTCTTCTCCTAACTTACAAACTAGTTTGTTTATTTCTGATTGTATTGACACTTATATCTGAGGCTCGAAAAGGGGAGTATAAAAATTACCTAAAATGTCTACACTACAGTACCATGTGTCCGGACAGATATGTACATGATGTGATTTAATTCAGATAAAAGCTTGGGTGTTTTAATTTTTGGTTTTTTAACATGTTATAAAATATTTCAGCAACAAATGCTGAAGTTTTGGATATTCTATTGTTTACTCTGCAAATGATTATAGTTGGTATACGAGGTCAGGCATTGCTTTCTTGACCCCCAAATTTCAATGTCAACATTCTTGTAATAGACATTAAAATATTACCATTTACGAAGGTTGAAATAAATTTATTTACTTAATTTTAGAAGAAACATGCATATATTGTTGATAAAAAGTAACTGACAACCACTGAACAAAGACAATACTAAATTAAGCATTTTTGGAGCCGTCCGGGTTTGGTGGTTGTCCAGTTTTGGTGGTCCCCAACCAGTACAGGGACGAATTGAAATTTATTTGGTTTGGTTTTATAAAAATTGAGTTACTTTGTAAATATAATTTTATTTGGTTTTAAAATCAACTGGATTAATTGAAACTTACTGTGTAAATTTAAGATTTGTTCGGTTCGGTTTCACAAAACCTGAATTGATTTGAAACTGGAACATTTTCATTGAAGTTATCTGAAATAGAAAATAAATTCATAATAACGATCATACGTAATAAATCATACAATCATGGTGTATCAATAAACAAATAACAAACGCAGGAGAAAACAGTAAGACTGTGAATTGTCAAAAGATGTGAGGACATCAAGAAAGCATGAATTCATTTATTTGTTTTTAAATTGCAACTCTTATCTGGAAAATAAAGCTGGAAATAAAATGCTGACTTCAGACAACTAAGAATACTGTAATTCAACAAGACTTATATTCAATGTCTGCATTAATATCAAGTTGATTTACCTTTCCTTGTATTTTGCCTCCAAATGTAGATCTGGCATGATATACAACTATAGTGATATCACCAGCTGCTGATATATTGAGAGGTAATGTCACCCTACCCTCAGCCTCAGAGAAACCTTTCATCTTCTCATACTCCTGGGATGTTGTTAATATCCTGTCTTCACCTACATACACCTCAACAAATGGTGTACAACCATTCCTACAGAAAATACAGCCAAACACAACTAGTGTCATATCATTGTCATACAACAAATAATATTTTTTCTTTTAAACTTAAATCTTTTATAAAAGAGTTCACATGCAGAAAATAATCTATACAGGGAATTTTCTGTTTCCCCAGTGTATAATAGTATAATCATAGAGTAATAACAAAATATTGTACAGAAACATATCTGAAGCAGTGTGAGAATGCATATAACTTACTTCATTTTATTGAATAGAGGAACAGGGGCTAGAGTAATGCTGTTGAGTATAAGAGCTTTTGTGTGGGGTTTATATGGATCTTCCGATACCATTTCACTCAAGTACTCTATATACCTGAAAAAAAAAACAACATTTTTATATATCATTTCAATTTGACTCTATGGCAAAAACAACAACAATTTACATTAACTAATGCAAATAGTATATATACCAGCAATAATAGACTTTAGAACATACAGACTATTCTATGGTTGACAACACTTCTGTAGATGAAAACAAATTTACTTATTTAAATTTTGCCAAAAACATATACTATTCCTTTTAAAGAACAAAATACAATTTACCTTCTTTGTGATGGCATAACATCAGGTGGACATCTCTTGGTAGCAAACATTGTTAGTGCTTGTTGTGGTCCATCAAATAGTCGACAGAACACAAGAAATGCTGCAGCTACAGTAGCTGAAGTTGCTTTACCATCCTGGATATACACATTATATATTCAAACTAATTTCAGGCAAAACAAATTGGAAAACAATTTCAATTTTTATCTATTTCAAACAAACAATGTTTACGTGTATATTACAAAGTATGAGGTCTTTTAAAAATAATACCCATTACATAACATAAATAAGCAACTGATCAGTCCTACAATCATTATCAATTTTTCAAACAAAAGTACATAGATAAGCCTATAAGCTTTGAATAACATATACATATAATGCAATATGATTCATACTAAATAATGATTGGTATAAAATATAGCCCTATAAGGTTCATACTAAACAATGGATGACATATAATATAAACCTATAATATTCGCACTAAACAATGAATTTAACATAAATATAAACCTATATGATTCATACTAAACAATGGATGACATACATGTATAAATATTCAACTAAAGGGACTAGGTTCATACTTAACAATGGATGACATATAAATGTAAACCTATAAGATTAATACTAAACAATGGATAACATAAACAAGAGGGCCATGATGGCCCTGAAGTCGCTCACCTGTATATAGGCCCCTGGAGCGAGGCCAGTTTAAACCCCAGGGCTGTTATTTGAACAAACTTGGTAGACACCCATTAGAAGATATTTCATGCTTAACATCTAAGGTCTAGCTAGTCAAGTTTTTTTCTTTACACATATAGTTAAAAACAATGACACACCTGGGGCAGGGCCAGTTTTGACCCAAGGGCTTTTATTTGAACAATCTTTGTAGACACTTACTCGAAAATGATTCATGCTTAATATCTAAACTCTAGCTATTCGGGTTTTTTCAAAGAAGACTTTTAAGTTTTTGCTATACACATATAAGGAAAAGGAATGACCCCCGGGGCGGGACCTATTTTGACCCCAGGGCTTTTATTTGAACAAACTTGGTAGACACTCACTAGAAGATGTTTCATGCTTAGTATCTAAACTCTAGCTAATTGGTTTTTTTCAAAGAAGATTTTTTAAGTTTTTGCTATACACATATAAGGAAAATCAATGACCCCCGGGGCGGGGCCAATTTTGACCCAAGGGCTCTTTATTTGAAAAAACTTGGTAGACATCCATTTGAACATGTTTCATGCTAAATATCTTAGCTCTAGCTCTTTGGGTTCTTTAAAAGAAGATTTTTTAAGTTTTTGCTATACACATATAAGGAAAATCAATGACCCCCGGGGCAGGGCCAATTTTGACCCAAGGGCTCTTATTTGAACAAACTTGGTAGACATCCATTAGAACATGTTTCATGCTAAATATCTTAGCTCTAGCTCTTTGGGTTCTTTAAAAGAAGATTTTTTAAGTTTTTACTATATGCATATAGGAAAATCAATGACCCCCTGGGGCGGGGCCAATTTTGACCCCAGGGCTTTTATTTGAACAAACTTGGTAGACATCCATTAGAACATGTTTCATGCTAAATATCTAAGCTCTAGCTCTTTGGGTTTTTTAGAAGAAGATTTTTTTAAGTTTTTACTATATGCATATTGGGAAAATCAATGACCCCCTGGGGCGGGGCCAATTTTTACCCCAGGGCTTTTATTTGAACAAACTTGGTAGACATCCATTAGAAGATGTTTCATGCTTAATATCTTAGCTCTAGCTCTTTGGGTTCTTTAAAAGAAGATTTTTTTAAGTTTTTACTATATGCATATAGGGAAAATCAATGACCCCCTGGGGCGGGGCCAATTTTGACCCCAGGGCTTTTATTTGAATAAACTTGGTAGACACTCACTAGAAGATGTTTCATGCCAAATATCTAAGCTCTAGCTTTTTGGATTTTTTAGAAGAAGATGTTTAAAGTATTTTCTTTTGGTTGCCATGGTAACCAGAGTTCTGCATGGAATGGAATTCTTTGAACAACTTTGTTAAGGCTTCACACAAGGAACATCCCTGTGAAGTTTCATTATGATCTGCCTGATGGTTTCAGAGGAGATGTCGTTTGAAAAGTGTGAACGGACAACGGACAACGTACGACGGACGAAGAGTGATCCTAATAGCTCACCCTGAGCATATGCTCAGGTGAGCTAAAAATAACCTAATATAATATTCATACTGAAACATTAATAGAATATAAATATAAACCTATAAGCTTTGTAGTCACAATAGATATCATATTAATATATTTCTATAATCTTGATAGCCAATTCACAGTAAATAACTTATGAGCTCTTTACTCACTAAACAATGTATAGTTTGATTGTTTAATTGGGTTTTATGTCACACCGACACAGTATAGGTCATTTGGCGACGTTCCAGTTTTACTGGTGGAGGAAGACCTCAGGTGCCCTTCCTTGCATTATTTCAGGCATGAACGGGCACCTGAGTAGAACCATCAACGTTCCATAAGCTAGCTGGATAGCTTCCTCACATGAAAGAAAGTCCCTGTCGGGATTCGAACCCACAGCAGTGAGGGCCAAGTGGTTTGAAGTCAACGACCTTAACCACTTGGCAATGGACGACCCAAACAATGGATAGTATATAAATATAAATCTATATGCTTTATATACACTAAACAATGGATACATATATATATAAACCTATTAGCTTTATATCACTAGTAATGGATAACATATGTCTATAAGCTTCATACTCACTAAACAATGGATAACACAGATGTTCTTTGGATTCTGTCGTAACCACAGATGCATATTTTTACAAATGGCAAATAAGTTGGCTAAAGTAGGAGCTTTTCTTGCTGGCCAGCCACATTCTGAAACCTACAGACAAAATGTTTTAGTTTTCTAGTATTATATTAAATAAACAAGAAAATCAAAGGAAGGAGAGACCACACGTCAAACATCAGGATGGTTTGTAAACTGGATTATTCAAGGATCTACAAGTTTCTGTCTTTCAAGACCTTCATCAGGATACATTTCAATGAAAAATTACTATATTAATTAGATTACTCAAGTTACTCAAGGGATATAATTTCCTTACACTTATATCTAAAACAATGTATATAACAAAGAGAATATATGTGACTATTGTATTAATTTCCCTCTACATGTTAACACAATTTCTTTCATTTTCTGTATTTGTTTACAGAGTGTTGCTACATTTTAACAATGGCAATTGTCATATATAATAAATATTAGTTGACTTAAACGATTCATGCAGTATAAATTAATTTTATATGTGCATAAATATACAATATTCATGAGTGATCTCAAACACTTGATATACAAAATGGCATATAACGCAAAAAGTATATAACAATACTTTTTTAAAGCAAATATTTGTTTAAACAATCACTTGTTGTTCATAAAATAAAATATTGCCCTTAACTTTACTTCTAGACACAATATTACACTAAAATATTAAACAGAATCTTGACTCAATATTACTCAATAACCTGGGCTCAAATTTATTCTTTAACATCAATCTAGGCTCAAACTCACTATGTACAGCCAATCTAGGCTAAATATTCTCTTTTATGTAACACTTTGTACCATCACTCTAAGCTCAACATCACTCTTATACAATAATCTAACCTCAATATCACTCTGTACCATCAATCTAACCTCAATATCACTTTGTACCACCAATCTAGCCTCAATATCACTTTGTACCATCAATCTAACCTCAATATCACTCTTTTACATCAATCTAACCTCAATATCACTCTTTTACATCAATCTAGACTCAATATCACCCTGTACCATCAATCTAACCTCAATATCACTCTTTACATCAATCTAGACTCAATATCACCCTGTACCATCAATCTAACCTCAATATCACTCTTTTACATCAATCTAACCTCAATATCACTCTTTTACATCAATCTAACCTCAATATCACTCTGTACCATTAATCTAACCTCAATATCACTCTGTACCATCAATCTAACCTCAATATCACTCTTTTACATCAATCTAACCTCAATATCACTATGTACCATCAATCTAGACTCAATATCACTCTGTACCATCAATATAACCTCAATATCACTCTTTTACATCAATCTAGACTCAATATCATTCATGCCATATAGGTGTCATTTAATTTAAAGGTGTTTTATCCAAATATGAAAGAATGATCTTACCCTATTTTCAAACTTGGCATTCCTATATTGTCTTTGTGAAATATTGTAAACAGCGTAAGAATTTCTATGACGACTTTCCAGGTAATTTCTAACATCATCTATATGATTCTTTATAGCAGATTCTACACCTTCTGCTGGGAATGACATAACTGGAAAAACAATAGATCATCTTTTTTATAAAAGACAAGCACAAAAACATACAAGTGTAAAAAAGTACATGTACTTAAAATAAAAACATTTTACAAATACATCATACACTAGAAATGTCATATAAATCAACAATACTAAAAATGAAAATCTTTCCATAGATTACCTGCTACTCGAGAAGTTATATAGCTTATATCCAACTCAGATTTGTTCATCGTTCTGAAATGTTGAAAAAAATGTAAATATTTTCAAAGGGTGATTTTTATGAATAATATTTCTGAACTTGTTGGTTGCTATATTTTGACAAACTAATATTGAATACAGAATATTTACACTTTTTAATCATCTTTCCTAAAGAATAAGCTAATGAAAAAACAAATCTGACATACGCTGACACTGTTTCCACAACTTTAGCTGAAGCATCTTTTACATTTTTCATGAGACTACCTGCTCCCATCCTTAATGAACTGAACAGAGAACCAGCTGCAGTATCTGAGCTAGCTTGTTGTCCAGCACTGACTGGTTCCCTTGCTGGACTGGGCGGGTATACTGAAAATATTCACATTTACACTTTCACACATCTACTCTATTCATTAATTTCAAATCAAATACATTTATTTGTATTTTAATAATGTTACAAGAAAGTGTCATTTGGAATAAGATTTACTGTAGCAAAGAAGTACTGAACAAAGAGGAAGAACTACTGTCTATAAATTAATTAGCTAAAATAAATATGAAGCAATGATGACACAAGTTTCAAACTATCCTAAAATCAGCATTATGTTTTGTGTAAATATACCTGGCTGTTGTATCTGTGATTCTGTAAGCAGTGACTGTGGTAATGGTTCAGTCAGACGTACATTTCTCGCCTGACCTATCTCTTCTAGTCTATCTATCACTTCATTTATATTTGGACGATCCACAGGGTTAACCTTGAACATACCCACTATAACAAAACATATAACTTTCCTGTTTACTGTCTGATTAACTGTTCTGTTAAATCTAATTCACAAGTAACATTTCTTTAATTGTGACATGTATGTTAAAACTTGTAGCTGTAAAAATGCTAAGCATCACTTCTTTGCAAAAACTAAAATAAAATTCTACAAGAGCTGTCCGTAAGACAGCGCGCTCGACTTTTTTATTGCTTGCCAATAAAAAAAGTTTTTGCAGTAAAAGGCAATACAAGAATCTCTGTATTTTTAAAGTGAACAATGGCCATGAGCATTAAGATATTTAGTGAAGAATTATTTTACTGAATTGTGTGATACCCTTGAACACTGCAGCAAAGTTTGAAATGTTTAAGTCAAAACATTGACAGTTAAGGGCCATAATTCAAATAAAATCTTTGACAGAATTACCTTCTCCTGGACATGTTTGGGAATCATGATTGTAAACAAGTATTCCAACTTTCAAATTAATATCTCAAACAGTTCAGTCAAAAAGTGGACTGGTACTAAAAACTTAACCAGAGATTCTAAGTCGATAAAAAGGCCTTAATTTTTTAAAACAAATCCTTGACAGAGTTACCTTCTCTTGCGTACAGATGGGGGTAATGATGTGAAATAGCATTAAAAGTTTCAAAGCAATATCTCAAAGGGTTAAGGCAATAAGTGGATTTTACCCATATTCAATGTATTTTCTAAGTCAAAAAGGGGCATAATTCTGTCAAAACCTTGACAGAGTTATGTCCTCTTGTCTGTTGATGAAGGTCGTGATGGTAAACAAGTATGGTCAGTTTCAAAGCAATACCTCCAATGGTTTTGAAATAAAGTGAGGTGGTACAAAAAACTTAACCAAGCTCAATACACTTTCTAAGTCAAAAAAGGGCCATAATTCTGTCAAAAACCTTGACAGAGTTATGTACTCTTGTCTGTAGATGGAGGTTATGATGGTGAACAAGTATGGTAAGTTTCAAAGCCATACTTGTAATACTTCTGAAATAAAGTGGGGTGGTACGAAAAACTTAACCTAGGTGTGACGCCGACGCCGACGCCGGGGCGAGTAGGATAGCTCCCCTTTTCATAGAAAAGTCGAGCTAATAAACTATATTTTTTCACATTTAACAAACATTATAACACTGGGACTGATTCACAGACTTAGCAACATGTATATTTCTCAATTCCTACTTGCAGGATCATATTACTAAACAGTTACACTTTAATGAAAAGTTGTTTTTTTTGTTTTTTTTTAATAAAGTGGTTATGAAATGATAATACTGGACATTTATACATACTTATGAGATCATGGAAGACGTTATATTCTGTATCATTCTCTGGTATAGAGTAGTTGGCATTTATAATTCTCAATTTGGCTGAATCTTCATATGGATGAACACCAAAACACAACATATATAGCACACATCCCAGGGCCTGAAAGTTAACAAGTTAAACATACTCTTTTAACATTTCTAGTAACAGATCTAAACATGATGCTATTTTAAATATTCATCTTTGTGTATGATTTATGTCTTTTATTGTACATAACATTTCTGATAACTTTCCTGAAAAATATCCAAGTTCTTGTTTTACATGATACATTCTGAGAAATTACATTTCTAATTTCTAAGGTTATATAATGCTACTAAAACAATGCAATACTGTTTATCACTTACTAATCCTTATCAGGAGGGTCCAACTGAGACTAGACTCTACTAAAGTGATTAAATAACGTAATTATACCTAACCATTACCATAAATCAAAGTAAATTGAACATTTAAATACATATATAATCTCCCCTCCAAAATAGTAACCAATTAATCACGTTGAATGAACATCTTAACAGTTAAATTTGTTAAAATCTACAGGTCATGTCCAATCACCACACCAGGTTCAGCATCTCTAAACCTAAATGTTTTAAGTTGATAAGACAATGATTAGGTGGCAAAGGTCACACTGACTTTGACCTTTGACTTCTTGACAGACAATAGGAATTAACTTCAAGTCATGACCAACCTCCCTACCAAATGGAAGGACTGTAGGCTAAAGATTTCTCTAGTATCTGATTGAACAAGTTTTATGGCTAAAAATACAATGACCTTGACTTCAAAATCGATGTCAGTCCTCTACAAAATCGGTATCAGTCCTCTACTAGCCATGATCAACCTGAAAACCAAACCTTTGGACTGTAGGACAAAACACTATCTAATTATTGGTTGGAAAAAGTATGGATTGCAGACAGAAAGATGATGTGCAAAGAAATTTACCTACACTTCTTCCAAGGTAAGCATAATAACATTGTGAAAAGTTTAAATATAGAAAAAGGATGTCAAAAACATAATAGAATATTTACCCATATATCCAGTGCTTCATTAATTGGGAAATTTTGATATAAATCTAACATTTCTGGTGTTCTGTACATAGGTGTAGTATTTTTGGTTATCTGAAATTATAGTTTAATTGTTCAAAATTATCACTTTTATTAACATCACATTCACAGGAAATTATAAACATGAAACACATTGATTTTTTATGTTATTTAATAAAAACACAACTTACATGTATGTTGAAAAACAAGCAAAAATGCATGTAAATATTAATTTACACCTCGAAGAAATAACAAAACATTCATTAAACATCTGATTAATCATTAATATTACAATCACCTTATGTTATAAACATATTTTTACTGAATAATTAATTGACGATGTGTTTCCTGAAACATCTCAAATAATTAAATATGTTCAGATAAATTTGTTATACAGCATTCACTAGTACATGATGTTAAAAAAAATCATATACATACCTCATCCTCTACCAGACTTCGTCTCATAGCTGACCAGGTTTCATCAGGATAATGTGTCTCTGTTGTTGCACTCCCAAAGTCACACAACTTGATAAACCCTTTACTACTGATCAACAGATTCTCCACCTGAAAAATATAAATGTTTACTTTATCATTCTCTCCATAGTAACAAACATACAGCTTGTCACAAGTCTTAAATGAAGCCACTCTTGTTAAACTATTTCTTAGAAAATTGAGTGTGTTATGCACTGAATTATTCTTTACAAGTTGTATGCTAAGATCTACATGTGAAATGTTTGAGTCAATTACCAGTAACCACTGATAGTGTTTGAAATTATTTTTTGTCCAACAGAATTGCAGTATTTCAAACGAATCGTAACACATTTACTTTGGTAAATAGGTAAACTAAAATCAGTCTAGTAAATCGACTGTTTCAAAAAATAATTTAAAACACTTAGTTAAAGGTTATTAGTACGCATTTACAAAATTTAATTGGTCGCGCGGTTGTGTCGCGCCTGACCAATTTAATTTTGTAAAATACATACTAATAAACTTTAACCTACACCAAGCAGTTATTATGGCCACAGGCCCACACTTTTTATCATTATTATGTTGGTTATCAGTTACAGCCTACATTAAACATAATAATTATAACATATGCACACATTATTTTATAAAACACAATTGATACAAGATTCTACCACACTAAATCATATATGACACATTACTTTGACATTGCAAGAGAAATGTATAATCAGAAATTATATAAAACATTGATTTTCTTCCCTAAATGTGTTCCCTGTTTACTTTTTTCTTTCAGCAGGCCTTTACATCATGTAATGGTTAGGCTGACATTGGAAATCCTACCAAGTACCTTTCATCCTATCGGACCGCCAAAATTTATTGGCACATTGTACATAAGTTATAACCAGGAAGATTTTAGAAAACATGTATTTAACAATCTGGATGTTTTTTCTTCTACTTGAAATGATGATGTTTCAACAATATAATTTATTTCCCTAAGAACTTTGGCCTTTTGCTCTAGGGAAGTGTGGTATACATGGAATGAACCAATGACTCTCAATTGTATAGTGCATAAAGAAACTTTCTTTAAGATACTGGATTAGAGGAGAGCACATGATATAAACTATACAGATTTTTTTTTCATGAAAGATCTTTTTTCCTACAGGATACCTCTGTTGGTGGTACTGGTACAAGCATACTTATATCATATTCAATACTATAAATACATATAAATAAAATCTAGACATATATTAAAAAAATATATATATATATATAATATGGTTATCATCCTAAGATAAGACAGATCAAGTACAAAACAACAATGTCATATTTGTTTTACTGGAATAGCATTATGCTGCATTAAATACTTGATACATTATAAATTGATTTCTACAAGTTCAGACAGAAGAGCATAAATGTACACTAAAATATACCTTTAGATCTCTATGAATGATAGGTGGGGACTGTTTGTGGAGATGTTGAACTGCCTTACACGTCTGGTAGAATATCTTTAATACTGTTGAACATGGCAGTGGTTCTTCCCTTTGGTTCAACAAGTCTACAACTTGTCCACCTATAATATACAAGATAACTTCCATTCTAATATGAACATTTACACTCATGCATCATTAAGTATTGATCTATGACAATCATTTTATTGCTGACACAAAGTGATCATATAACAGTATCATCATAGTTTTGTTAAATGTTAAGAATAACATATCTATCCATCAGTATAAATTATAATATAACTACCTCATCATTCTCAATGACTCATTATTCAATAAGCTAAATCACCGAATCAACAGAACATAGAAGAAACTAACAAATTCTGTATTGATAAAAGCATCATTAAAAATCTACCTGTACATAACTCCATAAGAAGAAGGTATTCTGCCTGACCATGCCCAGACTCTTCCTTCCCTATAGAGGCTGCTGCTGTAAACTGGACAATGTTTGGATGACCAGTCAATTTTTTCTTGGTAAAGTTAAGGTTTTTATATTTTACAAAAACTAAATAGTTCTTGAAATTCATACAATAATTGCTACATAATAAAATCCTTGATATATAGTAAATGATCAATCTTAGTTACAGAAGATGAAAGATACAATTGTTCACTGTACCAGTGAAAGATTAACAACATAAGCAGTTAAGCCAAACCCTACATTTAGCAACAGTATATTAAAACAGATAAAATAACTGAACTTGAGTCTTGATCACTTAAAAACTTTATATAAAAAAAACAACTCAGACAAAAAAAAAGAAAAAAAATGATTTTCAGTTACTAGAATAGTTATATAAAGTTTATTATTTATAGTCACAGTAAAATTTTGAGACCAAAAAATAATTGAAATATTGTTAAAATTGTTAATACATTGATCATAAATCTCGAAAAGCAAACATATTTACAACTCTCAGTCAGTCAGTGTTATAAAAGGATACAAGAAACTTGATCTCCTGTACCACAGCTTTATTCTTCTCCTCATCATTGGCAAGAAGTCTCTGAAATAATCAAACACATTCTTGCTTTAAAATAATAACTTTTGCACAAAATTTGATTTTCAGTTTAAAAATAAAGTTTGATGAATAAGATTAAGAGTACACTACAGTATGTGATTTTCAGCTTTATTTACACATTTTATGTAAATTTTAAATTTTGCATATTGCAAATGCTGTATTATGAATACTAATTAAGTATACATCTGACAAATATCTATCAAACAAAATTTTATGGCCATCAATGTCATATCACATTCGATCAATTATCTGAACAAGTTAGGTCTCAAATTAAGTTAAATCTAATGTTTAAACTTTTAAAGTTTTGCATCTTACCTTTAACGCATATTCCTTCCCACTAGCATTGTCCTGGGCAACAAACACAAAGGCAAATCCCCCTTTTAATAGGAAAGAAAATATACAAAATAAATGCTGCAAGTGAAAATAAGTGAGAAAAAAAAATCTTTTATAACTAGGGACTATTACTAATAGACATTTGCTACAATCCAAAACACTTAGTTTAAATAAACTTTTCTGAGAGTACCATTAGTACCTGCATTTCCTCCTTAAATGACAGATATATATTGCTCCACTTTTTTTTATCAAGTTGTCTTATTTACAAGTAAACTTGTCATTTGACAAAAGTAACAATTTGAGTCACAGTAAACTGTTATTTATTTACCAATCATATTATGTTCACTCTTAGATTATTGAAAATAATTTCATCAAGCTAGACATATATCTAAATTCTAATGATTTCACCACCTACAAGACATTATAAACCAGCGACTTCATTATTTAAAACAAGTACTTAAGACTTTACTTTTTAACTTTCACTGTCAGTTTGATTTTTGTTTTAGGCCAATAAAAACAAACTTGTTTTGTTCCTTAAAAAGAGATACTATTGTATATTATATTTCTTTAATGTCATAATGTACTCAATTTTGTGTCATTATATGGAATCCAACCATTGGCGTTTGGATCCTCCCCTTTTGTTGTCGACATGTAGGTTCTAAAAATAATCAAAAATTAATGTAAGTGGGTGGGGTATCCTACCTTCAGCGATTTTCTTCTTCACTCGGAGCTTTTGATTACCAAGCTCAACATATTGACCAACAAAATCATGCTCATCTCGAGTACCAGCACTGCCCCCAATAAATCCAAATGCTGATTTAAAGAAATCGGACATATTTAAGACAAAAGTCGATAAAATACATTTATTATGCCAGGAAGCCTGGCGTATCACTAATGTGACGTCACTAAGCTATCATAAGTTGAACCGTCATTAATTGAATTGTCGCATTTTTTTTATATTTTTTTTTGTTGTCAAGAAACAACTCTTTTTTATTATTGAACTAGTTAAAGAGTTAAAAAGTAAAAAACTATAAGAGCGACAGAATAAGTAAACAGTGTAAAACGGTATCCACAGTAATTTTACGACATATTTTTTTACAACACCAGTGGAAGATTAACGCGTGGTCCGTGGTCGTGCTGGTAACAACCCCGAAATTTAAACTCCATACATTATTGAGAATTATGAAAGGGGAATGAAAACCTAAAATGATTTTGTTGCACCTAAACTCCTATTTATAAGTAATAAAATACTAATTTACCGAATTAGTAAGGAGACATAAATCTTAATATAAGGTTTAATACTAAAAAATAACATTTTCGACATTTGGTATGGAATAAAAGGTAAAAGTTTTTTTATATATCAGTAATAAGCTTTCCTGCCTATAACACTCGCGAGAGAAGTTGGCAGTTCCACGGACTTTAATTACATGTAAATAAAGTCACGGACATTAATTGTAATATAAATCCATGATAAAGTTCGCGGCAGTACCATATGGCAGGGTCTTTCAAATAGATTTGCTAAGATAATGAAAGGTAGACCAATCTGTCTTTTCATAATAAATTTTGCAGGACATGTTACATTATACACTGACGTGCAAAAGAAACGCCCATTCCTATTTGATGTCCGATTTTTTAGTATTCGTGATTTTAAAAAACTTATTTTCATCTGCAAATTTGAATATTTTTAATTAAAAAATGATCGTTAAGAAATTATCAAAGTGTTACAGTTTTTAAAAAAAATGGAATTTTAGATAGACCTGTCGTGGAATTTTCATTCCGAAAATCAGTAGCGTGTATGTCCACCTCTACTTGCGACAACAGCAGCAAGGTGGCGTCTAATGGAACCGCACAAATAGCGTAGAAGATAACGAGGGATTCTTCTCTACTCCTGGTGCAGCGCTGCCGTCAGTTGCTGGACGTTTGCTGGCTGGGGTTGACGTCGACGTATCCGACGTACAAGGTAATCACACATGTGTTCAACCGGGTTGCAATCCGGTGAACACGCCGGCCAAGGCAAAGCCAAAGTTGTTCGCCTGAAGAAAGTCCCGGGTGGCACGTGCAACGTGTGGTCGCGCGTTGTTGTGCTGGTAGACCAGGTTTTGAAGTTGGCGGAACATCGGTACAACCACAGGACGTAAACGATAAGATAAGATAAGATAAGATAAGATAAGTTTTATTTCAAGTCGGCAAGTTTTCAACAGTACAACATAAGCTCTAGGAGCTTTTATAACCGACTGTATATAACATAAAATATAATATCAACAAAGATATAGAGGATATTTGTTTAGTTCAGTGTAAGATCGGAATATATTTCACCGAGTGAGCACCAAAAGGTATATTTCACAAGTGGCGCAGCCACGAGTGAAATATGAACTTTTGGTGTTCACAAGGTGAAATATATTTCAATCTTACACTAAACTAAACAAATTTTCTTTTTATTATATGCAAAGAAACGTTTTAAAAAGACATTTAACCTAATACTGAATGAAAAGCGCGCCAAATAATAATATAACGTGACGTCATTTACGATGTCACGTCATTAAGTTGGTTCCCAGTACTGTGCACGCTGGTATTTCACTGAAATAACGTAAGGGGCTTAAATTCAAAACAGTGAAATTATCAAAGTGGTAATTTCACTGTTTCAAACAGTGAAATTACCATTTTTATATCACTGATATATTTCTATAAACCACCGAAAAGCATGTAATAAAAAACAGCTGCAATAAAAATTGATTAGGCATAATCTATACATAAAATGTATACGTAAAACCTGGTCTATGTAACGCCTTGCTGTGAGGTTACCTTGGCAGACGACAAGTTGTGTCTTAAACTGCCCAGACCAAAACTCCGCACTTCCGTACGGATTGTTCTCCACAACGCAATTGTCAACGTAGCGTTCTCGACGTCGCCTGTACACACCGATATGCCCGTAAGTGTTCCATAAGTTGAAACGCTACTCGTCGCTGAACACCACGTTCTCTCAACGCTGACCGCGTTGGTTGCGGGCCCTGATCAGACGTTGGTGACGGTGGCGTAAAGTTAGAACTAAACCACAGTAGGGTCTACGGCAGGTAATCTCGCGTTCCCTCAGTCGTCTTCTAACCGTATAACGACTTATTGGGCGACCACGGTTACCGACCACTAAACGCGACGTCGCTTCCGCCGTCACAAACCTGTCACGCAAATGACGTTGATGTATAAAATTATCTTGTCTGGCAGACGTCACACGAGGTCTTCCTGAACGTGGCCGATCGGCAAACGCTCCCGTAACTCCAACACATCGAACAAAACGCCGAATCGTCGAACGCGAGACATTAAAACGTCACGTCTGGCGATTTGTTCTTGCGTTCGTCCGCATCCGAGCATAGCCAAAGCTCGAGCTCTCTTTTCAGAATTTAGCGATGGCATTCTTAAATACGAATGTTTAATAAGTAAATCTCTAAAGTTGTGATTGTGATTGTGCGGAGTGATTGTGTATCGACTAGCACATATGTAACTGTGTAAAATGTGACCGATTTCACCACGTGGTAAACATACACGAGGTGCACGTGGAAATCGTGAGCAGCCACCAGAAATAAACATCGGGCTGAATAGAAGCCTACGAGTTTTCTTTGTCGTGATTGTCGGTCAATGTACATGTATGCAAACTATATTTAACTAAAATTTTAATAGGTATGAGGACAATAACGCCAAACTCCGTTGGGGTTTTTCTTTTGCCCGTCAGTATATTTTCTTTAATTCTCATGATTTTTGAATTAACAGATATAAATAATGGAAACTGGTCATATTATTTTCAACAACTCCCCATGCAAAAAGTGACATATTTATGTCATACGTATGTATATATTCTTAGTTTTGCATTGTCAGACCTGCGACAAAAAATAATAGATAGAGTCTATCTACATTTTATTTTATTCAAGGTCTTTCAAATTTTTCTATTTGAAAGACCCTGTTTTATTTAGATCTAATTTAAGTATATTTTGGTCCCAGGTCAGACATCGCGTCAAATACAGTTTTACTACTCGCAGATTCTATACAGTAGTAATTTTCAATCGGTAAACCAACCAATCACGTGCAGTTTCGTGCCGGCAACCGGTGTAACGGCAAAAATCGCACCGTACCTGTGTACACGAATACAATAAAAATGAATTCTAAACTAAAACTTTTGATTCTTTGTTTCTGTGTATCGTCATGTTTAGCAAGTTTTCCGAGACCAAGGGGCGTATCTATATCGAGTAAGTTTGAGAAAAATTCAAATGTTAGACTAATCGGCTTGTGAATAGAATAGTATTTTTTATTACCAATCATGGGCCTTCTCATATTTTTTGCTTAGTTTGCTAATATATACATGTAAATATACAGAGAACAAATTGATTTCCAAATAGCAAAAGGGTTGGGCCCAAGTTCTTACAACATTAGCGATCGGCCCTCCCCCTGAAAAATATATTAATCAACATTGATGGCATTTATATGAGAAAGTGTGACATGTATACATATAAAGCGAACAAAGGAAAAAAAATAAAGACAGATTAACATATAAATATAAAACAATGTAAGAAATAAGTAAGAAAGAAATTTTTTTTTAATTTATGTATTTATATTATAACGGCAAGGTTAAGGATCCAGCATTATTCGTCATTGGGAGTAAACGTCCCATCATAAATGTTTGATTGTCAATTATTTGTGGTACCCAGGTTATTAGGATAAATACAATTGGCCGTTTTACAGAAATATCATGTGTTTTCGAAAACGGTCAGTAGTTTTGATAAAATTTTTGGACAGCCGCAAATATTTGTTCATTATTGTTAACATCTAAAGAATTGCTACCCCACAGTAATAGCTCAACATTAAGAGGATGAAAAAATTCTGGTTTCTGCGAAGAGTAATAAGTCTTCTGAGGTTTAAATAATGGACAGCAAAATATATAGTGCTCGGCATCCTAAACAAAGGTTCCCACATATACAAGTCAGGCTTTCTCTCAAATGATTTTTGAAAAAGGTCAGCGTGTAAGTTGCTACAATTGTTCCTTAATCGGAGCATGTAAAAACTGACAAATATCTATACCCAAACAAAAAGTGTTTAGGTACTACTGGGGCTTTAAACTTTTCTTTCATTCTAGATTTAAAAATATTCAATGAATTAATTTCGCGAATTTCGGTGTCTAATGCATTCCATAATTCAGTAGCAGAAGGTATAAATGATTTGTTGTACGTTTCGGTGCGCCTAAGCTATAGTTATGTAATTGTTGTTGTTACTTAACGAGTAATTTGTTGTTTCTGAAACCAAAATTCGATGGAAATTTATGTTTTCAAGGTATTGTGGAAGAAGACCATTTTTAGGCTTTAAAAACCGTAACTAATTTTTGTATTTTACGCCTGTCTGAGAGGGAAACCCACCCAACTTCTTTAATAATAAGATTGGGGATCGATACCGACCTGGTAAAGACCTGTTACTATGCGCGCTGGACATCATACTGTAGTTGTTCAGTGATTGTTTTTTCGTAAACTGTACATCCGTCCCCACACAACGGAGGCATATTCTAATATTGGACGCATGTATGAAATGTAAATTTTTTATTTAGAGTGGAGCGTTTCAGTTTAAACTTAAGTGCACGCATGGTACTCAAAACTTTAGAGGCTGATGTAATAATGTTACCAATATGCTGATGCCATTTTTAAATCCGTTTGAAAAAGTTATACCTAAAATGTTTGTGATGATCTACAAAATCAAGAATAACATTATCATTAAAAAAAGGAGAGTAGGCTTTTCGGATGTAGTTGATGAAAAAAAACATAACCTCCGTTTTATTGGGGTTTAAACTTACAAGCCATTGTTTGGACCATTTATCGATAATTTCGAGATAGTGATTTTAAAGTAGATTCTATGTAACGCATGTCATTGGGATGAAAACGGCCAATGAGCTGTCATCTGCGAAAAAGACGTGTTATACTTATCAAATTTTCGGCAATATCATTAACATAGATGAGAAATAAAAGAGCCGATCCCTGGGGTACCCCTGCAGAGATGTCAAGTGTTTCGGACAGTTCTGAACCTACAAAGACGGACTGTTTTCTTTCAGAGAGGTAGTCGATAGTCCAATTTAATAAATTACCATTAATACCATACTGTGTAAGTTTAAAAATAAGACCTTGATGCCAGACTCTGTCAAAAGCTTTCGATATGTCACAAAAAATTATACATGTTGATTGTTTTTTGTCAAATGATTCACAAATTTGATGATAAATGTCAATAAGCTGATATACCGTAGAATGTCCGGGAATAAAACCAGACTGTAATGGATAGATTAAATTATTTGAGTGTAAATGATTGTAAATATGTTTAAAGATAACCCTTTCCATAACTTTACCTACACAGCTAATCAATGAGATAGGTCTATAATTTGATGGCGAGTTTTTGTTACCTTTTTTATAAAGTGGCATCACTTTTGCAAATTTCCAAGTATTTGGATAAATACCTTCAGAGAGAGACCTATTAAACAATATAGTTAAAGGATAACATACCGGTATACTGTATCGAGTTTCTTTTAATAATTTATGACTTATTTGATCAGGCCCGACTGCTTTATTTACAGGCAAAAGTGATAGTATGTCTAAAACTTCTTGAGTATTTACGCTAAAATCTTCTAAATTGTTATTTGATTTGTAAACAAATTCCGGAAGATGAGTAGCTGATGAGTCAATTTTTGAAACGGAAGTAAAGTATTCATTTAAGCAGTTGGCCTTTTCGGAATCAGTTGTGAAATGTTTCTCATTATTATTTTCATTAATGATAAGAGATGGTATTGAACTAAACGCAGTAGAGTTTTCTTTTATCAGTAATTGGACTGTTTTCCAATATTGCCTCGGATTAGTATTACATGATTCCTCTAACGAGTATTCTAAATTGTTAAAAAAAGATTCTTTAGCGTGAGTTTTTAAGTTATTGACTTTATTACGGAGACGTTTAAAGGCATTCCAGTCATTTAAAGAATTAGTTCTAATCGCTTTTTATCCCCCGCCGATGGAATCGGGAGGGGGATATAGTTTTGGCGTTGTCCGTCCTTCCATCCGTCCGTCCGTCCGTCCATCCGTCCGTCCATCCATCCGTCCGAATTTCGTTTCCGGAGTAGTTCTCTGCAACTAATGGCTGGAATTCAACGAAACTTTATGGGAATGTTGATCAGCATGTGAAGTTGTGCACCTGGGTATTTTCGTCTGGATATTTTTAGTATTTTTAGAGTTATTGCCCTTGACTTAGTAAAATTTTGTAATTATGCCCCCCTTCGAAGAAGAGGGGGTATATTGTTTTGCTAATGTCGGTCTGTCTGTCTGTCGGTCCGTCTGTCGGTCTGTCCGTCTGTCCGTCGGTAGACCACATGGTTTCCGCTGATTATCTTGAAAAGTATTTATCACAAAGTCTTCATATTTCACATAGTGATTGGTCATAACTAGTAGATGACCCCTATTGATTTTGGGGTCACTAGGTTAAAGGTCAAGGTCACAGGGACCTTAAATGTCAAAATGGTTTCTGCTGATTATCTTAAAAAGTATGTATCACAAAGTCTTCATATTTCACACAGTGATTGGTCATAACTAGTAGATGACCCCTATTGATTTTGGGTCACTAGGTCAAAGGTCAAGGTCACAGGGACCTTAAAATGTCAAAAATGGTTTCCGCTGATTATCTTTGAAAAGTATGTATCACAAAAGTCTTCATATTTCACACAGTGATTGGTCATAACTAGTAGATGACCCCTATTGATTTTGGGGTCACTAGGTCAAAGGTCAAGGTCACAGGGGCCTTAAATGTCAAAAAGGGTTTCCGCTGATTATCTTGAAAAGTATGTATCACAAAGTTTTCATATTTCACATAGTGATTGGTCATCACTAGTAGATGACCCCTATTGATTTTGGGGTCACTAGGTCAAAGGTCAAGGTCACAGGGACCTTAAAATGTGAAAAATGGTTTCCGCTGATTATCTTGAAAAGTATTCATCACAAAGTCTTCATATTTCACATAGTGACTGGTCATCACTAGTAGATGACCCCTATTGATTTTGGGGTCACTAGGTCAAAGGTCAAGGTCACAGGGGCCTTAAATGTCAAAAGGGTTTCCGCTGATTATCTTGAAAAGTATTCATCACAAAGTCTTCATATTTCACCTAGTTATTGGTCATAAGTATTAGATGACCTCTATTGATTTAGGGGTCATTAGGTCAAAGGTCAATGTCACATGGGCCTTAAATGTCAAAATGGTTTCCGTTGATTTTTCCATAATTGAACACTTCCATGTACCCATTTTTTGGCAAGTTTCTGTAATAAAATTACCAATTATGTGAGTCAATGGCTAGAAAGGGGGGTATATGTGTCGTTCGACATTCTTGTTTTCAACTTGTGTCGCATGTAACTCAAAAAGTATTTGACCTAGAGTCATGAAACTTTACAGGAATGTTGATCAGTATGTGTAGTTGTGCACCTGGGTATTTTCGTCTGGATATTTTTAGTATTTTTAGAGTTATTGCTCTTGACTTAGTAAAATTTTGTAATTTTCAACTTGTGTCGCATGTAACTCAAAAAGTATTTGACCTAGAGTCATGAAACTTTACAGGAATGTTGATCAGTATGTGTAGTTGTGCACCTGGGTATTTTCGTCTGGATTTATTTAGTATTTTTAGAGTTATTGCCCTTGACTTAGTAAAATTTTGCAATTTTCAACTTGTGTCGCATGTAACTCAAAAAGGATTTGACCTAGAGTCATGATACTTTACAGGAATGTTGATCAGCATATGTAGTTGTGCACCTGGGTATTTTCGTCTGGATTTATTTAGTATTTTTAGAGTTATTGCCCTTGACTTAGAAAATGTTTTGCAATTTTCAACATGTGTCGCATGTAACTCAAAAAGGATTTGACATAGAGTCATTAAACCTTATTGGAAAGTTGCTCAGCATATTTAGTTTGTTCCTGGGGTTTCGCTTGTGGATTTATCCAGTATTTGTAGAGTTATTTCCCTTGACTTAGTAAAAACTGTTTCATTATGTTGTTATTTGATCCTTGAGTGCTTGAGTTAGAATCGACCAACTTTACAGGAATAATGATCAACATCACTAAATTACAGGAATAATGATTCACCTCACTGTGAAGCTATGAACCTGGGACTTTGCATGTGGATTTTTTTCAGTTTTGTTAGAGTTATTGCCCTTGAATTACAGTAGTATAAATTTGCAATTTTCAACTTGGGGTTTGCTTGGGGATTTATTCAGTATTTGTAAAGTTCTTGCCCTTTACTTAGTAAAAAGATTTTTAGTTTTCTAAAAATATTTGACCTAGAGTCATAAGATTGACAGAACAGTGGCGCGGTGGGGGCACCTGTGTCCTATGGACACATTTCTAGTTTTTATTAAAGAAGAATTAAAATGATTTGTTACAATAACATTTAAAAATATTTGAAAATTGTGAGATCCCTTCTTGATGCCTTGAAAATGGCAATGAAGTCTGGAGATTAAGATGTTTTTACATCTAGGTGAGCTATTGTGATCCCCCACCGTCCGTCGTCGTGCGTCGTCAGCAATTTCTTTAAACAACATCTCCTCAGAAACAAATGACTGCACAGCAACCAAACTTTACAGGAATGATCCTAGGGTGGTCCCTGCCAAAGTTGATCAAATGGTTCCGGTCTGTTGCATAAGTAGGTCACAGGGCCAGAAAAGGAGTTTTCAAAAATGCAAAATTAAAAAATCTTGTCTGAAAGTACAAGGCCTAGAGCTTTGATATTTGGTATATGATATAACCTATAGGTCCTCTACCAAAATTGTTCAAATTTTAGCCCTGGGGTCAAAATTGTCCCCACTCCAGGGGGTCATAGATTTTCCTTATATGTATATAGTGAAAACTTGAAAATTCTTCTTGTTTGAAGGTACAAGGCTTCAAGTTCAAAGAATATTACAGTTTATGCCATGATTAATATATAAATAAAGCCTTATGTCTTCAGTTGTTGTGTTAATAATAACCAGTACTCGGCGGGGGATATAAATTCAACGAATTTGCTTGTTTCTTACTCCGATCACGTTGTCTTGATGTTCTACGTATTTCCAAGTCATACCAGGGCTTATCTTTTGGTCGAATTGTTACTAAACGCATAGGAATAGTCACTCTTTAGCTAGGTCTAAAAGTAGTGCTGTAAAAGATTCACATGCCTTATGAACGGAATCATTATATAAAAAAGACCAGTCTGTTGACTGTATAAGGTTATTTAAACGTTGAAAATCTGCACGATTATATTCTCAGGCATACAATATAAAATAAATATCAGTACATTAAATGTAAATGTACATAAACAAAACAATGATAAGATAACATAAGCTAATTCTGATTAGTTAACATAATTAAAAAAGGACTAGTTACTACAAAATTATGCATTCAACAAAGGCATGTGTGACAAGCTACAGTAATTTCCTAATGAGTAAATTATGTCAGTTATCACAAACTTGACAAAGCCACATACACCAAACGCATTGAAATCGAAATGAATTGTTTGTTTTTCAATCCCAGCATGTAGATCTACTTATCATATTTATAACAATAAAACTCGGAAATCGGGCACCTGAGTAGAAGCACTGACGCACCTTCTGTAAGCAAGATATGTAGCTTCCTAGAATCTGATAAACTATCCACAATCATGCATGTGAACTTTTTTTGATGATCACGTAGAAGATTTTTCTTAAAAAAGAGGGAGATTTTAGAATTTGCAATAAACAAAGAAGAAAGTCCTTTGAAAAAATCCTGCAGAAAGTGGGAGTCTCCCACTTAAAGTGGGAGAGTTCACATGTATGCACAATAGTATTGAGTGCCCTGACTATATTGCTTTATAACAATTACATTTAGGCCAGTCTGGCTTGGGTTTGTAAGTAGTGCTAAATCGTTTAACTGAACATGTGTTGTTAGAAGCAGTAGAATGAAATATACTACAAAAGCAATTTGATTATTCCATAAAAAATATAGTTTTACCTTTGTTATGTAATTTCAGGATCTATAATGATTCAATGGTAAATTAAATATCCGTCACCAGGGATTGTAAAATTAATCCAGTTTCTGTTCAAAGAAAAAATAAATGATTAACATGATAAAGAATTTCAAATTTAATGAAGCAAACATCCAGTTGAAACATAATGATGGGTATTACTTTTCTCTGATGGCCGCTGTGTTGTCCAGTATTTAATGTTTAGATTTGAACATTATTTACAGTGTCCAGTTTTTACCGTCCTGATGTACCGTTTCAATGTCTTGACGGCAGTAAGCAGATCCCGTTTGAGTATGTGAATGATGATTACTGTGACTGTCCAGACGGCACCGATGAACCAGGTAGGTTGTGTTGCTTTAGTCTTCAAATATCTTGGCTTTTTAGCTCACCTTGCACAAAGTGCAGGTGAGCTTTTAGGATGGCCAACCAAATGGCGTCCGTCGTCTGTCGTCCGTCCACATTTTAAATATTCTAAGGACATCTTCTATGATACCGCAAGGCCAATGTTAATGAAACTTGGCAGGAATACTCTTTGTATGAAGCTCTATCAAGATTGTTCAAAGAATTCCATTTCATGCAGAACTCTGGTTGCCATGGCAACCGAAAGAAAAATCTTTAAATATCTTCTTTTAAAGAACCATAAGAGCTAGAGCTTAGATATTTGGCATGAAACATCTTCTTATGAGTGTCTACCAAGTTTGTTCAAATAAAAGCCCTAGGGTCAAAATTGGCCCCGCCCCAGGGGGTCATTGATTTTCCCTATATGCATATAGTAAAAACTTAAAAATCTTCTTTTAAAGAACCCAAAGAGCTAGAGCTAAGATATTTGGCATGAAACATCTTCTAGTGAGTGTCTACCAAGTTTGTTCAAATAAAAGCCCTGGGGTCAAAATTGGCCCCGGCACGGGGGTCATTGATTTTCCCTATATGCATATAGTAAAAACTTAAAAAATCTTCTTTTAAAGAACTGTAAAAGCTAGAGCTTAGATATTTGGCATGAAACATCATCTAGTGAATGTCTACCAAGTTTGTTCAAATAAAAGCCCTGGGGTCAAAATTGGTCCCGCCCCAGGGGGTCATTGATTTTCCCTATATGCATATAGTAAAAACTTAAAAAATCTTCTTTTAAAGAACCCAAAGAGCTAGAGCTAAGATATTTAGCATGAAACATCTTCTAATGAGTGTCTACCAAGTTTGTTCAAATAAAAGCCCTGGGGTCAAAATTGGCCCCGGCACGGGGGGTCATTGATTTTCCCTATATGCATATAGTAAAAACTTAAAAAATCTTCTTTTAAAGAACTGTAAAAGCTAGAGCTTAGATATTTGGCATGAAACATCATCTAGTGAATGTCTACCAAGTTTGTTCAAATAAAAGCCCTGGGGTCAAAATTGGTCCCGCCCCAGGGGGTCATTGATTTTCCCTATATGCATATAGTAAAAACTTAAAAAATCTTCTTTTAAAGAACCCAAAGAGCTAGAGATAAGATATTTAGCATGAAACATCTTCTAATGAGTGTCTACCAAGTTTGTTCAAATAAAAGCCCTGAGGTCAAAATTGGCCCTGCCCCAGGGGGTCATAGATTTTCCCTATATGCATATAGTAAAAACTTAAAAAATCTTCTTTTAAAGAACCCAAAGAGCTAGAGCTAAGATATTTGACATGAAATATCTTCTAGTGAGTGTCTACCAAGTTTGTTCAAATAAAAGCCCTGGGGTCAAAATTGGCCCCGCCCCAGGGGGTCATTGATTTTCCCTATATGCATATAGTAAAAACTTAAAAAATCTTCTTTTAAAGAACCATAAGAGCTAGAGCTTAGATATTTGGCATGAAACATCTTCTAGTGAATGTCTACCAAGTTTGTTCAAATAAAAGCCCTGCGGTCAAAATTGGCCCCGTCCCAGGGGGTCATAGATTTTCCCTATATGCATATAGTAAAAACTTAAAAAATCTTCTTTTAAAGAACCCAAAGAGCTAGAGCTAAGATATTTAGCATGAAACATCTTCTAATGAGTGTCTACCAAGTTTGTTCAAATAAAAGCCCTGGGGTCAAAATTGGCCCAGCCCCAGGGGGTCATTGATTTTCCCTATATGCATATAGTAAAAACTTAAAAAATCTTCTTTTAAAGAACTCAAAGAGCTAGAGCTAAGATATTTAGCATGAAACATGTTCTAATGGGTGTCTACCAAGTATGTTCAAATAAAAGCCCTGGGGTCAAAACTGGCCTGCCCCGGGGGTCATTGATTTTCCTTATATGTGTATAGCAAAAACTTAAAAATCTTCTTTGAAAAAACCCAAATAGCTTGAGTTTAGATATTATACATGAAACATCTTTAAGTAAATATCTACAAAGTTTGTTCAAATAAAAGCCCGGGGTCAAAACTGGCCCTGCCCCAGGGGTGTCATTGTTTTTTAACTATATGTGTATAGTAAAAACTTAAAAATCTTCTTTTAAAAAAACCCAATGAGCTAGAACTTAGATGTTTAGCATGAAACATCTTCTTATGGGTGTCTACCAAGTCTGTTCAAATAAAAGCCCTTGGGTAAAAATTGACCCGGGGGGGGGGGGGGGCTATATACAGGTGAGCGACCTCAGGGCCATCATGGCCCTCTTGTTTGTTAAGATATCTGATTTTCTCAGATGCTTCAAACTTGTCATTTATAAATTAAACAAATATTAAACCTTTATCACAAGTTTATTGAATTGTTTGCTTTCATAGAGTGTAAATATAAACTGGTTTGTTGAATGTATTCAGATTAAAACATATTATCAGTTGTGTATTGTATAATGCTGTAATACGATATGAAGTATTGTTAGTTAACTTAGTTTTATAATGTTTGATCCATATAACATGTATAAATGTAGAAAAAAGTAACCTGGTAGCTTCATAGGCAATAAAGAGAAATGTACATTTAGATTGGTTTAACCAAAAATTGTGCCCACATTATATGGTGCCCATCCTAAATTTTAGTGAAATCTTCATAGTAATGACAGCAATAAAAATTCATATCGTCATGGAAACATGATTTCAGGTACATCAGCATGTCCTGTTGGAAAATTTCATTGTACTAATGCTGGATACAAGCCACTAAATGTTCTATCTTCAAGAGTCAATGATGGTATTTGTGGTAAGTTACTTCATTTAAATGTTTGATTTTTAATTTAGTTTTGCAATATGAAGAATAGTGGGACTGTTTTTAGTCCTAGTATCGGTCATAGAGAAACTCTGCCTTTAGGTTTTAAGACTCGAAACTCTAGCATGAAGAATTATTATAATGTTATAGTGACTAGATTTGGCATTAGATTTTGTTTAACAAATATTTGGTTGAACCAATAAAACATTACAAATAAAGTGACTTGATGATTATTTAAATATTGATTTGTGATCATATTTTTTTTAAGAATGAGTGCATGTACATGTACTTTCTTCAGGGTATTTTACTCAGGCCTGATACTTTGTAAAATGTGTTGTTTGTATTAGTCAGAGTGTAACATTTTGTGTGTGTTTATATAGATTGTTGTGATGGCACTGATGAGTGGGACGGTAGCATTGATTGTGTCAACAACTGCAAGTATGATGGTCTTGCTTACATTCCTAGTTATTACATTGACAGTGACTAGCACATGCCAACAGTATAGAACTATGACAGTCTGCACATCCAAGGTGTCTGACCTGGCTTTATACTGTTGGCTATTCAGTTTGATAATATCTCTAAAACTAGAATTGTAAGTTCCAAATTCAAAGGGGAACACATTTTATTACCATACTCAAATTCATCAGCAGAACATTTAGTGATTAGATTGTTTGAAAGAAATATAATTATCTAAGATATGATAAGTGTTTATCTCCTAGATAATACAATGTTTGTATTCAGTACTGCTTTGAAATTTAAAACAATATCTTGTTGTTCATAAAAAACAACTTTGAAATTTTGAACAATATCTTGTAACTCATAAATAGAATATATTAAAATGTATGAGAACATTTGTTGTTCCAGATTAGTGAATGTGTTTGAATGTTGTTTTGTAGAGAGTTAGGTAAAAAGATGCGAGAAGAGGCTGACAGAGTTAGGCAATTACAGGAAGAGGGATTCAAGTTAAAGTTGAAATTTATTGAGGAGGGAAAACAAACCAGGGAACAGAAAAAGGTAAGATTGAAATGAAGTCTATATTTTTTCAACTTTAACTCTATGTTAATTAAGTTGTTAAATACAGGATTTTTCAAATATCTAACTTGGCCTTGTATGAAAAAATAAATTATCCAAACCTGTGATAATGGCCATATGCTTAACACCTCTCCTTTTTGTAAAGTTTTTGAGAAATGCATTGTATTTTTGGATTGCCCCTGGTGGATGGGTGGATTGGCCTGGGGTGTGTCCAGTTTTGTCTGGAGCAGTTCTTCAAAATGCATGGACAGATTCTAGTATTACTTGATACAAATGTTCACCACCATGAAAGGTAACTGCACACATGAACCAAGTCTGTAGTTCAAAGGTCAAGGTGACACAGATCTCATATAAAAATACTTAAGTAAAGCAAAACTTTTACATGCATTTAATTGTTAAAAAAAACATGGCTCAAATTTTCACCATTTTGCAGCAGTGTAGCATGCAAATTCAGGTCATTGCTGTTAATGTATAGGTCAAACATAGATGTCAATGGTAAGAGAAAAATATGAAAATGTGGGCAATTTCAATACAACAAGGTCCCTGAGTCACATGCAGAGGTCCAAGTTCAGATAAAATCAAAAATGAAAATGTGGGAATGAACATTGTGCCTTAGAAACGAACAACTTTTTACTTCTTTAGAAAGGGCAAAACATGACCTTTACAACATTTAAATAATGGCTTTAGATTGTGTTTAGATGCTTGTTACAGAAGAAGTAGTGGTAAATTTGAATTTATTTGTCATAAACATAGCAAAGTGTAAACAAAGTAGTATTTTGACCTCCATACAATATACTAAATCACTGTATCTAGACTTTCTCCCAAAAAGCGAAAGAAGAAAAAGTAAGGTGATGTAATTGGCAAATGAGTATCTTTTCAGAAACTATAAAAGTACACCAGAAATAAAAGAACTTTTAAGAAATGAAAATAAAAACATTTCTGGGGCATAATGGGCCTTTAAGGGATTATAATGTAAATGTTCTAAATCATGAGACTGAGAATTTGGTTTATACAGAATTTATTTTAGTTCGATTGTGTAAGAAGCTATAAGCTTATAGACACACATTAGAAGTTGTTCCTGGAACCAACCAGTACTGAGCAATGAATGTAAAGTTTCTTGCTCAAGGAAACGTTAACTTACCCCTGATTGGGTTTGAACCAATGCAGCTAGTGATCATTAGATTACTAGTCCAACACGTTAACCACTCGGCCATGCCGCAGACTGAGAATTTGTGCCGGGTGTATTTTGTGGCATTGACACTCTTGTTATCCCTCATGCAAAGGTAGCCCCAGGAAGCTAACTTCTAGCCTTCTTCACAATTGAAAGTTTTTTTTCTTTAAGTTTTATACATATTGTTGTGTCTTGCAACATAATCATAGCTAGAGGCAAAGACATTCAAGTTATTTTTTTTAAATTTTGTGAAATTTATAAGAATATTTGTAGTGTTTGAGAGAGGCTGTAGCATTACATTTTGTTAGAGATGCTTTTTCTGTTGTCAAATTCTTAAACACTTAAAAACCTACCGGTACATGAAAATGCAGAAACTTGTAAACAAGATGATTAACTCATGAAATGAATAGAAATGTATGTATATGTATTTTTTTGTTTATAGGCAGACCTTGAATTGTTAGAGAAGAGCAAGTTGGAATTAGAAACAGTTAAGGCTGAGTTTGAAGGTATATACATTACATTAAAATTCATAGCTAAATATGAATATGAACTATATTATTGACTTAACATATCTAAGATTTAAACATTTATTAGCTCACCTGTCACAAAGTGACAGGGTGAGCTTTTGTGATCGCTTTTCGTCCGGCGTCCGTCCGTCCGGCGTCCGTAAACTTTTACTTTAAATGACATCTCCTCATAAACCACTAAGCCAATTTCATCCAAACTTCACAGGAATGTTCCTTTGGTGGTCACCTTTAAAAATTGTTCAAAGAATTTAATTCCATGCAGAACTCTGGTTGCCATGGCAACCGAAAGAAAAAACTTTAAATATCTTCTTTTAAAAAACCCAAAGAGCTAGAGCTTAGATATTTGGCATGAAACATCTTCTAGTAAGTGCAGGCTGTCAACCAATTCCTATATTCCTATAAAACTCCTATATTTTGGGTCGGAATCCTATATTTTAAAAAGCCTCCTATTTTTCCTATATTCTCCTATATTTTGAATATTTTTCCTATATTTTTTAAAAAATATATTGCCGAGGAATTCAAAGAGATTTAAATTTTGGTACTGCTTTTGGTCTTTTCTATTTTACAGGTATGATAATGTCTATGCTTGCATCAGCATCACATTATTATGCTCAAGGCTGCTGTACTCCACATAGCAATCTGCATGGTCACCATGAAAAGCAGTGCATCAGTATGTCAACTTTATTTCAGGTGACCATTCAGATGATGGTCTTGCATTGCTGTAACTTTCTGTCGGGATGCTGATGCTGTGGTTCAAAGCTAATGCAGGCTGTCCGCTCTGTCCCTAAAATTCCTAACAAAATCTTAATTTTTTCAGTTTGGCTAAAATTCCTAAAAAAGTGAAAATTCAAAGGGAATTCCTAGGGATGCCCTATTTTTTCACTGAAATTCCTCATTTTTTATCTTTTGTTATAAACATACTTATAACTCGTAACCCTGTCAAAGTAATCACGGACATAACTAAGTCGACCATGTTTTGAACATGATCAAAAATGATTTGGCCATGATTTGCCAACTCAAAATTGATGACATTGAAATGGTTTCGTTTTAACTAAAAGTTACTTTGACTATGTCAGTAACATTGCTATTTCATAATCAAAGCAGTTGTTGATAATCATGTTGACAGCAAAAATACTACCATATTATGGTCCTGAAACTCAAAATCATAACCATAAGAGTCCACTTATTCTGGAATATTTTTGACACTCTTTTGCCAAAACTCCAGATATCTTGAATTTTATGTTTTCATTTTATCCAAATTTCTGAAGTGGTCCATTTATTAATCATATCATATTTTAAAAAAGTGATCATTATGAAGCTGTTGGTAACACAATCTAAATCAAAAAACATGTATTAAATTTCGTTGTCAAAAATCTTAATGTACAATTTGTTTTTACTTCACAACTCTTTTATTTAATCTGCATTGAATCGAAACAACATTGTAAAGTATGAATGGGTTTTTAACGTTACAGACCTTTTGAAAAACAATTTTCTTTCCCTCATATTATTTATCCTTTTTCCGATGGTCTTTGTAGGAAAGGAAAATTGGTTATTTTGCCAACAAAGTTTTTAATTTCATTTCAATTCTTGTTCTTTGGGATTCAAATGGTTGCCCAATTTAGGAAAAAATGCCAGAGACTTTCATAATTAATCACACTAAAAATTTTTGGCAGGTTCAATAAATAAGGATCTGCTCATTTCCAGTTACCATTGTAACACACATTTTGCAATTATGTGATTCTAGGAGAAACTGACAAATTGAATTTGGTCAGTGTGATGAACTTTTTTGATGTGCAAATTCTTTGTGTTTGATGTTTATAGATGACTTCCCCATTGTGATTCAAATGGACTGTAGGATCTACTAAGGCAAATGCCTTTTTTCCTTTGTCTACTTGTACAAAAAATTTTTCATTTGCTGTCATATCCCCCAAGCTGGCATTTGTTGCAAGAATTTCACTGTATAAGAATTCCTTTTAGACACTTTGGTTTTTATAACATTCCGAAAAACATAGGTAAAACATGTTCTTTTTGGGACATGTTCAGCCAGTTTAAAAAATTATGGTTTGGGCACATTTAATTTGGGACTAAGACCATTTATGCAGGGGGGGGGGGGGGGGGGGGGGCCATAGTTTGACCAGTGGGAGTCCACATGGTATCACCTTTTGCTCTAACTTAAATTAGAAAATTATTTGTGAGGTTACTTTGTTGACAAATATGTTGAGTTTATTTAGTTTTTTTAAAATTAAACAAATTTTAGCCCATAAATTTCTATTAATTTTACCCCTCTTCCCTTAATTTTAGCCCTTAAAAAATTTTTCTGAAAATTTTCCCTAAAAATTTCCCCCAATTTTTTTATGTACGGATAGGTGCTGGTGACAGCCCCTGCTAAATGGTGTCCTTCAATCTTATTACGGGTAGAATTTTATTGTAGAAACAGCATGATTGTGTAAAAGTAAGAATAATTTTTAATTTATAATAATGCCATTCACTGTTAAATTTTAAAACAATTTAAGTGAACAACTTCCTATTTTTTTTCCTCAAAATGGTTTCCAAAAAAATCCTTATTATTTTCCTGCAAAAATATTCCTAGTATATCCTCCCTTTATTTTTGATAAAGACCCTGGTTGACCAAAGCCTGTCTAAGTGGTTCTACCAAGTTTGGTTCTAAATAAAAGCCTTGGGCGTTTCAAAATTGGCCCCGCCCCGGGGGTCATTGATTTTCCCTTATATGCATTGTAGTTTAAAAATTAAAAAAAATCTTCTTTTAAAGAACCCCATGGAGGAGCTTCTACCGCCTTAAAATTATTTATCATGAAAATCTTTCTTAAATAAAGGTTAAACCAAGTTTTGCTCAAAAAAAAAAAGCCCTGGGGTCAAAATTGGCCCCCGGCCCCAGGGGGTCATTGGATTTTTCCCTTTAATATTGCTATTAGTTAAAAACTTAAAAAGTCTTCCCTTTTAAGAAACCCATAGAGCTAGAGCTAAGATATTTAGCATGAAAATTTCTAATAAGTGAGCCGGCTTACCGTTTGTTCCTCTCAAAAAAAAAAGCCCTGGAGGGTCAAAATTGGCCCGCCCCGGGGGGTCATTGATTTTCCCTATGCATATAGTAAAAACTTTTAAAAAATTTCTTCTTTTAAACAACCCAAAGATTTAAAGCATTGAAACCCCCATGTTCTAATGGATGTCTTACAAAGTTTGTTCAAATTTAAAAGCCCTTAGGTCAAAATTTTGGCCCCACCCCAGGGGGTTGATTGATTTTCCCTATTGCATATAGTAAAAAACTTTAAAAAATCTTTTTTTTAAAGAACCACTAGAGCTAGAGCTAAGATATTTAGCATGAAACATCTTCTAATAAGTGTCTACCAAGTTTGTTCAAATAAAAGCCCTGGGGTCAAAATTGGCCCCGCCCCAGGGGGTCATTGATTTTTCCCTATATGCATATAGTAAAAACTTAAAAAATCTTTTTTTTTAAAGAACCCAAAGAGCTAGAGCTATGATATTTTAGCATGAAAAATGTGCTAATGGGGTGTCTACAAAGTTTTGTTCAAATAAAAGCCCTGGGGTCAAAATTGGCCCGCCCCGGGGGTCATTGATTTTTCCTATATGTGTATAGCAAAAACTTAAAAAAAATCTTTCTTTGAAAAAACACCAAATAGCTAGAGTTTAGATTTTAATCATGAAACATCTTCTAGTGAGTGTCTACAAAGTTTGTTCAAATAAAAGCCCTGGGTGGTCAAAATTGGCCCGGCCCTGGGGGTCATTGATTTTCCTTATATGTGTAAAAAAAAAAACTTAAAAATCTTCTTTGAAAAAACCCAAATAGCTAGAGTTTAGATATTAAGCATGAAACATCTTTCTAATAAGTGTCTACAAAGTTTGTTCAAATAACAGCCCTGGGGCTAAAACTTGCCCCGCCCCAGAGGTGTCATTGTTTTTTAACTATATGTGTATAGTAAAAAACTTAAAAAAAACTTCTTTTAAAAAAACCAATAAGCTACAGGTTAGATTGTAGGAAACATCTTTATGTGGGTGTCTACCAAGTTTGTTCAAATAAAGCCCTTGGGTTAAAATTGCCAAAGGGGGGGGAGGTCATTGTTTTTCATTATATGTGCGTAGTAAAAACTTAACATCATGAAACATCTTCTAATGAGTGTCTTCCAAGTTTGTTAAAATAAAAGCCCTGGGGTTTAAATTAGCCCCGCTCCGGGGGCCTAAATACAGGTGAGCGACCTCAGGGACATCATGGCCCTCTTGTTAAAATTACATTTAAAAGTGTTAGTTATGTGCACAAAACATTAGCTCAAATGAATTGGGATGTCAAGGATTGGTCATGCCTAAATTAAACACCAAGGAACATATAAGGTTCACCTCCACCAACATATGCTGGTGTTAGAGTTGTTTTTAGCTTTTATAGGGAGGGCTATTGTATGGGGGCATCGGTACTGGCACCAAACTTCGGTTCAGTTTTTGCATGCAAATTGGTATCTCTAAAACAACTGAAGGTAAGGGGCAGAAACTTCACTCAATTTAAGAGCATAAGTAGAGGTCACATTCCAAGGTCTATAACTCTTAAATGGATTTTGACAGAATTATGACTCTTTTTGAATTTAGAAAATTCTACATTATTCAGGCTTTTGTTTTACTATCAAGCACATACCCCAGCATGCTGTCCAATGGACAGCTCATGTTTTATACATTATTAGCATTGTCCATTCATAAGTGTTGGTATTTTATTATATGTAAAAAAAAAACACCTATATTTGTGCTCAAGATTTTTTTTATAAATTATGTACTTTTAAAAATAACTATAATAAATGGGATCTTTCCTGGCGGATGGCATCCATTTTTGTCTGGAGACTTTGAGAATATCTTCTACATTTATGGAGGGATTGAAAGTGCAGTATATATAAATAATGTACAATAAATAAAAAAAACCAAAAAAGACATAATTAAGGTCCTTTTTACCAAGGTCAGATATCAAAAAATGTAAATATAGATCATTTAGTCATCATGAATTGTTGGATTATAATGTAAATATTGACTGGAATGAGGCTGAGCATTTGTGATGATTTATTTTGTGACTAATTGGCATGCTTGTTCAAGATTATGTAGATGTATGTAATGAATGTTAAGGTTAATGGTAAGGATGCTTAAGCTTAACTCTTTACTTTCTGTGGTGAGTACAAGTTGTTCTTAATCATAGTAAACTGTGCTTCAGCATTTGTGTATACACTATACACTAGTGTATACATTTATGTATACAATAGTAAGTGATAAGTTATGACAATAAAGTAATGGCAATGTAACATGTATTATAAAGTACAGTTTTATTTTCAGCAAAGAAGAATGATGCTGAGGCACCAGAGAAGGAAGCAAAGGACAAACATGAAGCTGCCTGGAATGGTAGGAATCCTCTTTCTACCATAGTTACCTCTCATAAACCTTTAGAACATTTCACTGCTGTGATTAAAAATAAAACTATATCTTACATTGCTTATCTATATGTCAATTTTAGAATATATATTCAATATATTCTGAGAGGCAGTCACATGAAATATTTGATTTATTGAGATAGATGTTTGAATATTTTTACAGAGGAGCTAGAGAGAAGAAATGCAGAGAAAGAGAAGTTGAGAGCAGAGATTGCTTTTGCTGAGTTGGATGCTAATAACGACAACAAGTAAAGACATATTATATCTCCAGCTGTTGTTATATAGGCACATTATAAAATGACGAGTTATAATCAACAGTAAAATTGTATATTTTCCACAATCCTATGATCTTTTTTCGTAAAAGTTGTAACATAGCATGTCTGTTATTTAACAGAATGGTTTTAAATGTTGGCAATGAGTTCATGCCTGTTCCATTCTTTTTAAGGAAATATACTTCAATTTTCTTTCATACATACATTTTGGAAGCATTGGTTTTTGAAATTGAAACAATAATTATTGTTATAAAATTATAGCTTTATACACTTTAATGTTAATATCGACTGTGCCATACATGGTCTATTTGTTAATTTGTACCAGTTTTATGACTTGAGATTGCAGAATTAAGAATATGGTTGCATTTATTATTACTGTTTGATAAAATTGCTCTTTGAAGTCATGAAATACACAGAGGAAACTGTTTTTTTTTAGGATATCTCTATCTGAGATAAAAGGTCTGTCAATGTTTGATGTGGATTCTAATGGTGAAGTGAGTGATGATGAAGCTAAGGTAAAATACTTATGTTTTTGTTGAATTATAAACAGATAACTCAATACTTATACATTATGTTTGCTAAGATATGTATTTTCTGCCCTGCCATAGTATGCCAGAATTCAAAATCTATAATTGCTTGATATTTTGTGTTTTAAACTATTATGTCAAAATTGTGAAATGGTATGCAACATGATTTGAATTGAAAAAAAAAGTGAATAAGAAGTGTATGCATTGCTGACTCAAGTTTTCTCCGTTGTCTTATTAGCTCACCAGAGCCGAAGGCTCGGGGTGAGCTATTAGTATCAAAGGGGGATGCTGCGGCGTCCGTCGTCATGCGTCAACAATCGTCTTCTTCTCTGAAACTACTAAGCAGATTTACTTCAAATTTGGTCTGTAGCATCCTTGTGACAGTCACACTTGAATTTGCTCATGTCATTCCAATTGGCCCCTTTTAGGGGTCAGCAGTGCTAAAAATAGAAAAAACCTTTAAACATCTTTATCTACAGAACTAATGGATGGATAATCACCAAACTTTGTCTGTAGCATTCTTGGGTAGTCTTTTATCAAGTTTGCTCATATTAATTTGATTGGCCCCTTTTAGGGGTCTCTAGGGCTAAAAATAGAAAAACCATTAAACATCTTCTACAGAACTAATGGATGGATGATCACCAAACTTTGTCTGTAGCATTCTTTGGAAGTCCTTTATCAAGTTTGCTCATTTGATTGGCCCCTTTTAGGGGCTGCTAAAGCTAAAAATAAAAATACTGTTAAATGTCTATTTCTAGAGAACTAATTGATGGATGATCACAAAACTTTGTCTGTAGCATTCTTGGGTAGTCTTTTAACAAGTTTGCAAATATTATTTTGATTGGCCCCTTTTAGGGGTCTCTAGGGCTAAAAATAGAAAAACCTTTAAACATCTTCTCCTACAGAACTAATTGATGGATGATCACCAAACTTTGTCGGTAGCATTCTCTTGTAGTGTTTTATCAAGTTTGCTCATATTAATTTGATTGGCTTCTTTTAGGGGCCACTAAAGTTAGAAATAGAAATACCGTTTAATGTCTTTTTCTAGAGAACAAATTGATGGATGATCATCAAACTTTGTCTGTAGCATTCTTAGGTAGTTCTTTATCAAGTTTGCTAATATTATTTTGATTGGCCCCTTTTAGGGGCCGCAAAAGCTTAAAATAGAAATACCTTTAAATGTCTATATCTACAGAACTAATGGATGGATGATCACCAAACTTTGTCTGTAGCATTGTTGGGTAGTCTTTTATCAAGTTTGATCATATTATTTTGATTGGCCCCTTATAGGGGCCGCTAAAATTAAAAATAGATATACGTTTAAATGTCTATTGCTACAGAACTAATTGATGGTTGATCACCAAACTTTGTCTGTAGCATCCTTGGGTAGTCTTTTATCAAGTTTGCTCATGTTAATTTGATTGGCCCCTTTTAGGGGCTGCTAAAATTAAAAATAGAAATACATTTAAACATCTTCTCCTACAGAACTAATAAATGGATGATCACCAAACTTTGTCTGTAGCATTTTTGGGTAATCTTTTATCAAATTTGCTCTCATTAATTTGATTGGCCCCTTTTATGGGCCACTAAAGCTAAAAATAGAAAAACCTTTAAACATCTTCTTCAGAACCAATTGATGGATGATCACCAAACTTTGTCTGTAGCATTCTTGGGTACTCTTTTATCAAGTTTGCTTATATTAATTTGATTAGCCCCTTTTAGGGGCCACTAAAGCTAAAATAGAAAAAACCTTCGAACATCATTTCCTACTGAAATAATTGATGGATGATCACCAAACTTTGTAGCATTCTTAGGTAGTCTTTTATCAAGTTTGCTCATATTAATTTGATTAGCCTCGTTCAAGCTAAAGCTTAAATGCCCCATGTCATGGCATTTCTTCAAATTATGTTTTAAACATATTCTATGCTCAAATTTAATATTAGAATATATTGACATTCCAACACTGAAAAGCAGTTGTTTCTGGTGAGCGACTCAGGGCCATCATGGCCCTCTTGTAAGATTACTTAGGTTGACAAGTCATAAAATTAGATATATTATTCATGTTAGGAACACCTAGAAGGTGAGGAAGAAGTGGACCTAGATCACTTTGTATTAAAAGTTTGGCCTAATATCAAATCTATCTATAAATCTCCTGGTAGTGAAGAGCCAGCAAAGGGAGACAACCAGGAAGTTGCTACAGAAGCTCCAGAGGTATATCTTTTAATCATTAAGTTTAGCTCAGTATTTAAAGAAAAAAAAAGTTACCTAATTCACCCAGAATCCACACTTATGTTGGACTTCAATCTTAATATATGCCTTTGAAGTCATAATGGAAGGTCAAGGACTAACACAAATAACTGGAGCATGAACTTTTACTGATATTTTGTTCTTAAAAATTTTCTGGTTAAGGTTGTGCATGCAGTTCTATCAGAACGACCTGAAAGATTATCACTTTTTAATATACATGTTGTCTTTGTCGAAATATTAGGTCACTGGCCATGGACTTTAAGTAATCTGTCTCTGCCATTTGTCTGAAATTGCCAGCAAAATTAAAAGATTTCAATTTATAATATTATACCAATATTTTGTTTGTCTGTTGTTTTAAAATATAGGATCTTAATAAAAAATAAAGTTTAGATATACCAACAGAATATATTCACAAATAACTAGAGAGTATTACTTATCAATCAGTAATTATCAGGAATAAGTTTGCTGACCTGATATTGAATGGTATATAATATATAACAGTAGATGCCATCTTGTACACAAATATATAAATAAAATAATAGCTGTTTATTTGTACAATCTGAGGTGTTACCACCACCATTGCGACGAGGATTTCCTCGACATAAAAACCCGGCTATTGAACGACAGCGACAGTTGTATGCTCAGCGGGTACATCTTATATTGTGTTGTGTCTTTTTGTCCTCATAACTTATTCGTTCTTTATATTAACTTTACATTTATGTTGTATAGATTTATATATTGATTTTCTTCCGAGATTTGTTAAAATTAAATGTAAAACAGGATATATAAAACATAGATCATGTGATAGCTTCAAAGCTGTGATGTACTCTATGGATGTAAAGATTTTAATTTCTTGTTTTGTAGAATGACAGCAATACAGCAATTTTTTCTTGCATGTTAAAAAACTCATTATATAAAAATTTTGATACAGTAGTTTCTTGTAGCTCTTGTTATTTATATCTCCTTTCTTGTTATTTATATCTCTTTTTTAGCTCACCTGAGCTTGCTCAGGGTGAGCTATTAGGATCAGTGAATGTCCGTCGTCCGTCGTACGTCCACAATTGCTTGTGAACACACTAGTGGTCACACTTATGACTCAATCATCATCAAACTTTGTCAGGATGCTTGTTTAGTCAATTGCTCGGATGAGTTCGAAACTGGGTCATTTCGGATGGAAAACTAGGTCAAAGGAGCTAAAAATAGAAAAACCTTGTGAACACTCTAGTGGTCACATTTTTGACCCAATCATCATCAAACTTTGTCAGAATGCTTGTCTAGTCGATGCTTGGATAAGTTTGAACATGATTTATCTTGGATGGAAAACTAGGTCACAGGAGCTAAAAATAGAAAAACCTTGTGAACACTCTAGTGTCACATTTTTGACTCAATTATCATCAAACTTGGTCAGGATGCTTGTCTAGGTAATTGCTCGAATGTCAAGCTCGAATATGGGTCACCTGGGGTCAAAAACTAGGTCACACTGCTCAAATATGGATAATCCTTGTTAACACTAGTGGTCACATTTTTGACACACCTGTCATGAAACTTGGTCAGAACGCTAGTCTAGGTAATTGTTCGGATGAGTTTGACGGGTCAGGTGAGCGATCTAGGGCCATCTTGGCCCTCTTGTCTTTGTTTACCTATGATTGTAAATATTTTGATTATATTGGATTATTATGTTCAGTTTAGATGTGTTTCCTTTTTGTAAACTTCTTCATTTCCATGATTTATATTGTCTTCCTTATTTTTATACCCCCGCACAACGAAGTTGTAAGGGGGGTATACTGGAATCAGCTTGTCCGTCCGGGCGTCTGGCCGTCCGTCGGTTTTTCCTTGTCCGCCCAATAACTTAAGATTCCTTTGACCCACAGTCTTCATATTTGGCATGGAGGTTAGTCATGATGAGTAGATGACCCCTATTGATTTTGAGGTCACTGGGTCAAAGGTCAAGGTCACAGGGGCCTTGACTAAAAAAAGCTTGTCCGCCCAATAACTTAAGATTCCTTTGACCCACAGTCTTCATATTTGGCATGGAGGTTAGTCATGATGAGTAGATGACCCCTATTGATTTTGAGGTCACTGGGTCAAAGGTCAAGGTCACAGGGGCCTTGACTGAAAAAAGCTTGTCCGCCCAATAACTTAAGATTCCTTTGACCCACAGTCTTCATATTTGGCATGGAGGTTAGTCATGATGAGTAGATGACCCCTATTGATTTTGAGATCACTGGGTCAAAGGTCAAGGTCACAGGGGCCTTGATTGAAAAAAGCTTGTCCGCCCAATAACTTAAGATTCCTTTGACCCACAGTCTTCAGATTTGGCATAGAGATTAATCACAATGAGTAGATGACTCCTATTGATTTTGAGGTCACTGGGCCAAAGGTCAAGGTCACAGGGGTCTTGATTGAAAAAAAGCCTTTCTGCCCAATAACTTTAGATTCCTTTGACTCACTGCCTTCATATTTGGCATGGAGGTTAGTCATGATAAGTAGATGACCCCTATTGATTTTGAGGTCATTTGGTCAAAGGTCAAGGTCACAGGGGCCTGGACTGAAAAAAGCTTGTCTGCCCAATAACTTAAGATTCCTTTGACCCACAGTCTTCATATTTGGCTTAGAGGTTAGTCAGGATGAGTAGATGACCCCTATTGAGTTTGAGGTCACTGAGTCAAAGATTAAGGTTACAGGGGCCTTGACTATGTAAAGCTTGTCCGCCCAATAACTTAAGATACCTTTCACCCACAGTCTTCATAGTTGGCATGGAGGTAAGTCATGATAAGTAGATGACCCCTATTGAGTTTGAGGTCACTTGGTCAAAGGTTAAGATCACAGGGGCCTTGACTATGTAAAGCTTGTCCGCTCAATAACTTAAGATACCTTTCACTATCTTCATATTTGGCATGGAGGTAAGTCATAATGAGTAGATGACCCTTATTGATTTTGAGGTCCTTTGGTCAAAGAGCTTGTCTGCTCAATTGCTTAACAATGCTTTGGTCAGTAGTCTTCATATTTGGTATTGTGGTTGGTTATGACTAGTAGATGACCCCTATTGATTTTTAGGTGACTGTGTCAAAGGTCAAGGTCACAGGGGCTTTTACTACAATAAGTTTATCCGCTCAAATGCTTTAGATTGCCTGTCTAAAGTGTTATTGATTTTGACATTTTCACATTTGAAGCATATAATTATGTTCTCATATATTCATCATAAAAACCCCCAGACAAAGCTGCATGAATGGGGGTATTCAAGTCATGCAGTGGCAGTTTCAGTTTTGAGGTCAAAGGAAGGTCACTTTGTTTGCCACAAAAACATGTTGAATACATAATTATGCAATGCACTGGCTTACTACCCTTAGACTTGGCAGGGAGGTTGTCCTTGAGCTTTAATTGACCACTGTTGATTCTGACAAAGTGGTATGTGGGGGTATTCAGGCCATGACAGTGGCAGCTCTAGTTTCTTCAGATCTTTGTAAATTTCCAATGAAATTAAAGTAGGAAAGTGGTTAACAACTAATTAAACACATTTTAAGGGCATTGTATGGCAATTTCTTAGATGTCTTTTGTATGAGTATTTATACTTCCGATTCACCTGTACCCTTTAGTGGGGTTTCAGGTAACATAGGTCAAGTTCAAGTCTACTGCAGCTTGAAATAATTTGTTGTTCTTTTCCTCATATAAGAGCAATATATTTACCTCTGTTACATTGATAGCGGGGAACATTCATTGGTGTAACAGATATTGTTATTCAATCATGTGTACAAAGGACAAAGCTGATATGTAATACTTAAGTTTTAGGTTTATAGCATTGATTTATTTTTAGTATTTTAGTTAGAAGAAATTCACCAATGTTCATTTTTCAGATACACATAAATATTTTCTTTCAGACTGGATTACCCGAAACACCAACTCCACAAGACAATGATAGTGATGATGAGGATGATGATGACGACGATGATGATGATGACGATGATGAATACAATGATGAGGAAATTGTAAGTGTAGGCTTTAGTTAGTAAATTTCCATGTCAAGTGTTTACTAACACTGTTTTCCTTGATTAACAAAACAACAACAATAGTTCCAAATACTGAATGCATTTTAAATCTTTAAAATCCAAGGTAATTAAAGATGTTTTGAAACATTTGTTTTAGCTTGACTATTAAAAGAATAGTGGGGCTATCCTAGTCAATGGCATTCTATTTTGGCTCATTTTGAAGCATGCATCTTTAATATGTGTCTGAAATTATTATTCGAGATAACAGTCCAAGGCCCATAACTCTGATGAATTAATTTTGACCCTTTTTGATCTTAGGAAATTCCTGGTTAAAGTTTTGCATGCAAAGTCAATGAAGGCATTGACTTGAAACTAAACTTGAAACTATGTCATGCATTTTGAGCTTAATCTTCCTGTTTGTTTGTTCAAACATTGTACAGGTTCTTGATTGACTATCAAGCAATGAAAAATTGAGCTCTGTAATTTCTAGGGAAAAATTTGCTTTTTTATTAGAAGGATTTGAAAACTATGAATAATATCAACATGAAGCTTGGAATACAAGGTCCAATTGTTAGACAAGGGCCCTTTTCCTGCAATAATTTTAGAAGTTATGTTCCTTTTTAAATTTGAATATCTAAAATAGGTTATTGATAGTTGTTGCCCTTAACAGACAAGTGTTAACACCGCATGCAGTGCTATTGTTATTTATTAGTTTTTATTTACTTATTGCTGTGACTTTGTCAAATTGTTTTAGAAACCAGGGTTAGGTACTGCTCCATCAGGTCAGCCTCACCTCATTGAAAAGGTAGTATATCATTACTGGTGACAAATAAATGTAGTTCTGAAACTTGACACATGTATTCTACCAGTGGTGTTTGAAATTATCTCTATTTGGTATTGAAGTCCTACTTAAATATCCAGCATATATGCATGATGTTTTCATTCTGTTGTAGTTACTTTTTCATGATTACATGTTAGCTAACATAATATCATGCTATGTGATATTGGGTGTCTGTTGCCTTGTGGTTAAGGTTATTGACTTCAATTCAGTTGCCCCTCACTGCTGTGGGTTTGAATCCCGACAGAGACTTTGGATTCTTTCATGTGACGGAGCTATCCAGCTTGCTTATGGAACATCTGTGGTTCTTCTCCAGTGCCCGTTTGTGCCTGATGAAATGTATAGAAGGAAACCTGAGGTCTTCCTCCACCAGTAAAGCTGGAAAGTTGCCATATGACTCATCTTGTGTTGGTGTGACGTAATACCCAAACAAACAACAACAAAAAAACGACTCAAAAAAAAAAAAGGAAAAAAAAAGAAAATATAAACTATGAAAATTTTTCCTCTTAAATTATGTAAATAAGAGATTATATTTTGCATGAATATATAATGTCATGAAAGTATCAAAGATTTCTGAATAATAATTGTGGTAAGTGGGTTGTCATATTCAATAAATTATATATGTATAAAACAGAGTGATTTGTATTTTAAGAATGTGCAATATATTTAGTCATTATCTTGATAGCATCAGCTGTCCACTGTATACTTGGTGTGTGAAGTTATAATGCAGCCTTGTAAGCAAGCTAGCTCATTTTGGTATGGTAATTATACCATTGTGCCCATAATAAAGCACAGTAGATGACATGGGGGGTTACTATGAAGAGTATAGCTAGAAAGATGCTTTATAATCTTATCATTGTCAGTGTGACTGAATATTTGCATTACTTCTGATTTCATAATACATGCATACTTAGTTATAGAGAATACCATGCTAGTGTCTGATATTACAAAATTTATCAGGCTAGCCTTAGAAAAAAGAGCCTTGATCTTCATTCCTCAAGTTTATGCCTTGCACAGTAATGTGCCAAGGGACATATCAATAAGAAATAGACTGGAAGGTTTTTAGTCATATATAAGAGAGACTTAAATGTTTTAATGTCTATTTGATTCAAAGTTTATCAGTTCATTATTTCAAACTAGTAATATTCCATTTTTAGCTCACCTGAGCTTGCTCAGGGTGAGCTATTAGGATCGGTGAATGTCCGTCGTCCCTCGTACGTCCACAATTGCTTGTGAACACTCTAGCGGTCACATTTTTGAACCAATCATCATCAAACATTGTCAGGATGCTTGTTTAGTCAATTGCTTGGATGAGTTCGAACATGGGTCATCTCTGATGAAAAACTAGGTCACAGGAGCTAAAAATAGAAAAACCTTGTGAACACTCTAGTGGTCACATTTTTGACCCAATCATCATCAAACTTGGTCAGGATGCTTCTCTAGTTGATAGCTCAGATGATTCCGAACATGGGTCATCTCGGATGAAAAAGTAGGTCACAGGAGCTAAAAATAGAAAAACCTTGTTAACACTCTAGCGGTCACATTTTTGCATCAATCATCATCAAACTTGGTCAAGATGCTTGTCTAGGTGATAGCTCGGATGAGTTCGAACATGTGTCATCTCTGATGAAAAAGTAGGTCACCGGAGCTAAAAATAGAAAAACCTTGTTAACACTCATCAAACTTGGTCAAGATGCTTGTCTAGGTGAAAGCTCGGATGAGTTCGAACATGGGTCATCTCGGATGAAAAACTAGGTCACAGGAGCTAAAAATAGAAAACCATGTTAACACTCTAGAGGTCACAATTTTGCCTCAATCATCATCAAAGTTGGTCAGGATGCTTGTCTAGGTGATAGCTCGGATGAGTTCGAACATGGGTCATCTCGGATGAAAAAGTAGGTCACCCGAGCTAAAAATAGAAAAACCTTGTTAACACTCTAGCGGTCACATTTTTGCATCAATCATCATCAAACTTGATCAAGATGCTTGTCTTGGTGATTGCTCAGATGAGTTCGAACATGGGTCATCTCGATAAAAAACTAGGTCTCAGGAGCTAAAAATAGAAAAACCTTGTTAACACTCTAGTGGTCACAATTTTGACTCAATTGTTATCAAACTTCGTCAGGAAACTTGTCTAGGTCATTGCTGGGAATAAATTGAACATGGGTCATCTCAGATGAAAAAGTAGGTCACCGGAGCTAAAAATAGAAAAATCTTGTTAACACTCTAGTGGCTACTGTTGTGATCCAAATATTCTGTTAATTGGTCTGAAAGTTTGTTTTGATGATTTCTAAGTCAAGTTCGAACATGGTTCATCTTGGATGAAAAACTAGGTCACACCGCCCAAATATAGAAAAACCTTGTTAACATTCTAGTGGTCACATTTTCGACTCAATTATCATCAAACTTGGTCAGGATGCTTGTCTAGGTAATTGCTTGGATGAGTTCGAAATCGCATGTGGCACTAGGTCACCGGAGCTAAAAATAGAAAAATCTTGTTAACACTCTAGTTGCTACTGTTTTGATCCAAGTATCCTGGAAATTGGTCTGAAAGTTTGTTTTGATGATTTCTAGGTCAAGTTTGAATATGTGTCACCTGGGTAAAAAACTAGGTCGCACTGCTCAAATATGGATAATCCTTGTTAACACTGTAGTGGTCACATTTTTGACTCACCTGTCATGAGACTTGGTCAGAATGCTTGTCTAGGTAATTGTTTGGATGAGTTTGATAAGTCAGGTGAGCGATCTAGGGCCATCATGGCCCTCTTGTTTTAATTTTAATTTTAATTCAGTTTTCATTTTATTTCAATATGTATTGATAAGATGACTTATAAAGCTAAAGTAGAATTAAATTGAGAATAATACTACAATATCAGTCATTCTACAGTAAGAAATTTTTAAGGAACAAATGATTTTGACATTGTTGTTGGAGGTGTTGTTGTGAAATACACACAAGATAAACATCTTCCTCAGAAAAGTATCAAACACATTCCACAAAAATCACCAGGAGAGTTTCATATAAGCTTTAAGCTTTTTATTTAATCCTGGTTGTAATTTATATATTGTAATAGTGTTTTTAAATTTGCAAGAAGAAATAAATATTGTTTAAACCAAAGATTTCGTGTGAATTATACAGGTTGGAACATTGTTTACAAACTAGCTCAATTTAGTTTTAATGGTTTGTATGGTTAGTGTTTGAGTTTAGCATTATGGAGTTTATTTGATATTAATGGCATGTACACTGTTGGCATGGTTGTCACAAGTTTGATCCATACTTCAAGTGTATCTATGTTAAAAGGTTCAAGGTGTAACATAGTGTAATAATAAATATGATATTGTTATTGTAGGAAGAGAATAAAACAAGTGAGACTACAGATCAACAAGATGAAGATAAAATGCCCGACTATGATGATGCTACCAAAGCTCTTATAGCAGGTTATATACAGTTTTCTAACATGATAAAAATCAAAATATATTTAGAATATGCAAATAAACTAATTGATATTTTTATTGATATTTCATTCCTGTTGATTTCTTCCCTAAAATAAGATTTTACTGAGTTTTGTTTTTATCTCTTTCAAATTATATAATGTATTTTAAATGTTTTAAGTCTTCTAAACAAGGGAGTGACATCATACTTAACATGCAACCCATTCATAAAAAATGCCCAGAATGATGTCATTTAAAAGCTTATGGCTTGCCTCAAATTAAATAGGGGTGAGGTAAAGATATGTTTATCTAGCATGGATGTAAACAGAAACAATACTGGAGGTGTACAGACATTTATTGCGCTTAAAATGAAACCACACTTTTGGGGATATACATGTACTGGCATAGCTTTGTTGCGTCAGTCAGTGGGTTGTTCAATCTTCTTCTAGTGTTAAATAGCCGCTCTGAAACACCACTTAGACCAACATTATTCCTTAATTGCTTAACTGAAATTATCTGTTTTGTTCAGATAAATTTATAAGAAAGTAAGTAAGTAGTAATATGAAAGTTATGATGAATTATAAACAGCTGATATTTGTATTATTGTACAGCTGCTGATGAGGCAAGACAACAATTTAATGATGCTGATGCTAAATTGAGAGAAGCTGAAAATAAAATAAGGTAGGAGTTGCATATCTTGTGATTTTTTTTATTTGGAAAAGCTATTTTTCCTGTTACTAGACTTTTCAAATTTTTAGCTCGACTATTCGAAGAATATGAGAGCTATTGTAGTCGCCCCGGCGTCGGCGTCGGCGTCAGCGTCCGTGTCGGCGTCTGCGTTGGTTAAAGTTTTTTGTAAATTCAAATATCTCAATTATTGCTTGAGATATTCAATTGAAACTTACAATACTTATTTATAGTAACAATATACATCAGATTGACAAGTTGGATAACTCTGCCTACAATATTGACAGAATTATGCCCCTTTTTAACTTAGAAATTTTGGTTAAAGTTTTTTGTAAATTCAAATATCTCAATTATTGCTTGGGATATTCAATTGAAACTTACAATACTTATTTATAGTAACAATGTACATCAGATTGACAAGTTGGATAACTCTGCCTACAATATTTACAGAATTATGCCCCTTTTTAACTTAGAAATTTTGGTTAAAGTTTTTGTAAGTTCAAATATCTCAATTATTGCTTGAGGTATTCTATTGAAACTTACAATACTTATTTATAGTAACAGTGTACATCATATTGACACGTTGAATAACTCTGCCTATAATATTTACAGAATTATGCCCCTTTATAACTTAGAAATTTTGGTTAAAGTTTTTTTTTGTAAAGTTAAATATCTCAATTATTGCTTGAGATATTCAATTGAAATTTACAATACTTTTTTATAGTAACAATGTACATCAGTTTGCAAAATTGCATAACTCTGACTGCAATATTTGCAGAATTATTGGCCCCTTTGAAACTCTAAGAAATTTTGGTTAAAGGTTAAAGTTCTTCAAAGATATTGACTTGAAACTTTACACAATCATGTGCTTAGGGTCATAATTGGAGAGTCATAATTGTATGTCACTGACCAAGTTCCATAACTCTACTCCCATTTAGGCTGATTCATCTCCCCTTTTCTACTTAGTCTATTGGTTAATGTTTGCATGCAAGTATTACATATCTCAATAACTATTAAAGATATTTATTTAAAACTTCACATATGCATTTAGAATCATAATTGTAGGTCACTGACCAAGATCCATAATTCTATCTTGCATTTAGGCTGATTTTTCTCCCCTTTTTCAACTTAGAAGTTCATAGTAAAATTTTGCTTGTAAACTGTTATCTCCATAAATACTGAAGAGCTTGTGCCTTTTATGGGACATTTTTATGCATTCATAATAATAAAGCAGTGATTTACTTGATAAAACATCTTTATAACTGTGTACCTTTTCAGTCAATTTTATGTGTTCATTGGTAACTAGCATTATTATACTCAATAAAACACCCTTGTGACAACATTTTGAATAGTCGAGCCAATACTGTCCTCCGACAGTTCTTGTTATTAAAACAAATGACAATAATTAAAGGAAAGTCTGATAAATCTTTTTACAGTTTCAAATAATATTGCTTTGTTTAAATTTTGCGAAGAATCATTCTATGAGTTGAATTAATTGAAATAAATTCATTTGAAATTATTATTATTAATTTTTATGAAACATTTTGCACATTTGTTTATTTTAGAGATTTACAGTCATATTTAGGGACAGACTATGGTCCTAATGAGGAATATAGTGCATTAAAGGGCAACTGTTACGAGTATACTGATCGGGAATATACATATAAACTATGTGCCTTTGATAGAGCTTCACAGCGACCAAAGAACGGAGGAAGTGAAACTTCTCTAGGGTATTAAATTCTGTATTTGCCTAATCATGTCTTGACTTTCAGTGTTAAAATCACATGGATATTGACTATATTACAGTATAAAAGATTAAATAGTTTACAATTATAATATGATGATTAGGTGAATAACCTAGTCTACTGACCCGACTCATGCGATATCTTCTAAAATCTTTATGCAATAATGCTGTCTATATCACAACTTACACATGATGTTTGTTTTACATAATGTTTTGTTTGATTGGTTGTCTTGTACAAGCAATTACTGACAATAATTTCTGATAATATACGGTCAAATTTAGTATTTACTGTTGGAAGTTATGGCTTTTACTTCTCTGCTTCAGGATTCATAAAGGAAAATGATAAGTTATTTTTCTCCATTTTCAGTTCATGGGGAAAATGGGATGGTAGTGGTGATGATAAATATTCAGCTCAAAAATATGAAAATGGTCAGTCATGTTGGAATGGTCCAAATAGATCAGTAAAGGTAACATAGATTGTAAAATAATGGTAATTTCAGATAAGTTATATTAAATATACATGTAAATACAAATGCTTTGTCAAGGAGTGATATATCTTAATATAAAGCTTTATTTTAATTCAAAATTATACGTAAAAAGGTCCAAGAATGCTAGTTTTTTGACATTTTAGGTAAGCATTTTATATTAAATACGAGTAATGTTTACTTAGCTATTGTGGAAACAAAACCAAGTATTTTATCACGTCAGAGTATAAGTTACTGATGTTGTTTTGCAGGTATATTTTAGATGTGGTACAGAACACAGGGTAACTAGTGCTAGTGAGCCAAGTAGATGTGAATATGCCTTTGATTTTGAGACACCAACACGGTGTTCATCACCAGCTAGATCTAATGATGATGTCCACGATGAATTATAGTTATATACCTGTTATACAGCCTCATATACAATAATACATTCTTATACAGGTTTTCAAACAAAATCAATGCATGTATCTGTTGAGAAATGTAGTAAATTTTAAGCTTTATACTTTGGTTATCTCAACTTTGAATCTACATTTTATATATACATTCTTATGATAAATAGAAGAAATACTATTTATAACTTTACATCTTGTTTTGTACTTTTAGTTTTCATTAAATGTGCTACAGATATATTTATAGTTTAGATATGTAAAGACATAAGGATTTATTCCATGATTGTTTATTTACAATACTTGTTATATAATATCACAACAGTGCTACAAAGACAAACTTAAACATGCCTACTATGCAAAATAGAATTGTTCATCTAATTCATTCTTGAAAACAAAAATAATTAATAAAGTCTATAAAACCGAGTGTATTGTCTGTGTTTTAATTTTTCACATATTCAGGTCAAACTTTTCCTGTAGATTTGTCTTTGAAAAAAAATTTACTTGTGCATTTTGATAGTTGTTAATTACATAATTATTTGCTTTAAAGTACTGTAATCCATTAACAGTTTCCATACACCCGAGCCATCATTCCTTTGATTAATGACTTGTTTGTCATTATTTCACAATTTTTATTATGTACTAAAAAATTTAATAAATTATAAAGGTATATCTCATTTTGGTGAAGAAACAGGTTAACTCCTTCTATAAATTAATAGGATTTAATCCGTTAATACACTAAGGTGACAATATGTAAATACTGGTATTTTATTTTGCATTGGTTGATATTAAAGAACAGTTCAAAATACCATCTTTGCACTGGGTAGATCAAGCGGACAGTTTCATTTTATCTTGCTGATCCACCTACCAAATTCCCATTTAACTAATAAAAATTTCTACAAGGACAATGATCTTCATCGAAGAAATAAGCCTGTTTTCATGGCAAAAGTACAGTACCACCTGGAGTTATTAAGACCGAATTTTGATAACACAGATTTATTTGTTCTCACTTCAATATTCATGTGATCCATGAGTAAGCATACCCAGCAAATCCACTTAGGCACTATTAAGACCGCCATTTCCAGTCTACCTGGTTTTGCTTATTCCTTATTTGATTCCGCTATTTAGACCACTGATAATCCATTTAACACCAGTGGTGCTGTCAGTATCTTATTGAATGTTAATGAATGACACTAACTTTGCAAAATGAATTTTTAGGATTATCTGCCTATCTGAAATGGTCACATACTTTCCTTGGAGCAAGTAAGTTAGAAGTAAATAACTAATAGTTTATGAGAAAATAAATCTTAACAAAAAGGTAAACAAGGACTTACAAGACAAAGTTGAAAAAGGGGCAAAACTGCATAAAATAATTTAGGATTATCTACCCTTTTGAAAAGGCGTTTGTTTATGACAATAAACATGTGTGCCAAGTTTACTGTAAATAGCTTTTATACTTTTTGAGAAAATAAACATTGAGTCCTTGACAACGAGGGCCATGACAATAGCTCCATTTTTTTCTTCGTAAAGCGGAACTGAAAAACAACACCTGAGTGAAATAATTTTCATACCACATGTACATGTTAATCAGACTTGTTTTTTATCTAAACATTTAATATGTTTTTCAAATGGTGTATGCCTATAACAATGGGATCAAACGGGAATAAAAAACGAGAAACATTGTAACAGTTTTCAATGGTTGCTTTTACTCTCAACTACATATCTTCATATTACATAAAAAGAAATAAAACAAAAATTTGAGAACAAATACACTTATTCACTTATTTAGGTAAACCAGAACAAAACAGGAAAGCAAAGAAATTTTCAAAGTAGAAACGTGTACTTTATCTGATATAAATATATACTAACTATTGCTTAAAATCAAATGTAGATAAATAGTTACATGTTTTCACTTGGTAAGCAGATGTCATACAAGTACAACTTGTGTATTGTCTCACATGCAAGTATATTGTTTACTTTTAAGCTTTGGGCTGCTTATCAAACCATATGCTCTATTACTAAACATGTAGTGCCTAGCATTTCCTCGTAAATACTTTAAAAAATGGTTGGCAAAATAATCAACCTTCACATTACTAAAAACAACAGATTTAAAATGGCGTTTTATTTCACTCAAGGAAACAATTACTATTCCTTAAGAATACAGGCTTTAAGTAAGCTATAAATAATAATTAAGCACATATTTACAATATTATGATAAAGTTATAATACAAAAAATGAAGGTATAAATTTATATGATCTAATTTAATCTGGATTAAAAAGAATATTTAAAAATATATCTATTCCATGTACTAAAATACCATAACAATATAAATATCAAAAATCTTAAAAAACTAACCGATTGAAACAAAATCTATTGGTTACATGAAAGAGCAAAATCTGTACAGCCAGGCATTGTTTAACATACAAGTTATCTTAAAAGATGAATGTTAATAAATTGCGTTTGGACACAAGAATTCACATGATAAAAAGAAGAATGTAACGACGTTTACAAACGCTGAATGTATGACGTTATACTGGCAATATTCTTGTGTCAAACCTGAACTTACATAGTAAACAAGCGAAGTGAATCCTAGTGAATGAAATAATCAATATGAACTAACGACCTAGATTTTCTATATACATGTACTTGACAGTTTTAAGTATTAGAAATATTTGTTCAAATAATATTTCCATGGAATCCGATAAAAAGAACCTATTTTACTTTATATACGGTTATATCTAAAACGATACTAATAATCACAAAACAGAAAAATAAAAATTTGAACTATGTCAAATAAATAACATCTTGTTTCATATCACAAAGTCCTGGTCAATGTTTTAATATGACCATTTTCTTACAAGCATTGTTATAACAGAAGAACACGAGAGAGTACTTTGTAACCTGAGACAGCTTCACTATTTGGTAAGTCTGCATTAATGTTACGATGAGTGTACACTGGCTAAACGAATGATTTAATATCTAGCTTCTTTCATGGATTCAAAGAATGGTCTAAATGTCATCTGCAGTTTCGTTTGCCATAAAGTGTATCTCTCTCTTCCTACCAATTTGCAATTTTGCAGAAGGAATATTCTGACATGTCGCTTTATTAATTCAGAGTATAATCTAATCGTCGTCTGCGATTCTATGTATCACAATGTGATATATATATATACTACATTATTTTGCAATTTTGGTTTTGCTAACACCCTGAAGTTTTTTTTCTCAATCACCTGGTGTTACATTTTCTTCATCATATTTCTCGTTAAGTGAGTCAACAACACTGTCTCGCTCGTCATCAGCGTCATTCCTTGATGGGCTTTCACTGTTTGCTGACCTTGTTTCCGTGTCTCCATCCGTTGCTAGGGTGTCACCTTCCTGAGTTTCGTCGTTCTTTTCTGAAGAGTCAGAAGAATCATCTGAATGTTCTCCATATTGTATCAAACTGTGTCGTCTTTCTGAACTGTCTATACGTAAGTCTTTTTCAACTTCCTCTCGTGGCTTCTCAGCCAGTTGTTTCCATTTCTTCATATTGGCCCTGAATAGCAATAGATTGCAGTGTTTACATAATATTTAAAAAAAATTTAGACAAAGTGCGTAGGCACTTAAATTCATGGTTAATTCATAGAAACTTTAATTAAGATAGATTAACAACAAGTTTAACAAGTTTTTTAACAAGTTTTATTCATATCAAACCAGAAGGTCAACGACCCATGTGGCAAAATGCACAGTACAATTACAAATAACATGGACTGGTATATCCACAGGATATTACTGGTAAATATCAAGGCATTAACACTTGCTCTGTATATTTTAACGCCACATTAAAATAAGAAGACAAACTACTTACAGTGCACCATCTTTCATTGGTTTAGTTTCTGGTAACACTTGAGTCATCAGGTCGTAACAAGGCAAACAAATTCCAACCAAGAACCCAACCTTAAATATATTTATATAAACCCTGAAAATTGTTGCCTTGCGATTGTTTTTTTTTTTCTGTATCAGATAAAAACATTTTGTTTTAATAGAAAAATAAATATTTTCTCAATATAATTGTACTGAAATTGGAAAAAATGTAACGCTTCAATTTCATTGAAAAAACATAATTTACCTAAATCATTCAACTTGATTAAAAAATACATAATATTTGGAAAAAAGCCTACATTTTTTTAATAATGTAATTTTTGATGTAATAATGTAGTTATTGATGTAATAATGAAGTTATTTATGTAAAAATGTAGTTATTGATGTAATAATGTAATTATTGATGTAATAATGTAGTTATTTATGTAAAAATGTAGTTATTGATGTTATAATGTAATTATTGATGTAATTATGTAGATATTGATGTAATAATGTAGTTATTGATGTAATAATGTAATTATTGATGTAATAATGTAGTTATTGATGTAATAATGTAATTATTGATGTAATAATGTAGTTATTTATGTAAAAATGTAGTTATTGATGTTATAATATAATTATTGATGTAATTATGTAGATATTGATGTAATAATGTAATTATTGATGTAATAATGTAGTTATTGATGTAAAAATGTAATTATTGATGTAATAATGTAATTATTAATGTAATAGTGTAGTTATTGCTGAATAATGTAGTAATTGATGTAATTATGTAGTTATTGATGTAACAATATAGTTATTAATGTTATAATGTAGTTATTGATGTAACAATATAGTTATTAATGTAATAATGTAGTTATTGATGTATATATGTAGTTATTGATGTAATAGTGTAGTTATTGATGTAATAATGTAATTATTGATGTAATTATGTAGTTATTGATGCTATAATGTAGTTATTGATGTAATAATGTAGTTATTGGTGTAATAATATAGTTATTGTTGTAATAATGTAGTTATTGATGTAATGATGTAGTTATTGATATAATAATGTAGCTATTTATGTAAAAATGTAGTTGTTGATGTAATAATGTAGTTATCTGTAATAATATAGTAATTGATGTAATAATGTAGTTATTGATGAAATTATGTAGTTATTGATGTAATAATGTAGTTATTGATGTAATGATGTAGTTATTGATGTAATGATGTAGCTATTTACGTAAAAATGTAGCTGTTGATGTAATAATGTAGTTATTGATTTAATAATGTAGTTATTGATGTAATGATGAAGTTATGGATGTAATAATGTAGCTATTTATGTAATAATGTAGTTATTGATGTAATAATGTGGTTATTGATGTAAAAATGTAGTTATTGATGTAATAATGTAGTAATTAATGTAATAATGTAGTTATTGATGTAATAATGTAGTTATTGATGTAATAATGATGAAATAATGTAGTTATTGATGTAATAATGTAATTATTGATGTAATAATGTAATTTATGATGTAATAATGTGGTTATTGATGTTATAATGTGGTTATTGATGTAATAATGTAGTTTTTGATGTTATAATGTGGTTATTGATGTAATAATGTAATTATTGATGTAATAATGTAGTTATTGATGTTATAATGTGGTTATTGATGTAATAATGTGGTTATTGATGTAATAATGTAGTTATTGATGTAATAATGTAGTTATTGATGTTATAATGTAGTAATTGATATAATAATGTAGTTATTGATGTAATAATGTAGTAATTGATATAATAATGTAGTTATTGATGTAATAATGTAGTAATTGATATAATAATGTAGTTATTGATGTAATAATGTAGTAATTGATATAATAATGTAGTTATTGATGTAAAAAAGTAGTTATCTGTAACATATACCTCCAGTTGTGGAAGTTCATGTTTTTTCTCCCTGTCCATCATAGCTAGAGGAGTAATACCTTTTGCCTTTTCCTCGTCACCCTGTAAAATCAACACACCTCTATTATAAATTACTGGCTGTCTACCCGATAGCATCACTGGTAATACATTATAAATATAGTTATTATAATTCTATACAGTAAAAATTATTAAGTTATATTGACATTCATACATACGAAATATTGCAATCTCATTTCATTTGAAAAATTTGATCTTCGTTACTTGAAAAAATGATATATACGAGATTGACTTATTTGTTATCTTTGAAACACATGATTAAAGAAAAATTGAAAGAGACGGAACATAAAAAGTAAAATTACATTTTCGAATATATTGGCTAGTTCAAAAGAATTAACGATTCTATAGGGAATATTTTAGCGATTACTATTAATAACAGTTGCATCAATTCTGTTTCATCGGATTGTAATTGTAAAAAAAAATTCAAAATTTCAATCACGAATCGCATACTTTATATAAATACGCTGTAGTTATTGTGGTTGGGAATTTAGGTGTAGACTCATTTTAACAGTGATGAAAATAGATTGTAGCCGATATACCTGATTGATAAAAATCATAGACAATAAAAAAAACTCAGATAATTATCTTTGAAAAAGCACATTATCTGCATCATGCTAGATTACATATGCAGTCCGTAGAAGGAAAGTTTAAGTTAAGTGTAGAAAACGAACAACAATACCATTGTCTAAATGAATATAGGGGATTGTCAGTCACTGATTCTTTAATAATTAAAACAAATATTATTATTAATAATTATATATTCTATTTAAAAGATATGATTATCTCATGAGTAAGTACATATATTAAATACATTTATATAATTAAGTTATATCTTGATACATTTGTAGATTATCAAATTATATAATATTATGTTAAAAGTTAAAGGAGAAATAGCAATTAAACACATGGAATAGTGAAAATTATAATAGTGTACACACAATAGTGTGTAATTCTTGACATTATAACTGACTAAACAACATATGAGAAAGTGTTTTGAACATTCTGTAAATGAGTTTGTTTCAAACACGCAAGTTAAAAAAGTTCTAATCTTATCGCTTCATGCATCTTAAATGTTATAAGCATAGAAAACTTTAACTAGCACCACTGCAAAATTACTAAATGCATACTTACAGCCGATAAAAAAACGAGCTACAAACTACATTTATGAAAACAAAACCCTCCTCACAATCTTTATTAATTAGTAATTAAAATTGTCGTTATACATTATTTATGATAATCATTTCAGAGTTATGCTTTTGTAATGTAGTAAACTGAAGTAATTCAACGTGTCAAATGTTCTTTCAAGTATCAAATATTTTCTGGTCTGTTCAGAATACCAATGATTACTAGCGTATGTACAAAGTTTCCATTAAATTATATCCAACTTTTATTTCTAAATAGGCGGTAATACAACAGAAACCTACGCCAAAGAAAGTTTGAATCTTTATATTGCAACATATGTTAACTATCCTATGTCTTAACAAGAACTGATGACAATGCTCTGTTAGTCTTAACAACGCTTATGTAACGTTTCATACAGTTGCTATGACTACATAACATTACACAGCTTAAAGACCATTCAATTTTTACACCGCAATCTTATGTGTGTTACGTGAAAATCCCCATAGTAACAGGGGGTCATTTTGAGTATACCTGCTGCCAAAACTCCTCCATGATGACAAAAACAAGGTCAAGTTGTGTATTCCAGGGTTTGTACATAGCACAAAGGTCACATGCTGTCATACATAGTGTCATTACAAGGTTTCTGTGGGAAATAAACACATTTCAACATATACATATGGTTAATTCACATGCGTATATAGGGTAGGGAACTGTCTCTCCATGTTCTGGGAATACTTTATCTAGCTTGCAAGTGCTGGGCGTGCCGTTACAGTGCAAAAGGTGCGCTCAGGACTAACATTATCATCTTTTGGCTAAAACAGGTTATAAGGAACCGAACAGCAAAGTTATTTGATAATTTAACTCACAGAGATCAAATCCCAATAAAAAGGTTTGTTAGAAAATCTACAATTTGTGTTAAATACCAAGCTCACTAAAAAGATTAAACAGTTTTTTGTTATAATATTCTTTAAATTTCTGCGCTGCATTGCGTTAACTTAGAAATGTTTTCCAGGTTTATTTAGAGTTTTGCTTACGGAGCATGCGGTAATTGTTATAGACATTGAACTGCTCAAGAAAAAGCTGCTGCGAGCAATGAGGAAGAAGCGTTTAAAGAACAGAACACATATTTAATTTAGCACAACTGTTTATCTCTTCTGTCAAGCTTAGAGGTTAGACAATATACGACATTTGTCAGTCACATCATGTGTAGCATCACTACATCTTCCTTATTACTTTATTTTAATGGGGCTACTCAAATAAATATCTTTTTTTAATTTTAACAAAAATGAAACAAAATAAAAAAACATACAAAGCTCATTTAATATTAAAATATACTTTTTCGAATTTGTTGAAAAATCTATTTATATTCTCAAATGTAGTGAAAATATTCATGTATGACTGACAGGAATAGATACACTAAAGACTGTTACTATAGTTACTACAATGCTACAAACAGTTTCGCCCTGTACTACCTGTTGATAAAACTCCTCAAAAATGTATTTAACTGTGTCCAGTTGCATTTTCCAAGGTTTAGCAGACGCCACTAGGTCACATCCGGTCATTACAATAGTATGAACGAGACGTCTGTAGATGTGAAGTTTTTGATAAAATGAAATGAAAATTACTTCTTTTTTCAAATGATTATTTACAAAACTGAACAATTGATTTCCCCTATAAACATATTGTAACATCAGACGGACATTCTAAAGCAAGAAAGTGTAAGCATATCCCGGATGCTGAAAAGTTAATAATAATTTGTATACATATGTCATTTTTCATCTGAAAAAAAAAATGAGAATAGGAGCGAAATAGTACATATTTTATAAAATAAAGAATACATTCTATCAAGCATTGAACACATACATGAGAACTATTGGACAGTATCTATCACAGATCTTGTGCTACAAAAACTTGGTGATTGTTAGGTTAAATAATGACAGTTAGAAGCAAATGTGTATGAGCAAAAAGAAGCTTTAACATATTACAGCCAAATAACATAACGTCTGAAATAAACTTTACGACATGTGAACATAATTACCACTCAAATACAGTGCTATTAAAGAATAACATGTCTATCCACGCTCCCCCTTCTCAGCGGCCATCAATAGAAGCGATAAATAACAGTTGACTATGGTGGCTGATTTGGCTAGCCACAACACGACGCACAAAAGTGTACCAAATCAGCCGCCATAGTTGACTACTAAATATAGTCACCTTTGTGCAGTGACGGGTTAACCCGTAACTGCTCTAAGGTGACGTATTATAGTCATAACCATAAGCAATGGTTTAGATATACATGCCGTTACCAGCTATGTAGCTCTGAGATGCCGTGGGGGAGTGAGGATCTAACTAAGCTATTGAAACTAGTAATTATTATTTCAAGATTATAATTTCTAAAGATTTCAGCATGGTTACAACAGTTGAAATTACTTTAAAAAATAGAAACACTAGTTTCAAATTGCTCTTTTTTGTTTTGATAACACAAACATATTAATACAGGAAAAAAGAAGAATGAAGAAAATTGGCCAGTTTTTATATAAATTAGAGTTATGTAGGTGAAAGTCGATGTTAGATTAGATGATGAGGGCTGAATGACTAGTGAGAGAGAAAGAGAGAGTTTCACAATACTAAATGATAACACCTTCAACTTCTCTATAATGTGTTGAAGTGAAATGTGGCCAAATCAGAGATCAAAAATACTTATGTCCATTCTAAGTGAATACAGAATATATCTTACAAAGAAGTGAAAAAATGATCAATTATGTCCACACGGGGACACAGACAATTTCCTTATATTTTATTTCTACCTATCACCATGGGATATATTCTTTATTCACTCATCCGAGAGACAATTGAATCATATGTGTATTTTGTACCTACTAAATATGAATCCAAAAGCCTTAAAAGAATCACATTATTATAAAGAACTAATTTACTTTTAATCAATTAATGAAAACATATTTATCGCGACAAGTAATTCAAATATTGCTAGTTACTATCAATTCCATCCACAACAATTTGATAAACTTTACATTATCAAGAGACATACACTCATCATGTTAAAGCGTGTTAATTTTTTTATGCAATCAAAGCATTCTCTGTAATGGAAACAAAGTTAATTTCTCTTATAAGAGTCATGGTTCGTACAATTAAATTATAATGTATGCCCTAAAATTATCCACTATAGTTGGTAAGATTGCAATCCAAATATCAACAAACACTGTACCTGTGTTCATAATCCTCCCAGATCAGCTCATTCTTATCTGCGATATCTTTTAACTTTGCCTTGTTTCCAAAAAATAATGCCAGATCTGTTGCTAAGATACAACTCCTTATATCGCTCAGCATCTGTTCAGTTTAAAATATGTTGATAATATAAATATAAAATGATACCAACAATATATTCCCTATGCGATTTATGTAACAATTAAACATTTTACCACGTGTTTTAATATTAGTACATTTTATTTGAAGCGACGTTCGAGTCATATGTAACATTTTGAATACAACTTCACATATATACATGTATTTTCTTTTAAGACTCTATCTATAAACTATTCCAAAGATTATTTGTCTTTATTTGTACCTACAGTCACTGTTATTTATCTGATGGTACCATACTATACTTACTCTTTTATAATCTTCAGGGGATAGGTATTTAAATATGTTGTGTCCCTCATTCTGCAATTAAACACAATATACTCAGCAAATATAAAAGAAACTCTCAACAGACTAAGAAAAAAAAACAAACAACAACAACAAACGACAACAAAATCCCTTAAACCCTGAAACCTTAAAATTACAATTACGATAAAAACTTTTGAATTGTTTACATTAAAAGCAATCATGAACTGTTTTCCTGTAAGAATTTGTTGCCTGTATACTTAGCTTTTACATGTTTTTGAAGCAAGGGAATAAGTTTTAACCAAACTACTATGCCATCTAATAGAATAAATCAGGTTTTATGTACCTGTAATATTGTAACCGTTTGGTTAAAATGATGATGTTCCATTGTGGACGTTGAGTAGATAGCGGCTAGTGGGGAGGCACTTTTTACCATAAAAGCATTGGTTTTTCCTCGGTGGTCGAGGTCATGACACAAACAAGCTACAAATAATGCCAAACACTGAAAAACAAAACAAAAAACTCAGTGATTTATCATGATATTTAATTAAAAGAAAATTATAGCTCTGAACACAAAGAATTGAAATGATGGAAATTTTATTCATATTTCATTATAATATCATCATGATTAATTTCGTTGTTTATTGATTTTAATAACGTTACGGCAAAACGATAGTTCGTTCATCAAGAGTATAATAAAGTCGTTTTGCCAAATTGCCGTTAACTTTGCATTGTAAATTACCGGTATATAGATCTTTTCTATGACAATGATAACATTTTGTTTTGATTGGGTTTTACGTCACACTGACACAGTATAGGTCATTTTGCGACGTTCCAGCTTTACTGGTGCAGGAAGACCTCATGTGCCCTTCCTTGCATTACTTCAGGCATGAACGGGCACCTGAGTAGAACCACCGACTTTCCGTAAGCTAGCTGGATAGCTTCCTCACATGAAAGAATCCAAAGTCCCTGTCGGGATTCGAACCCACAGCGGTGAGGGGCAAGTGGTTTGAATTCAACGACCTTAACCACGCGGCCGCGGACGCCCCTTCAATGATAACATTGATCATTTTGAAGTCAACGACCTTAACCACTCGGCCACGGACGCCCCTTCAATGATAACATTGGTCATTTATTAAACACAACAATTACTATGAATGGTGGTTTTTAATCGAACAACATACAAAATCCTTAGTAATCAGAGAAATTGATCATACCTCTTGTGGTGTAAACTTGTGTTTTGAGGTTTTAACGACTGTGAACATAGCATGGGCTACAGAGAAAGCGTGGTCCCAATTGTGGTACGGTACATTACGGTAATTTTTCCGTACTGTCAATGTAAACCGTATAAGACTGTCCATATCATATCTAAAATTATAAACATTAACAATAATGCTGTTTTATCTAACCGTTCAAGATGTTTAGGAGATAAGTAAATGTTAGAAAAATACATGAAAATTGACGTGGAATGGATATAAGGAATTCTATTCTATGACATGTCACACAGATATATCGAAATAACATAAGATTTTTTCGTATAAATGGTGACAATGTTATTATAATTAAGTGAAGAAAACTCTCATGAATGTAATATATTAGTTTATCTACATCATTTTGTTGACTACAATGTCTGGCAAGAAGAAACACATAATATCTGATATAAGTAAATACGGTTCCTATATCATGCAATTTGTCTAGAATAATGGTAAAAGCTCTAAACAGAAAACAAAAATCTGACAGTTTTATTGATCTGACTAGACAATACATTCATATATATATATACATGTATAAATGCAGAATGACAATAAACTCATTTTTTTTTCACAGAAAATGCGTCATAAGATGATACTTCTGTCAATTGTAATTTAGTTGTATCTCCAGGGAGGCTAATGCAGTCGTGCCAGATCAATAATTAATTCTTTCTTAATGCTTATAAAATGAGGTGTGCAAAAATAGTATCTGTATACATGTATATACAAAATGCGGCATAGCAAAATATAAATTCTGGGAAACGGACCTTGTCCGGTATGTTATTGTACGTTGTGTATTAGAATATGCATTTTAAACTAAGTTATCAGTCTAAACAAAACCCGTGCTTTACAAAAAATAACAAAATAAAATCTAATAAACTCAATATATTCATGACTTTGTTTAAAATATGGATTTACAAGCATACAAAATAACATATCATTTCCAAAATGGGCTTCCAGTAAATTAATACCAAACATCTCGCAAATGAATATATTTTCACATTCTGATTTACACTTTTCTGCACTGTTTACAAAGGTAAAAAAGTATACAAAAAATAATCTAATAAATAATACTAAAATAAACACTAGAAAGCAATCAAATCGTGCCTATGCAAGCTAAAAAGCAGGAATTAGAATATGTTGGAAAATGAGAAATGGTTAATTGTTACAGCACTCCAGAAATGGCACTAGTTTAATATCTGTTACAGAAGGTCAGAGGAGGGGTTACTACATTTATTTTAAAAAAATAAATCGTTTATTAAATAGAAAAATATATTATTTCTAAATGTTTATACGTTAAAATGATTATATATAGAGTTTTAGACTGGCTTTAACGGTGTTTCTAATATAGATGATTTATAATGAAATGTAACAGTTTCACTTGTATCGGAACAGCTAAATATAAACTTTAGCTGTAATTTCAAAACGTAATGAAATATACGGGCTAACTGCTGTCAAGACACTCGGTATAAGTAGTAACTGACATTACGTAATGAAATATACGGGCTAACTGCTATATAGGTAGTAACTGACATTACGTAATGACTGCTGTCAAAACACTCCATATAAGTAGTTACCGACATTACGTAATGCAATATACCGACTAACTGCTGTCAATACACTCGATATATAGGTAGTAAGTATCAATACAAATTTGCTTTGATTACAGAAAATGTTAATTTGCCTTATTAATGACACTTTTCCACTGTACAGAACTATAGAGATGGGTATTGTATCAAATATCGTTATCATTATTATCAGTTATATTACTACATGGGCATAAATTATAGCTCTTTAGCAAACAATATGTATAGATGAAATAATGCTCTTTGCAAACATAGAAGAGTGTTTTACAAATATAGATAGTTTAGATCTATCTAACATAATACAATTGTTTTTACAGTATCGGGCAATTACGTCCTCCACATTAAGTTGTGTCATCTTGACTGAAGATGACGTATGAAATGATACTTGTTGGTAACTATAGTAACTATTGTGATATTTAACAAATTTTACATTTGTTTTATTAATGTATATTCATATTCCCTTTTCTGTTTGGAACAGGAAATTTTTCTGCATGAATGAACTAATATCTCATTGTCTAGTTCTATTTTCTTATGATCTATGATGTAATCCACAATTAAGTACACGTGACGCTTAAACTTAAACTCTGTCTTTACAGAGAAAAGTGTGGGACTGGACAGAAGAATGGTTAAGCAAATTCCCGGATGAATTATAGGGGAAGTTATATGGTTTATTTGAGATATTAGTGAGTGAATATTACTGAATAACTCGTGAAAATAAATGCCTATGTCGTACAAACAACTAGCCAAATTGTTGTCAAAAACTTTATAAAACTAATTTTGAAAACAATTTTTAAACATTTTGAGAAAATAAATGAAATATAAAGAAGAGTGATCTCTAAATGTGATCAATAAAAAGAGGAATTTCCGATACCAGATTTAGAAATAAGAGTTAAACAATGAAAGATGGTTGAAGAGATAATTTAAACAGTCAATAACAAGATGACACTACTATTTGAATTTATTGAAATATATAAAGTTTTTTTAAAAAGCAAATTTTAATCATTTCCAAAACATTCAAAATAATAAAAATATGGTAATGATGATGATGGTGATAATTATGATGATGATGGTGATGATGATGATAATTTTCGTTATTGTTATAAATACTGCATGGGAATATGTTTCAACACATTCAACTGACATATGTTTTAGATGTTTAATATAAGTTTTAATTGCACGTGTATAATATACTTGACGAGAGTGGTGCAAGTGCCAAAATCCAGCCTAAAATCATTAAAGATTATGATATTTTGTTTACTCTCACGCTATACCAATGAAAACGTACGATTTTCTTACACTCACAAATCTCTAAATATCCCTTACGTAACAAATCATTTAAGTTTAAAACATATTTGGGCAATATGTAAAACTACTAGTATTTGTACTTGTTTTAATACTGAGCTAGTATGCGCATATGTTTACATCACAAAACATCTTAAATCACCATTTTACCATTGGACATTCTTTGTGACTATAATAACGTCATTTCACATACAATTCAACCAAAATAAAACGAATTGCTACCTTCTATAACGAGTTAATGGTGTTCTTTTTAAAGGTAACTGTGTAATATAATTACTACTCATCAACCATCTTTCAAGTTTAACTCTACAGTAAGGATATAATACTAGTGCTATTCCGATATCACACAGTTATAGTTGAGATAAAAACTTGAAATCAGTACCTTTTCTCATTTTCTCGCATACTGCAAAATAAGGAAGCATGTCGTTAATTCATCGACAATCGATTAATACAAAAATACTCTCAAAAGTGAGTGTTAAAGTACAGATTTGTGCAGATTCACCACACAAAAATCACTGTCTTTAAACAAAAATAACAAAAACTCCCTGCCGTTATGGAAACTAAAGAACATGAACATATAAAAACCAGCGCAGGATTAAGAAAAATGTCAGCTTTTTGTGATTCTTTCACGCGAATAACCCCCCCCCCCCCCAGGACAGCCACTGTACCTGCTAAGATACACCACCTAGAATTGCCACTCTACCGGCTAAGATTATACCCCGCCTAAATCTGCCACTGTAATGGCTAAGATACCCCGCACACCACTTTGTCAGCATGGTATTGTGGAGTTTTATATTGACATATCATATTAATTAAACATTATGCTTGAACAAGTATGAAGTTTCAAATAAGAAAAAAAAAGGATGAAACCCTAAAAGAAGTCCAAAATGGTAAAATTCAAAATTGAAAATGTTGCGGACTATCTTCGAATGAGCCTGTACATGAACGGTATTTGTAAAAACATGTTACCGCCCATGCCCATAACACCGCCTAAAGCAGTATTCAACATTTAAACATGCTATGGTGAAAGTTTGAATTATGAAACATCCACAGATGTCTTTCATACAGCGGTTGTCATAGAAAAATGTAGAACTAACAATTTAACCATGACAAGCGGCGTATGGACCCCTAATAAAGAATGCTAGTGTCCTAAACGAAAAGCCATAGTCAAAACTTAATAAAATTGAATTTTGAAAGGGGTCAAGATAATTCATCTTATTTCATTTGAGTTATGCCTCCAATAGAATTTAGTGTGTATTTTTTACATATTTTTTTATATTCTAAATACTAGAAATAAAAAGAATAATGGTTCTTGGGCACTGTCATTTTATTGAAATTTAACCACCTATGAAGTTTCAAGTTAATACCTCGAACACTTTCCGGGTAATGCACAAGACAAAAATAAACTATTAATAATTCTTTATGTGTCCACCCTTCGTCATTACAACAATAATAAATATGCTGATTGCATTCCTTATGAATTTACTTATTCAAATTTAGCTGTTTCAGTTATATTTACACCAAAACACATATTCGTACATAAAAGGGGCAGTTCTTGTATTTGAACAAGGATGTTCAGATATTTTTTTACATGCTAGTACAAATAGTGCACATGTGTTTCGAGTATATTTATCAAGGCCTATACGAGGAGTAGCGTCCACAAGAACTCACAGAATAAGCAACCACCCAAGTAACAAACAAGCTGACTCCAGTATTCCCCCTTCAAATTTTATAGCATGGGCTACAGAGAAAGCGTGGTCCCAATTGTGGTACGGTACATTACGGTAATTTTTCCGTACTGTCAATGTAAACCGTATAAGACTGTCCATATCATATCTAAAATTATAAACATTAACAATAATGCTGTTTTATCTAACCGTTCAAGATGTTTAGGAGATAAGTAAATGTTAGAAAAATACATGAAAATTGACGTGGAATGGATATAAGGAATTCTATTCTATGACATGTCACACAGATATATCGAAATAACATAAGATTTTTCGTATAAAATGGTGACAATGTTATTATAATTAAGTGAAGAAAACTCTCATGAATGTAATATATTAGTTTATCTACATCATTTGTTGACTACAATGTCTGGCAAGAAGAAACACATAATATCTGATATAAGTAAATACGGTTCCTATATCATGCAATTTGTCTAGAATAATGGTAAAAGCTCTAAACAGAAAACAAAAATCTGACAGTTTTATTGATCTGACTAGACAATACATTCATATATATATACATGTATAAATGCAGAATGACAATAAACTCATTTTTTCCACAGAAAACGCGTCATAAGATGATACTTCTGTCAATTGTAATTTAGTTGTATCTCCAGGGAGGCTAATGCAGTCGTGCCAGATCAATAATTAATTCTTTCTTAATGCTTATAAAATGAGGTGTGCAAAAATAGTATCTGTATATATACAAAATGCGGCATAGCAAAATATAATTCTGGGAAACGGACCTTGTCCGGTATGTTATTGTACGCTGTGTATTAAAATATGCATTTTAAACTAAGTTATCAGTCTAAACAAAACCCGTGCTTTACAAAAAATAACAAAATAAAATCTAATAAACTCAATATATTCATGAATTTGTTTAAAATATGGATTTACAAGCATACAAAATAACATATCATTTCCAAAATGGGCTTCCAGTAAATTAATACCAAACATCTCGCAAATGAATATATTTTCACATTCTGATTTACACTTTTCTGCACTGTTTACAAAGGTCAAAAAAGTATACAAAAAATAATCTAATAAATAATACTAAAATAAACACTAGAAAGCAATCAAATCGTGCCTATGCAAGCTAAAAAGCAGGAATTAGAATATGTTGGAAAATGAGAAATGGTTAATTGTTACAGCACTCCAGAAATGGCACTAGTTTAATATCTGTTACAGAAGGTCAGAGGAGGGGTTACTACATTTATTTTAAAAAAATAAATCGTTTATTAAATAGAAAATATATTATTTCTAAATGTTTATACGTTAAAATGATTATATATAGAGTTTTAGACTGGCTTTAACGGTGTTTCTAATATAGATGATTTATAATGAAATGTAACAGTTTCACTTGTATCGGAACAGCTAAATATAAACTTTAGCTGTAATTTTCAAAACGTAATGAAATATACGGGCTAACTGCTGTCAAGACACTCGGTATAAGTAGTAACTGACATTACGTAATGAAATATACGGGCTAACTGCTATATAGGTAGTAACTGACATTACGTAATGACTGCTGTCAAAACACTCCATATAAGTAGTTACCGACATTACGTAATGCAATATACCGACTAACTGCTGTCAATACACTCGATATATAGGTAGTAAGTATCAATACAAATTTGCTTTGATTACAGAAAATGTTAATCTGCCTTATTAATGACACTTTTCCACTGTACAGAACTATAGAGATGGGTATTGTATCAAATATCGTTATCATTATTATCAGTTATATTACTACATGGGCATAAATTATAGCTCTTTAGCAAACAATATGTATAGATGAAATAATGCTCTTTGCAAACATAGAAGAGTGTTTTACAAATATAGATAGTTCAGATCTATCTAACATAATACAATTGTTTTTACAGTATCGGGCAATTACGTCCTCCACATTAAGTTGTGTCATCTTGACTGAAGATGACGTATGAAATGATACTTGTTGGTAACTATAGTAACTATTGTGATATTTAACAAATTTACATTTGTTTTATTAATGTATATTCATATTCCCTTTTCTGTTTGGAACAGGAAATTTTTCTGCATGAATGAACTAATATCTCATTGTCTAGTTCTATTTTCTTATGATCTATGATGTAATCCACAATTAAGTACACGTGACGCTTAAACTTAAACTCTGTCTTTACAGAGAAAAGTGTGGGACTGGACAGAAGAATGGTTAAGCAAATTCCCGGATGAATTATAGGGGAAGTTATATGGTTTATTTGAGATATTAGTGAGTGAATATTACTGAATAACTCGTGAAAATAAATGCCTATGTCGTACAAACAACTAGCCAAATTGTTGTCAAAAACTTTATAAAACTAATTTTGAAAACAATTTTTAAACATTTTGAGAAAATAAATGAAATATAAAGAAGAGTGATCTCTAAATGTGATCAATAAAAAGAGGAATTTCCGATACCAGATTTAGAAATAAGAGTTAAACAATGAAAGATGGTTGAAGAGATAATTTAAACAGTCAATAACAAGATGACACTACTATTTGAATTTATTGAAATATATAAAGTTTCTTTTAAAAAGCAAATTTTAATCATTTCCAAAACATTCAAAATAATAAAAATATGGTAATGATGATGATGGTGATAATTATGATGATGATGGTGATGATGATGATAATTTTCGTTATTGTTATAAATACTGCATGGGAATATGTTTCAACACATTCAACTGACATATGTTTTAGATGTTTAATATAAGTTTTAATTGCACGTGTATAATATACTTGACGAGAGTGGTGCAAGTGCCAAAATCCAGCCTAAAATCATTAAAGATTATGATATTTTGTTTACTCTCACGCTATACCAATGAAAACGTACGATTTTCTTACACTCACAAATCTCTAAATATCCCTTACGTAACAAATCATTTAAGTTTAAAACATATTTGGGCAATATGTAAACTACTAGTATTTGTACTTGTTTTAATACTGAGCTAGTATGCGCATATGTTTACATCACAAAACATCTTAAATCACCATTTTACCATTGGACATTCTTTGTGACTATAATAACGTCATTTCACATACAATTCAACCAAAATAAAACGAATTGCTACCTTCTATAACGAGTTAATGGTGTTCTTTTTAAAGGTAACTGTGTAATATAATTACTACTCATCAACCATCTTTCAAGTTTAACTCTACAGTAAGGATATAATACTAGTGCTATTCCGATATCACACAGTTATAGTTGAGATAAAAACTTGAAATCAGTACCTTTTCTCATTTTCTCGCATACTGCAAGATAAGGAAGCATGTCGTTAATTCATCGACAATCGATTAATACAAAAATACTCTCAAAGTGAGTGTTAAAGTACAGATTTGTGCAGATTCACCACACAAAAATCACTGTCTTTAAACAAAAATAACAAAAACTCCCTGCCGTTATGGAAACTAAAGAACATGAACATATAAAAACCAGCGCAGGATTAAAGAAAAATGTCAGCTTTTTGTGATTCTTTCACGCGAATAACCTCCCCCCCCCCCCCCCCCAGGACAGCCACTGTACCTGCTAAGATACACCACCTAGAATTGCCACTCTACTGGCTAAGATTATACCCCGCCTAAATCTGCCACTGTAATAGCTAAGATACCCCGCACACCACTTTGTCAGCATGGTATTGTGGGGTTTTATATTGACATATCATATTAATTAAACATTATGCTTGAACAAGTATGAAGTTTCAAATAAGAAAAAAAAGATGAAACCCTAAAAGAAGTCCAAAATGGTAAAATTCAAAATTGAAAATGTTGCGGACTATCTTCGAATGAGCCTGTACATGAACGGTATTTGTAAAAACATGTTACCGCCCATGCCCATAACACCGCCTAAAGCAGTATTCAACATTTAAACATGCTATGGTGAAAGTTTGAATTATGAAACATCCACAGATGTCTTTCATACAGCGGTTGTCATAGAAAAATGTAGAACTAACAATTTAACCATGACAAGCGGCGTATGGACCCCTAATAAATAATGCTAGTGTCCTAAACGAAAAGCCATAGTCAAAACTTAATAAAATTGAATTTTGAAAGGGGTCAAGATAATTCATCTTATTTCATTTGAGTTATGCCTCCAATAGAATTTAGTGTGTATTTTTTACATATTTTTTTATATTCTAAATACTAGAAATATGCAAAATAATAATGGTTCTTGGGCACTGTCATTTTATTGAAATTTAACCACCTATGAAGTTTCAAGTTAATACCTCGAACACTTTCCGGGTAATGCACAAGACAAAAATAAACTATTAATAATACTTTATGTGTCCACCCTTCGTCATTACAACAATAATAAATATGCTGATTGCATTCCTTATGAATTTACTTATTCAAATTTAGCTGTTTCAGCTATATTTACACCAAAACACATTCGTACATAAAAGGGGCACTTCTTGTATTTAAACAAGGATGTTCAGATATATTTTTACATGCTAGTACAAATAGTGCACATGTGTTTCAAGTATATTTATCAAGACCTATACGAGGAGTAGCGTCCACAAGAACTCACAGAATAAGCAACCACCCAAGTAACAAACAAGCTGACTCCAGTATTCCCCCTTCAAATTTTATTTGCTGGGGTATAATTATGTATGTAGACTGACAAACTTGATCATGATGTATGAATCGTAATAATAACTATTGCATAAATGAGTAAGAAAAATACCATGTTCATTATAAAAAATGCGAGTCGTGAATGGTCCCCCGATTTTGCAATCGTTTGAAATGTGACAGATGTCAAAAGATCTTCTATCTTATTTAGAAATTACAAATTAATGAGTTTGAGTAATTTCTACACGACTAGAATGGGACAATATTTGCAAAATAATGAAAATAGCTTCTATAAGCAGCATGTTGTGCTAAACGTTAATTGGTTTATGTTATGTTAAAAATCTTCTGATTTTAGAAGAAGCTTCGAAAAGAAAATTGTTACGTGTTGTCATAATGAAATTTACAATTAAATTGTTCATTCTTTATGCTGAAATGAGCTTAACAGTAAATTAAAATACAGTGTGCAAAAATGTGATGCAAAACCTCTAACTAGGTAAAAAAGATACTAGATTATTGCAAAAGGAGGTGCTTAAAAATACCTGACAACTTGTCCAAATAAATCTCTGAACATGTATAATACATAAATTGGTTTCTCCATTGTTGTAACTGCCCATGGTGAAAAATGATAACTGAAATAAAGTAAATTGATAACTGACAGCGCCTTTAAAGAAATATTCATATACATATTTTTCAAAATATAAAGATGTGGCTCTACTTATTTTTTCAATACAATATCTAATAAAACGTTAGGGTCATCTATATCAATTATAATGTAACTGAAATACCGGCACATCCCCGTTAAACATTAAACTCAGCTTGTTAAAGTTATATAAATATTGATAGTGAAATACAATGTACGTAAGTGTAAATTGAAATGGAAATGGTAATATAACTGTGTCACATAGAAACATTACAAATTTAACTTACTGTGTAATATTAACTATTTTGTCTGGCACAGGTATTGTTTTAACTGATGTGAATTCTTCATCCGAGCTCTGGCTATGATACGACAGTACTTCTAATGCCACTCTGTATTTCTGTTCAGACCTTCGGATTTTTTCATACAACTACAAAAAGTTAAAAAGATTGAATCCCTAAATAAATCACTATGGAAACAATTTGGTAAATATATCTATATTCATTGCAGCTGGTAGTAAATGAGAACATATAACGGTTATGTGAATAAAGTTGATGACATCACATATGTTTGGTGCCTATGTACACATATGAGCTATGTTCTGTTTCTATATATTTAATAAACTTTTTTCCCCCAATACCACACGAGCAAATAACTATATACTGGGAGGTGAGGTGTTGGGGGGGGTGAGGGAGGAGTAAAGGGGACATGTCATCATCCATATAACAATGTACACCAATATCTTCACTCTAAATATCTAAATAATGTAACGTATACCATGATGCTAATAACATAGCAGTACATAGCGGTTACAAATGGACATATTCTAGGTAAATAACATGACATTTCAGGTTTTACATCACACATTTATCTGACTTTTTGCGTAAGTTGTGTCATATTTCTGATTAATTATAATTACTTGAAATATTACCACCAAATTAATATCAAACCATATCTTATGAAAGAAACACTGTGTCAAGTTATGTGACGTTATTCGCAGTGATTGTGTTATTCATCTCCAATATACTGACACTCTGTCTGATATTAATTAATCTATGATCATATGTTTCTGTTGCTGTTGGCACCGTGTTAAAGTATGTGTATCTATGTGCGGTAATGGAAATGAATTTGTTGATACAATATATTACTGCCATCACGATTATACCGGTATTACTTCGGCACAGTTCGTTTACCTGGCAGGGATGGGATGGTGAAATTACATCGGTTTTATGCAAATATATAATATGATAGATTTCAAATGGATAGCATTACACCAGCGTAATGAATGAATATTGTTACAATAGACATAAGAATATGTGTTATTTTTACCTTCGCATGATGCAAAGCGAGACCACAATATATTGCGAAAGTTTCAAATGATTCTTCATCAGATTTGGTAAAAGTACCGTTCAGTTTGTTTACCATTTGTACCACTCCGATTATACTGAAATAGAAAATTAGCCGCCAACTTGTACGATGCCTGTCCATTATTTTGTGTGTTATCATTAATAATAAGATGTTAAATGTATCAAAAGAAGCTAGCTTCAATAAATGTACATTTAATTTGACAAATTTAGCTGTCGGCAGATCTTAAAAATGTGTGTGAACTTCATTTAAACATCAAATTTATAATGACAAAACTTAATTGACTCACAACTAGCTTTTATTTAATGGAACATTTATTTTTAAAGAAGAATATTTCCAAGGAGTATCTTTTGCCATATGTACTTTGTTACTAAATTAAGCCCATATGCTATATCTTTACAATAGAATTAAACCTATTTACCTTCCTCTGATGTAGATTGGCATACAAAGAATAGATTTCGTTCTGTACCCAGTTTGCATATCTACTTCTCTGAAATGGTTAAATACAATCGTAATATGTCGTGCAACACTCATGCAGAAAGCAGAAAGTCAGTTATCACAGACTACTTTACAATGTATATATATAATTATGCTAAATTTGTCTATTTCTCGTATATGCACTGATGAAAATAATGAGACAATCTTTAGAAATTCACCGACCATCATAAAAATATATCTCAAAAAACTATACGGTTACTGGAGTTTTTATATAACCAGCTTACAAAAATGTCAAACTACTTTTTTTCATTTCCTTGACAGTATCTCATATATGTCTATTACGAAGGAGGAAGTCTCTATCAATTCTATTTTCGTATATAGATGTGTAAATACTGACGTATGCTTTATATCAATATAAGTTTAATCAAGTATTTTACTATAAAACTGATTAATATATCACCTGTTAAAGCGTCTATCTGTATAAGCGTCGGCAATGTTTAGCACCTCTCCCGTTGACGCCACGTGGCCAGCAACGCCTTTATCCATGGGAAATCTGACCAAACACATTAAATCAATATAAAAATTTTAGTTAACAGACTGATGTCAACTTCCGAGCACAATTATAATCTTGTTGTTGACAATACTCATTCAATCTTGCTATTGTTTTTTTACTTTATGTCTAGAGTTACTAGATAAATCTGGTATGACTAAAATAGTATGTATTATCATGTTACAAAATTACAGTTTTCTGGTAGAAATGAATACGGAATATATGGAATATTTGATTTTAAAAGCAACGTACCTTGGCGAGAAAGAATGCTTATATGTTGGTGTAATTATTGAATACTGGTATGGGAATTTATAGATGATAAAGAATACTGTATATGAATTAAGCCATGCACATTTGGGTTACAGAATTGACATGCACTTTACATTTCTTGATGTGTGTGGAACTATAAAAGTGGTGCCACCGGCGGACCGAATAATACATAGCGCACTGTTGGTCCTTTTTTTAATTAACTTCTACCGCAGCATCTGCCTAAAACACATTGTTATTCATAATCGATCTATCTTACAATTGGTACAAACAACTTTATATGATACATTTCAACAATAGACTCATGTGTATCTATTTGCGAATAGGCAAACCTGATTTCTTTACTAGGAACGTTTTCATCAACTTTGCCAGTATCAAATATCCTTGCGTATAGTTCATTGGTAGTTGTGTCCACCAAAAATAACGAGGCCCTATCAGCGTTCACTAGCTTTTTGGCGTAATTCTGCAGGAAAAAAACAGCACAATCAAACACACTAGCCACTAGGTACATAAGCTGATGCTGAAAACTGATGATAAAACCCGGATGACTTAAGATGATATGATGACTCTTGTTTAGATATTTCTAAAGAGGTCAATGGTTTTAGAAAATTGCCAGGTGGAGGGTGTCTAAACTTATGAAATTATTTTAAAATCTTTATGTACTCGGAAAATTCTGATTTTCTTCATTAAAGTTGAAAAAAAAACACTAATGGAAAATTCTCAAACTTGAAAAATACTTTTATTGTGTTGACGAAAACAGAAATATAAATTGCTTCCAAAGAACAACGATAATGAGTGACCATAAAAAACTTTCATTTATAATTGCAATGCCAGTTCACATGTCTCTGCTCTCATTCTATATGGTACAGAGATAATTGCCTGGACAATAATATTTGATACGAAACCTTTAGTAGACGAATAACTACTTCTAGATTACAGAGATGGATTGTTTATTGATGCGTCAGTGACGTTATGGTAAAAGCATCGTTTGTCTAACGACATCTCGGGATTTTTATTCTGATTAATTGTTTATGCCGCTGAACGATAAAGGGGGGATAATTACAGAGGAAATGAAATATCTCTCATATTCAAATTACGGATGAGATGATTATCGTACTGATAATATTTATATGGTCGGAATTTCTGGTCATAATACAATATACATGTATAATTATAAATGATAGTGGAAGTGGTACATGTATACAAGAGAGAAGAATGAAATGTTCCAATGATAGTCATAGAAGCAAAGGCAATATTGTATATAATGTATAGCATATGATATATACACACAGAAGTTTGGGGTTTCTTTATAGTAAATCAGGTATTGTAATATATACATTACCATAGTTACCATATAGTTTATTTGCTATTGTTAATAAATTATAATTGTTGAAACGCAAGGAACAACATAGAAAACCCCAAACTTCTGTAAAAGCAAGCTTGGAGCCAAATCATAATATTATTCTGGCTTGCTTGCAAACCTAATTTCTTTGCGCATGCGCCTGACAGGTGTCCAATGATCATCGATTTCATTGTCGATTTTCACATCGAAAATTCGAGCATACAGTTCTTGATTATCGTAGTCAAGGAGGAAGAGGGACGCTCGATCGGCGTCGACTAGCGTCTGGGCAAAATGCTGCACACACATTACATAAAATAAAGATATAACAATCACAAAATAATGTGATCTACTAATTCAAACTGAATTAATTTTCTTCCATCCACGACTGTTATTAAGATAAAATCTATAAAGAGGAATTGACGTCAAATGTTTACAGATCATGGAGAAATTAACTATTAATTTTGTCAGGTCATAATTATTTCAAAAGGAAGATTTGCAAAAGTGGATTCACTTGGAACTTGGAGAATTAGCATGTCTGCGATTACTAGATTTCAGATATTTTTCTTCGGTAATTGGATATGACGGTTTAATTTCAGAACGAAATTATGTTGTTTTTTTTTCTCCTCATATCAAGATGAAATAAACTCATTAGTTATTTGAAATGACCAATTATGGTTTCTTATTCGAAGGATGGGATATTATAATGTTTTCATCTGCTATTATCAATTATTTACAAAATGAAATATAAATGATTTATCACCAAAGAAAATATATTCTCGGCAATTCACAAATAACTAATCGGCTAACAGGAATCATTTTGTCGATTAAATACATTAAATTTTTCAGTTTATTGAACTTTATTTTTTGTTTGTTTTTTTGTTTGATAGCAATGACATCAGACAAAACTTACCATGATTTTCATAATGACAGTGTCCATGCTCACTATGTCTTGAAATATTGATCTGATAATAGAGGAAATGTGCGTGTTATATTTGAGGTGATTATGATATTCGTCAATGAATATAGTTACATCACACGTATATTTTATAAAATAAACACCCAATTCATTACATGTCATATATAAAATTTTTGTAAAGGCGAGGTGAAAATAACACTTTTTTAATTTGAGCTGCGTCATGACAAAACCAACATAGTGCGTTTGCGACCAGCATGGATCCAGACCAGCCTGCGCATCCGCGCAGTCTGATCAGAATCCATGCTGTTCGCTGTCAGTTTCTCCACTTGTAATAGAGTTGGTAAGCGAACAGTATGGATCCTGATCAGTCTGCGCGGATGCGCAGGCTGGTCTGTATCCATGCTGGTCGCAAACCCACTATGTTGGTTTTGTCATGACGCGGCTCATGTATGTACAATAGCAACCATAGACAGGGCAAGTAAATTCCGGATACCATAGTAACTTTACATAAAATAATAGAATGCTTTTAAAGGCATAAACATGGTAACAATGATAAAATAAGAAATGCTTGTTATTTTTTTTAATACGCAACAAAATTATGAAATGACTAACTTGGTTACTGCCAGCAAGAAATCATTTAACTTCCGTTGCCTCGTCATGCAGTTGTACATCTAAAAAAAAATAAAATAAAACAGTCTGCATCAACTAAATTGTCATTTTTATAATATAATACATTTTACTTGATTTTTAAAAAATACTAATATTAGTTAATGTATACATCTAAGTAGTGTAATTTACATTAATCAATTGCAAAAGAACATACGATGACTCTAAAAATGTAGGTAAAGTTATTTTTATAATATATTTATGTGGTAAAAAACGTCTGTAATGAAAATATAAAAGAATAACAGCAATATTTTTATTGTTTAGCATTTTTAGGCCACAACTATAGTTTAATATCTGAGGAACATTTCTACATAAGTAAATAAATTGACAGAAAATGAAAATACATGTATGTAACGTTACTTTTAAGGTAATCTATCAAATGATAAATACATATGAATTTACGAAACCAAAGTTCCATCAAACTTCTAAAAGGTAAACTTCAATTCTATAATATTACATTTTCCACTGAAAGCATTTGTTATTTCTTTTAAGACTTGTATTATTTTCGAACTGACGTCATACGAAGAAGACTGCTATTTCACTTTACATGTATAGTTTACATGCGTTAAAATACAAAGAAATGAAACACATTTATAATATAGAAAACAGTTTCATGCATTTTTTCACTGTTAATATTGTTAACCCCTTCAGCAGATTTATATCGGAAATATGCAAAATTTGTCCTAAAATCTAATCAAGTTATTAACAGAACTGTAAAAAGACAAGCCTTAAGCTACCAGTTCTCATCTGGAATGAAATTGATGGATTTATACAAAATGTACAGAGGGAAACTGTCTTCAATATGTCTTCATAGTAATGAAATAAAAAGACAGTATTGCCTTAAAGCAAATTAAAACATCGATTATTTACGGTGTTAATGATAATATGTTGTGAGATCCACGTTTCATGATTAGTAAAACATTTCAATGAATAAAACTGTTTGTTAGCGACTGAAAAAAATCTACGATTGAAAAACAAAATGCAAAACAATGGGTAAAATATCCGAAAAGCGTTAATATCTACATAACTTTATAATAGGGCAATGAAAACAAATCAAATAATTGATAATCGCAGACTCCGTAATTTTGAGTCTGTTCATATTAATCTTAGTCATTCACGCCAGCTACAGTTTACTTTACACATGTACTTATCATATGTATATGTTTTTTAATACGAACAAATTTTACAAAAATGTACACATAATGCTGGTACAAAATAGTTTTAACGTAATAAGCAAACCATATAGGTTAAGAAACGGTGATTCATAAGGAATTAAAGTGATAACTAACTAATAAAACAACAACTAGCAAGCATAGAAACTTCAGCATTCGATTCTACATTTCTCTAGATTTAAACAAATACACTCTTTAATTAAAGAATTACAAAAAGTAAATAATTAGAAGTAAAATATGTACCATTTTAATAATTATTACCTATTTATATTTTGATTGATTGTGTGCACGTATAACATGCACAAGTATGTCACGACATAAAAGATTTTGGTCCAGAATGACCTTACTGACATAATAGAACGGTCAAATTTATAATCAAAATACTTTCATATAATAAGCGGGTCAGTGATCTGGTATTTGGCTATCGTTAATTTTACTAGAATAGATCACACTTGGTTGCTTCTTTCTGTGCCTCGTCAGATCCTTGTCTAGCAAAATTCACTCTAGTCTAATACCAAATCAGACAAATAAGTTCCAAATTTTGTTTTCAGTCTTCTCTTGTAGTAACCGTAGTTTGTATTAACATACAAGTATCTGAGGTAATCTGACAAGTAAAGTAACTGACTGTTAAGATTAATGCATTGGTTAAAATACATTCCTTTATATCCTTAATTCGTTATTTTACAATAAAAAGTTAAAATAAAAGGAATACCTTGTAGTATTTTACGCAGTACTGATAAATCCATACCGACAACGGTAAGATGTGAAACATCATCTTCACATAGATCAAGTCAAGTCCATGTATAAATCCAAAATAACGAACACATAAACTCTTTGATATGTTCACAAGTAAGGGCGAGTTTTTTCCAATTAGCGGGTTTATTTAACTGTCTAAATTAACAATTTTGTACGTACACCGGTTACCTAGCAGCAAATATAAGGTGAAGAAATATCGGAAACTTCTGACGAACTGTCACCATACCAACCCATTGCACAGCCCAGATATCATGTATCGAAATTCTTGCACGCGTGTCTTATTTCAATATGAAGTCAACTGGTCACATACTCCGTGTAACGGCTACTAATATTATAACAAGAGGTTCCTTGTAATGAAATACTACATGTTAAGTTTTTTAATACTCTAAAATTTGACACGGTCATTTAAATTAAGTACAACACGGATCGGATTAGTTAATTTATCATCTTTGATCAGCGTATTGTTAACCATGTATGAATAGAATTACTAATATTGTACGATAGGAATTAGTACAGATTTGTTCCCGCATTTAAAACTCGGTAGAATTTTACCTTTATGCCTTTTTCAATTACACGGGAAAATAATTGCGTTACAAGAGACTTACATTACAGACACGTACATGCATTTCATGGTACGACGTTTGACAAAGTGATTTTTGTACATCTATAAACATGCAAATACCTCGGCAAAATACACTGTTAGACATCCCCACATTAGCACAATCTTTGCTCTCTGAAGATTTAAGTTTATGCAGGAAAATAAAAACTGTAAAAATTAACATTTAACAAAAAACATCAAACACGCCGTTTGTATAGAATGGAATAGCTGTAGCTAACGTCATTCTGTGCGAATACTTCATTAACCATGATAATTAAAAGGGTCAGTGTATTATATATATATGAATATATGTAATTATGTTAACTATCACATATATAAATGAAACTTCTTCACTGTCATAGTTTAACGGGGATCGAATGTCTAGGTTTGTTACTTTGTTGCCGATTAGTATTAAATTGCTAGAAAATACCACCTCACCGAAGAGATATAAGAACATTGCTTTAGTTATACATACCAGTAACCAAAAAGTTAGATTGTTAATAAAGCATTTTTATCTGAAATAATTCACTTCTAAGAAGCATGATTATGATGTAAGTTGATCAAAAAGATTTTATAAAGCATAATACACAATATGAATCTTTTTGAGACAATCAAATTATTTCAAATATTATATTGACAGTTTCGAAACTTAAAGCATAACTGCGTGCAATTGCACTAATACATTTGACTTAGAAAAGAACAATCACAATATGCCATGTAGTGTACGCTTTATGGTCTTTTTAATCCACTTTCACTTCATGGTTAGTTTTCATTTATTAGTAATGACTATGTAAACGGTATAATATGAGAAGCTATGAGGGAACTATGATATATGTTGCACACGTGTATATATGTATGACGTGTGTCTGTGACGTTACCTCGACATACTCCACACAAATGTCTGCCCACATGACCATTGAGATTGCAACCTAGAAATGTTACACATTTAATAAGAATACAATTGTCTAAAACGAATACACGTTGATTTCATCATAACGCCATCGACACGTGCAGCAAAATGACTTGCCTATACCACAAGTATCGTGCCAACTTGTAACATCCGGTCTGAGCAGACGATACATTGTTGACTGCTTAATTCAAGCACATACAAAATGTATATTATGAGTACATCTCAGTATCTCATTCAAAGCAGGCAAATTTCATTACACACGTTAATTTGGGTATGGGTTATACCAAATTTCATTTTTAGAATAAAAACTCATTATTGGTTTGACAAACCACAAACCTATATATTGACCTAGCGACCAAAGAAGTAATAATAGGTTATACTCCTAGATATTATATCCTAATTTGTATTATTTGTCAACGAGTCGGTTTATTCTGGGGGTTAAAAACCTATGAATTAAAAGGTATGTATATATTGATAGAAGTGACGGAAACATTAAACAGTGACCAACGTAAAGCACTGTTTGGATGGGCAGTAATTCAGCGTTCAGTAATTGGAAATTACGGTGAAATAAATCCGTTTAGAGAAGTAATTACAGACTGTCAGCATCCAATGATAACTACTTTATTATCGGCCACGGCAATGTGATTTTCTGTGATCGTGAGATATCTGGATCACTCAAATGTCAACATTTATCTCAGTCTTGTTGAACTTACAAAAGCAACAGCATACCTATATAGGGTTATAACTGTTATAATCAAACAAGGCCGGCGATATTACGACAGATTCACTACAATTAAAGGGCCAGCAATGAGGGTTTTTGTCATGACGGGACTAGAAATACATTTTCAAGATTTTCAATACAGTTTTCATTAACCTATTGTATATCTTTCCGTTTTAAGTGCAACAGTTTATACAAATACGGATTTCAAATTTTGTTTTTAAGCCTTGAATGTATATAAGGAACACAAAATGACAAATATAAAACAATGACAATATTTCATACCTCCTCATCTTCCAGGGTAAAGATACCACCACCCACGTTTCTGTACAGTTCTATCACACCTGAAATATTTATACAGTATTTTGCTATATATAACTGAGTGAGAAAATGAATAACTGACTATCATAACCTTATAGACACAATGATAATAATACATTGTTTAAGTCTAGCCTACAGAAAAAAGGTTTGTTCATTCAGTTTATGTTGAACAGCAGAATTAAAACAACAGTTGCTTTGTTCATTATTTTACTTCGGAACTATGCCGGATTATTTTATATTTACCTGTAAGTGTGCCATCCCCTTTTATAACGGGCAGTCCCATCACAGACTGGCATTTCTCCCCGCCTACAGCTAACCCGTCAGGAAATCTGTCATCCTGTCAAATAAAAGATCATTTGTTGAGGTGCTGATATTGTTCAAAGCATTACTTACTCAAAGAATTTCATTATTAATTACAACGGCAGGATTTCTCTCCCTTGTACCTTACTTAGATCGTTAATATTGAAGGCACGCATTTCTCTCATACAATCTAATATATTTATATATATTTAAGACATAAGGCACACGGCGAAATTTGAAATGTTATGAAGATGTAGTTAACAAAGGAAAAACAATCTTTGTTTTAACCAATTTTATATAGTTAATTTCTTACCGCTAAAATATCTCCTGTTCGGACAGTTTCGGCAGTACTCGCAACATACCCGGCAAGTGTCGAAGACAACCGAGGAGAGCCAATGATTGACGAGACAAGTTCACATCTACGAAAATAGGTGACAACAAATAATTTATATACATTTATATATTGCACCGCCATCGCCAACTCGTGTGATTGATAGTGTTATAGATTTTATGTCTAAGATATGAAGACATTGTGACCAAAATTAGTTTGTGAGGCTGGAGAAACAAAACTTATTTTGTAGGTAATAAATGCCATCTACCAATTCTATACCATTAAATAATGTTTAAATACGGTTGAACTACGATTATGGAAATTCGCAATAAAATAAAATATCGTATAAGAGATAGTATCCTGTTAATGAAGACTCATAGTTTGTTAAACTTTATATAAACTTATTAAGCAAAATCTTTAAATTCCATGAATAGTTTTTATCATTTTCTAATATATAATAATGTGAATGAGTCTTGCTTATTTCATATGCAAAACCTTACTTAAAAAAAACTTAAAATGACTTACTTGTTATTATTGTTGGGTTTTTGGTAAAGAAGTTGTTGCTGATGGTCATCAACGAGGTAGAGATTGTGACCGTCCGCTGATGTTGCTGTAAAAAAGGACATTTAATTAACTGTGATTTGTAGATTTAGCTAACGGTTGCTAACGGAGATTATCTAAAAATAATAACAAAATAACTGTGTTTAGTATACACAGTAATGCATCATATAAAATGTTACCGGACCTACACGAAATATAATAAATATTTTTGAGAAGTAAAGAAGTTAAATTTACCTGTTGCAATGCAATTAGCAAGTTCTGCGAGCACCTGAGCTTTGTTGGAATGAGTGTGAATATCACGAGTTAGTTCCTGAAGTAAGCTCCATTTCTTAGAGTGCATAGACGCCTGAAAATAAAAAACGAAAAAAAAGTAAAATAAGTTGTAACATTTTTCGTGTAATGACGTAAAACATCGGAACGCCGTCCCTTAAAACAACAAACTGGGTTGTTAATTAAAACAACACATTCTGATTGTTTTCCGTAATTGGATATATGTATTTCAAAGTTCATGAAGTAGCTAAGAGGGGTTATTGAGAATATAGAAGAAATATTGCTAGAAAAAACATATCTCAACAAAATCATATATATTATAGTAAGACCATATGCTTTGCATTTTATTTTTCGATAATTCATCAATTTATAAGAAAGTTATGTCTGAAACGACTTGACCTCCAAGTCCGACCTTGACATTGAAGGTGAAGAGACGGGCCTTCTCCCGGGGGAATAAAAAAGTACATTTACATATACGTATATGATTTAGTTGGTATGATCTCACATTCTTTAAGATTTAGGCTTTATTTGAAATACCTATGTTATTTTCCAACAGGCGGCTTGGTTCATGTACCAAGAAACAGTGAAGTAAAATTATCATAAATAACTCACCTAGATTCAGTAAACGACGTGAATATTCATTCACAGATACTTAGCAAAAGTAATGCTATTTAACGAAGCACAAGTAAGCAATATCGATAATGAAATAATTCATTATAATTCATGGATAATTCTCCGAGATCCAACTTGGAAGAGGTGAGAGCAAGTTCTAGAAATTATTGATCATAACTGGTCATTTAATTATGTGTTTACTTAACTGAAGCTGATCTAGTGTAAGATTATAAGTCAATGTATCCATTTAAACAATCATAAGGTACACTAGTCTATCATAACATACTGTGGATTATCTCCCTTTATTTTTTACTTCATTTTTCCACCAGTTAATATGGGTCTTACTTTAGAATTAAAGTTGACTGACAGCTACAGCATGGTACATGTTGTCTTTTATTAATTTCTTTAAGATATAATGCCATATGTAAGATTACTTACTTACAATGTTTTTACACAAGAATATGTAGATTTATTGCGTAAGGATTAAACATTAAATTGCTTAAGAAAGCATGAAGGTTATTGCTCATTGTTGACATTGACATTGCTATACATTTATACTTTACCTTCCATTTAGACAATGTTGCTTTCCTGTCAGGTATAATTTCACCTGAAAACAAGTAGATCAACTAACAGTTAACTTTGTAATATAAAAGTCTTATTTCATTACGTTATAAAATACGAAAGAAGAAAAACAAGAGATAACAATCATCTTTGTAAATTAGATTATTTTTTGTGATTATTCGTTCTCGTTTTGCAAGTTCTGTTGTGTAACTAAACCGATGGTAGAAGAACAAATCAAAATCAGCGCTTTAAATCTTTTAAGACTATATTTTGATGGTTCGCAAAGCTACAAATGAAATATTTGCTTGTTTATTGTCAAGTTAAGCGTGATAAGATGTTATCATTGTCCATACAACAAACAATAAGTGAGCTATGTAATTCAATACCATACCGTTTAAGTTTTCACCATGTCTCTGCCTCCGTACTTGCTCTTTCCAAGCCGTCCATCTTTGAAGCCTCTCTTGGTTCACGTGTGACAGAACGTAGTTCTCGAGAAAATCTGGATTCTCGTTCAAATATTGGATGACGAGCTCGGAATTTAATTCTAAAGCAAAATAAAATTACAGTAGATTTTAAACTTTAGGCAATTCAAATGATGATTATTTACCATACGTGTTTTATTTTCTTAAGATAATGAAGTATAAAACAGAAGATTATGAGCAGCTGTTTCAACACTACCAAACGGAGAAATAGTTATATTTGTGTGATACCGTTGAGTCGAATTTTAGTTTATTTCTGTGGAAATAAGAGAGATACTGTCAATTGTGAACTGTTGGGTTTCTTCTATATAAACAAATGATACTACTGAAGTGTAGGTATGCAAATAAGTTTATATAAGAAAGAAAGAGGAAGTGTACGTGTGTTATCCATTAATAATGAAAACGAAACAAATGCACCAGTCATTATAATCAGGGCCGCCATCTATGGAAAAGAACGAAAAAAAGCGAAATCCCACTGCCATGTCAATGCAGCGGGTTGTTTCTTGCACCCATCTGTTATACCCCGGTCACATATTCACGGAATACGCCCACGGAAGAGCCACGGATTAATTCCGGCATCATCCGTAGCTACCCGTAATGGTCAGTAGCTCTCCGTATTGTAACCGTAATCAATCGTACTAGTCCTTGTATATCCGTAGCGATCCTTGACAATTTTTGAACATGCACAAAAATTGGCTACGGAAAAATCAACCGTAGCGTATCCCTGCTAGTCCGTATTTAACAGTACTGATACGTACTGGTCCGTACGCAAACCGTGCTAGTCCGTACTGATTCGTAGTCCACCAAATTTTCAAGGATTTCCACGGTTTGGTACGGAGAACTACGTATTTGTACGGTTACCCTACGTATAAGCTACGGTTTTAATACGGATTAATACGGCATTGTCACGGAAAGCCACGATTGTAATACGTTGTACTACGGAGAGGCAAGGATTAGCACGGTCTTATACGGTTTATTGCGTTGCAACACGAAACGGCACGGAATGGTACGGTCCACCACTGTTCAGTACGGATGAATTAAGAATCATGTACTTTTTCAAGGGTATAAATACTACCTCTTTGTTAAAAACATACATACATTGTATTTGCGGGAACATTGAATAAATGATAATTGCAATTTACTGGCTGCAACTTTATATTGAAATGGCTCGGAATGCGGAGGCAGTGGTCGAGCTGCTTGATGACATGCATAGAGGTAAAATATGTTGAGGATGCAGCGTCCTACAAGAAATTCACTTTAATCGGACCTGATGTGTCTCGGGGGTCGGACGCGATTAAGCCGAATCCTCTACGCCAAAATCATTGAACTCTGCAATTCGTTTTTTAGGTGTTCTTTTCTTCTGAGGCATTTTGAAAATGAGCAAGCAAGAGGTTATGGACGGATGTATTAGGTCCGTATAGATCCGTGGAAATTCGTTCTTCTCCGTATCAATTCGTTCTTCTCCGTATCAGACAGTACTTATTCGTACTTACCCGTGCTTATACCGTAGCAGACCGTAGTGTATCCGTAGTGCGTCCGCCCTGATTCGTGTCGCTCCGTACCAAACCGTGTAGGTCCGTAACAATCCGTGTCTCTCCGGGGGCTTTTGGTGGTAAATCCGTCGGACTCCGTACTCATACCGTTGTGTGTCCGTACCGGAACTGTAGTGGACTACGGAATTTCACATTTCCGTAGTAATCCGTGAACGATTAGACCGTAGCTCTTCCGTGGCATTATCCGTGAATATGTGACCGGGGAATAATTCGTGTTTACAACTGACTATTGCATTATTTGATATTTAACATAGTCTATTCATTATTAACCACCGAATTCTTTACAAATTGTTCATTTAGATATTACATTAAGGATATCTTTATTTATGACGTCAACTAAATGTGGGCACCTAATTAATCACGACTATCGTACTGACAGTAATCATCTTCATTTATTAAATTATATTTGTATTATTTCTCACACATAGTGCATTTCGACCATCTTTAACAGTAATTAGTTTATCATAGATGAACCCTGATACTTTAGACCTGTACTTTAGGTCAGCTCAAATTGTTTTGTGTTTTTAATACAAAGATTTAACGATTAAAGTAATCCCTTATCCATAAGCTTTTGTAAAATCTACAATTGACCCGAAAAACATTTATACTTGTCCAACTTTAGATCGAGTTAATCATCGTTTGACGTAAGAAAAAAAAGAACGAGGCTTATAAACAGTGTACATACACGGTCACACACGGTAATACAATAGTACTAAATCGCCTTGTATTAATCTATATACAATTGTTTTGTTATCTAATACATGAACTAAAATATTCATTCAAAAACACGGTAAATAATTAAACTGATGTACAGAATGTTACTATGTTCACATTTAAATTATTTTCAAATGTCTCATACATGTTAATTATTGCAATAAAACATTTGATATCAATATAAAACTTATAGCAAAAATTGTCAATGAACTGATGATAACAACTTTTTTTGGTCATGCATTTTCTTACATTTATCATTTAGCCATAAAATGTGTTCCTATCACCATTCATATGAAATAATTTAGACTACATATTTATATAATTATATATTTTCTTCATATACTATCAATTATAAAAGGTAGTTATTAAAGTACACGATAGATAGTTCATTTATAGTTCATAAACCTAGTTGTAAAAACACGAAAGAAAGTACGAAAGTAAAAAAATATTCATCCTTCACCATGAAAACATAATTGAGACCAATTAAGTAATACTTTGGATATTTATTGTATTTGTAACGAATGATTCAATTCATTTCAACAGAAAAACAGCAGCTATACCTCCTAACCTGATCACTGCATTATGATAGCAGTTGATAAAAACATTCAATACATGGACATGTAAGCACAAACTTATTTTACTAGAGCACATTGCATTATCTTATACAAATCAGATACAGTAAAAGAAAAACAACGATAAGCCATCATTTATTTTTCATTTTCAATCAGCTAAGACAAATCCTCCAATTGTTTTACAGTTTGAATAAAACAATTCTTGTTTTAAATTAAATCATACCTAATTGCAACTTTCTCCTTTTATTTCCTTCTATTTCTGTGTCATCCATTTTCATATCAATGGCATTTATATTGTGTGCAGCCACAATTCCATTTTTATACATAACATTTGAATTTTCTCCTATTGCACATGATTAGTTTATGAAACCATATTGCGTAGTTAATGAAATTGCAGTTCACAAATGATTAAATCAACTGTACAGTAATAATTTGTTAACTTAACACAATATTCTATTTGCTGTGTATTATTTGCAGAAGTCGTTCATGCTTAACAGCAATACCACAAGCTTATTCTTTCCATTAGTTTAAACTATACGACAACCTTCATTGACCCCTCAATGTTTCTTTACATGTCATTAGGGCGATAAGTTTTCCTTTCAGATATAGTTTTATCTAACCCACTATTTCACTCTGACTGACAAGCTAAACAAATAAAACTATGATATACGAAATACAACACTTTTGACACAGAATTTACAACTGATCGAAAGTTTCAAATAAATCAAGCGTTTAGGTCAAAAGAGGAAACATATATCACGGTTAAAAATTACAATCGTTTTTTATTCTGTCCGCTAAATCCTCTTTTGAAAACCGTCAGCGGGACGTACATTTACACGTAAGAAATAGATTAATAAAGCTTCCATATAACTGACAGGTCTGATTTTAATTTCCTTCCAATAAATCAAACCGATCAATGAGATATCAAAAGGAAAGGAGAAAATGTATTGATGAACATCATGGATAAACCGGAGGTGGCTTGTACCCATAGAAGTACAGCAAGAATATGTCTAATTCTTGTACAAAAAGGTGGAAGAAAATTCATTAATTCTTCATAATGAAATCATTATAATATATATAGGCGAAGATACGAAATTCAATAAGTTTTCCTATCAGAGACCTGCTATAGCTTGACAGTTGGGATTATGATAATGATAGACGGTCTGCCTTACAAATTCAAAGTCTTTTCTTTACATGGTCAGTTTTTAAAAGGTTAATTAAATGTCTCATGAACACATATTATAGTTGAGACCTTCGAGTAGAACTTGAGTGAAACTTTAACAATTAATTTCTTTGCATATTTGAATTGAAGTATTCAAAGACATTGCCCTATATGTCTTGTCATTCTGTGTCAAGTGATAGCCAGTTTCTTCACTGTAAGGCAGCACAGGGGCCAAGGTCGAGAGACCGTTTAAAGCTAAATTACAGGTCTATCTTACATTTGCCAGTAAAACTCATGAACAGACTAAGTTTTCATATTTTGTTTTTGATATTAAGGGGTCCCTATCTTTCTCTTAAACTGTGGATGCCATGAAAGGTTTCTTATAGTTTCATCTCGTGTCGTTTTTAAATGTTATTCGGGATAATAGATCGAAATGCCTTTAACTTGAAAAAAATACAACAGTTTAATTTGGTGATGAAACAAATCGCGTTGAAAATTCAAAATTCATACCTAACACAAACTTAATCAGAGCTTGCTGCATTGTTGCCAGTGATATAAATGTATCATTGCACTTCGGAATTGATAAATATAACTCAAGTAAAATGAACTGTTTTGCACGTGTAAATATTTGTCCACTACTTTCAATCTAGTCTTTGATTTTAATAACATTTAATCATAAGACTGGTCGCTGCTTAATTCTTAGGAATACTCTATTGACTTTACCAGTACAATTTAAGAATGAACGCAAACCACTTCTGCAATGTCCATTAATTGTATTGCTTTTAATGTTCTCGGGGATGTTTTTTTTAAAAATAAATACCAATTGTTACAATTATTATTCTTTTTTTAATTTGGCAGAAAAGTTAACTATTTTAAATTTTCCGTAAAATACAGAGAAAAACAGAATTACTATACTTGGTTTGTTATAGCCGTTTCAGGCATGTAAGTATAGTTTGCAACATGCATGATTTGGATCAGCCACGACTGAGTGTGATTAGCTTTAGACACAATATGTATATATGTACATCACGCTCTCTCAGTCAAGATATTCGAGGTGGTTGGTATGCGGGGTAGTGAAGTTATTCGAGGTGGTTGGTATGCGGGGTAGTGAAGATATTCGAGGTGGTTGGTATGCGGGGTAGTCAAGATATTCGAGGTGGTTGGTATGCGGGATAGTCAAGATATTCGAGGTGGTTGGTATGCGGGGTAGCTCTAAAACACTTTACCTTCATTACTGAACAAATGATCCGTTTATAAGTCTTAAAACACGTATTTTTTATATTGTTATACAGACATTTGTAATAGAAATGGTTTTATGATATTTAGCCGTAAGTAATCCAGGTTATATCACTCGCCATTGTGTTTATATTCGCAACAATTACATTTAGTTTTAAAACCATATCGTTTGTATGTATCGAAAAACATTGTGTAATTTTCTAACAAAGTCTCTACACAAACTATTGACTTTGCAATAAATACCTCAGTATTGATTAAATAAATCTTATCTTTTATTTATAGATATATAAATGTTATCAAACTAACTTATTAAGTGTGAGAAGCATTTTTCAAAACAACAAACTATATAAGCACATTGTGTGCCTTTCTTAAGATTTTCTGCCTCCTGCAAATTATCTGCATCAACCAAGACTGTTAAAATGGCACATTCATATCGGTCTTATTTTTCAATTATTTTTATTTCCGACCATTGTGTATTTTAAAGAGTACCATACAATGTAAAAATTTACCGTTAAATTTATAGTCGTTTACTGGTATTCCGTAACGGGTTTAGCCCGTACACTATTATACGGTATCGGACCCTCGTTTGCGTTGCATTGCGGGATAGCGTTCCACGGCAGCCATTTTACTAAGTGTGACAAGAGGTAAAACATGTCTTACAAAAAATCCTAATTAGTACAAGAATTTGCTCGCTATGGATTTTTTGTTTCGATTTTCAAAGAACAAAAAGTTATATTCAATTGATTTTCAGAATGTCATTTAATTACTCGATATAAAGCTTTTGTAAAATTATGCTTAATATCTGAAAATTACTACCCCACCCACCTGGCAGCTGGACTCCAGCATTGATCCGTATATTTACTGGGCCTCCGTAATGTTTAAGGCCTGTAATTTTACTGCTTGACCAGTATTTTTACGCCAAAACATGTTACGGATAGCCCGTAAATATACGGGCCAAGTCCTGGAAACCAGCTGCCAGGACTTTTCCCGTAAAATTTTACGGTAAATTTTTACAGTGTAGATAAGATGTCATTTTAAGAGCACAATGTAGATAAAAAATGCAGAAAGTAGAGTACATGTATTATCCTCATCACATTATTATATTTTACCTAAAATATACAATGGCTCAAAATACAAATTAATATAAAAAAGTTCGCAAATAATCAAAATTGTTATAACAATATATTTTTGAGTATTATAATATGTTTAGAATCGTTACATTTATGAGGTATAATAGAGAGAATTAAAGAATCCCTAAAGGACGCCCAAAACGACAAAATTGAAAATGTTGCATGCTTGGTTTGATTGAGCCTGTTATGGACGGTACTGGAAAATGCAAGTTACCGTCCACGCCCTCTATCACCGGTTTAAGCAGAATTCAACATTTAATCATGGTAATGGTGAAATTTTGTATTTAGAAACATCCGCAGATGTGTTCATATGGCAGTTAAACTATACTTTAGTACTACGACGGAAGAGAGTTATTCGTTATGACTATCAGACAATTTGAAAACTTCAAAATTTATTTAAGAAAATATACTACTTTCCTAACAATGATTTTAATACTATTATTGCTAAAGAGATGTAATCACTCTCTATAATATGTAATATTCAGACTAGATCAAATCAAACTTGCGATTTTTACCTCTTTTCATGTTTCTATCTATGGTCTTTAAATACACATTAATCTATTTGCATAAAACTGGCAGATGTTATAAAATTATAGAGATGAGCCACTTTAAATTATGATAAATATTAATGTAAACACTGTAGCTATAAAAAGGGGGTAGAGTGGTGTTGAGTACTATTTTATATTTGACAGGGGGGTTATGTTAAGGATCGACAGTGCTCTTCTTAATGACCTAAACAAGGTTACAATTTGGTATTTTTGACGAAATAATATTATTCTGATAACTCTTTTTATACCAACAGTCAAAAATAAATCAATGAAAATACATGAAACTTCGTCTGTTCATATAGTAAATAGAAGAATAATACTTGAAATATCTTTATTTCATTTTATAACATTGTTTCGAGGACCTGTTTAACTTTACGGGTATGTATTTAAAAATGCTAAATGTAAACAAATCAATTGCAACTGTTTAATGCAGAAATCATTCAATCATCCGGACTACTAAAGACGAGTGTTAGAACACTAATTTTTATCAATGCTCTTTTTTTTGGTTGATCATTTTCTTTAACTATATCATTTGATCTTTGAATTACAAAAACAAAAATGTACAGTGTTTATGATGCTTATATGTTAATATAAATATTATTTTGTTGTGTACAATAAGTCTTTAATCTTTAAATTATGTTCCGTATTATTAATTAAAAATTGTCATAATCATGGTGTGAAACAGAATACATACAATGACTTAAGTCATTATCTCACAATTGATAATCATATGTACATATTAGCTTTCTTCAGTTTGTAGGTTAAATTATCGAACATTTTCTACTTGGGGGTAGTCATACTGACGTCATTCAACATAGATCTATTTAGACAGTTCGATTACACTTGATAAAATTTTGGATCATTTTTCAAAAGAATGTTTAAACTGAAAAATGTCTATAGTAGAGGGTTCACGAAGATAATCGTACATGCATGTGCAAGACAGCAAAGTCGGTCAATGAAGAACTGAGAATGAAATATTACGACAAAGAACATCTGCAAAGAATTATCCAAAAAGAAATTCGTCTGCGAGTAAAGTGTAATTTCAGACGATAATTTTTTCACAACATGTACAAAAATGAAGTTATCAAATTTGTTAGGTCAAGACGTTTCTTAAGAGATAATCTACAGGATGTTCCTTTTTAAAGTTGACAAGGTCGATAAGGAAAACGTCAAGTAAGCAGTTCATATTGTCGACAAAAATAATCTACATAATTTTCAACATATTATCCGTTTTAGAAGTAGTTTGTTTTGTTGGATTTGAAGATGCACCGACGCTTTAAATGTCATATGATAAATTTTCCGGGTTTACTGGTTGAGGCAGTCGCCAGGTGCATGACTCCAGAGTAAAACCACCGAACTTCCATATGCTAGTTGGATAGTTTCCTCACATGAAATAATATTTTTTTTTATATGATATGGGAAAAGTATCGGTCCTCCACATGGGATATCGTCAAACTTACACAACCACTCTAGTTTATTGAAAAGAAGAAAATAGCGAACACGTTTTGAAGGATACATGG